AAAAACTTTCTTTACAGAGCATAAAATGGCAAGAACTTCATTTCCAAAAGACAAAATTGCAAGAACTTTCTTTACAAAACGAAAAATGGCAAAAATTTTCTTTACAAAGCAAAAAAGTGCAAGAACTTTATTTCCAATAATTTATTCTTAAAAAAATTAAAATCTCAAAGTTTTTTTAAAAAATAAAGTACCACATGCTCCAAAATACTAAATATTTACAAAACATACAATAACTTAAAGGTACTATGTCAAAAGAGAGTTAAAAACAGTGGATTGCCAGCCATCTGCATGATGAATAGTCGGAGAGCGAAGAAAATGTTTCAAACATAAACAAAGAAATTAATCACGTCTGTCTTTGGCATTATTCACATAGACAGGGCCGATTAAGAGGTGTTTACAGTAGTACAAGGTAAGGTAGGTAGGGTAAAGTAGGGTAGGGTAGGGTAGGGTAGGGTAGGGTAGGGTAGGGAGGGTAGGTGGGTCGTTATAAACAAAGATTTTGCCTTGTGCAGTATTACCTAATATTGGTGATGTAATTATCATAACATACTATAGCCTTAGAGAAATTGTCAGAATTGATATTGCGCAACGTTTTCTTATGTAATATTGTTAAGTTTTGTAATATTTGCCTCGGTGTAAAACGACCCAACAAATGACTGCGAGTGCTGGGATCTTACTCTATATTTCTGCAAGGAAACAAGCTTTTATCTGTCACTTATGGGTATATAAACCTAGACTTCAGTCAAAAAGAGTCATTAGTATTATACCTAAGCCTATTAAGATTATGCGTGTTAAGCCTGAGGCTTTTAAGTTTAAGCCTACTAGGCCCAAGCTTATTGTTTTTGTCTTGTAAAGTAAGTTCTTGCCATTTTTTGTTTTGTAAAGAAAGTTCTTGCCTTTTTTGTTTTGTAAAGAAAGTTCTTGCCAATTTTTTGTTTTGTAAAGAAAGTTTTTGCTATTTTATAATCTTTAAACAAAGTTCTTGCCAATTTTTTTTGTGTAACGCTACAAATTGTTATCAAATATAGCCAAACTACAATAATATCAAAGCACAATTCATTGCACATTAAGTTTTGTTGTATTATGGACTATTTCGCCATTTTGTATCTTTCTCTGCTCCAAAATGGCAATAACAACAAAAAGGCGATTAAAATCTTTAAAAAATATGAAAATCCTGAAAAATCAAAACGATTTTTAGTTTTTTTTTAATTTCCGTGGATTTGCATAAGTTATGCAGCATAACAGACTGATAAGCTTATCATAAAAAACAACGTTTCGATTCTCACGTAGATCAGGGATATATGTTTTTGTAAACATATCATCATGCGTTTGGAATATGATGATATGTTTGTGGAAATTGGATAGGCTGCTGGAACTTTATTTACTGTCATTGAAATGGCAAGAACTTTCTTTACAAGACATAAAATGGCAAGAACTTTCTTTACAGAACATAAAATGGCAGGAACTTTCTTTACAAAGCAAAAAACGGCAATAACTTTCTTTTCAAAATCCAAAATGACAAGAACTTTCTTTGCAAAACACAAAACTTCATAATTTTCAAAATGGCATAATATGAAAGATTTCTAATGTAAATTGCACTAAAAATCTTCCACAAAACATTGATTGTCATATAAACTTCAAAACTTTAAAAAACCGCAAAAACTTTGTTTCCAAGAACATCAAACTTGCAAAATAATTGTTTTCATCATTATTTTTGCATGTTTTTCCGAGTTGCACATCTGAACTCAATTTTGAAAAGTTTTTTTTCCTCTCACTTCCTTGTCATAACATTCGAAAACATTCACAACATGTGTAAACAAAGTTTCCGTTTGTTATTCGAGTTCAGCCGTCCATGCTGAAACTTTTTTCGAAAACAACATAATTAGGTTCTAGTGGCTTCTATTCAATTAGGGCCTGAAGTTGACGTTAAAGACTGCAAAACAATAATATAGAAGAATAGGAGGCGAGGCAAGGTTGAAAATGGCACGATTTCTTAACAAAACAAAAAATAGCAAGAACTTTCTTTACAAAACAGCAAATAGCAAGAACTTTCTTTACAAAACAGAAAATAGCAAGAACTTTCTTCACAGATGACAAAATGGCAAGAACTTTCTTTACAAAACAGAAAATAGCAAGAGCTTTCTTTACAGATGACAAAATAGCAAGAACTTTCTTTAAAATACAAAAAATGGCAAGAACTTTCTTTACACAACAGAAAATAGCGAAAACTTTCTTTACAAAGCAAAAAATAGCAAGAACTTTCTTTTCAAAACAAAAAATGGCAATAAATTTCTTTACAAAACATAAAATGCGACTTATCGTATAACTTGTCACCCGCAAGCTGCAGAAGAACACGATTTAGTTTTTCTAAGTTAGTTTCAAAAACTTTCTTTACAAAACATAAAGTAACAAAAACTTTCTTTACAAAACAGAAAAATAGCAAGAACTTTTTTTACAAAAACGTTAAACCCATTTATCGTATAACTTGTCACTGGCAGGCTGCAGAATGTCATTTTATCAAAAACAACGGTTCAAAATGCCAAAACTGTCTGACTACAAAATTTCGATTGAAATTGTACTTACTTTTGGCAACATTATCAACTCACGAGACATGGATTCAAAAGCAGAGTGTAGTTAATAACTTATTTGTTGTTTTAGTTTATCACAAGGCCTTATAAATAGATAATCATGGGAAGAGGGGAATTTGTCATGAGGGTTTGAAATAACAAATTGTGTGAGGAATTATGTTTCTAGTCTGTAGTTCGGAACAAATGACATACTGTAACGTAAAATTGGTTTGTAAATGTTTTTTGTTTTGGAAAGAAAGTTTTTGCTGTTTTTTGTTTGTAAAGAAAGTTCTTGCCATATTATGTCTTGTAAAGAAAATTCTTGTCATTTTTTATCTTCTTGCCGTTTTTTATCTGTAAAGAAAGTTTTTGCCATTTGAACGCAAAAAGATCAAAGTTTTGCTTATGCAGCCTGCGGGCGACAAGTTATACGAAGAACTTTATTTTCTCATTTTGTAAAGAAAGTTCTCGCCATTTTTTGTTTTGTAAAGAAAGTTTCTTCACATATCTTCAAAAGAAGACAAATTTGTTCGGCAGCCTGCTGAAGACAAGTTATATGATAAGTCATACTCTGTCTTGTAACCAAAGTTATTGTCATTTTCATTTGTCAAACCCTTCAAAAACAAAAAAAAAACTTTTCAAATCAAAAAAACAATGACGTGAATTTGAAAAACGAAACATTTGAAAAACAAACGATTAGGGGCGAAAAAAGTGTTTGCCGTTATTTAAATTAGGCCCCAGTGGGCGAGAGAGCTGAGTGGAAGAGAGCAAAAACGAAAACAACATTTGGGCAGGGGGGGGCTCGAAAGTAACAAAAACAAACGAAAAACTCGCACGCCCGTTCCATGAAACAATAACAACATAAGGACGAAGCTATTACTCGTTTATCAATTCAGAGTAATAATAGAGTTAAAATGGCAAGAACTTTGTTTACAGATGATAAAGTGGCAAGTACTTTCTTTACAAAACATAAAATGGCAAGAACTCCTTTTAAAAATCAAAAAATAGCAAGAACTTTCTTTACAAAACAAAAAACGGCAAGAACTTTCTTTACAAAACAAAAAATGGCAAGAACTTTCTTTACATAACATACAATATGATGTATCGTATAACTTTTCTTCCGCAGGCTGCAAAACTTAAAATTTTGTAATTTTTGGAAAAAATAGAAGAAACTTTCTTTCCAGAACAAAAAATATAGCAATGCCTTTTTAGAACCTAAAAAAGTACGGTATATTAACAATGAAGCTTGTACAACTACTGTATAGCTATTGTAACTCACAGTAAAAGCTGTAACATAAAAATGGCTTTTGAAGCACACATACATATGTTGTAGTTGAGATTACGGTCAACTGAACCTTGGTAAACACAATCAGAGACATGACATTCTTGACAGTCATGTACGTATACCAATAGACTCTGTTTATGGCATTTACTGACCTTGTGTTTATCATAATCCAAGAATAATATATATTTATAAGAAATACGATAATACTATAGTAGGACGTCTTGTTATGATCGTTTTGCAGACAAAGATGTGCAATATACGTTTGTAAAGAAAGTTCTTGCTATTTAGCTGTAAATCTACAACTTATCTTTTTTTGCAACCTGCGAGTGACAAGTTATACGCGAGAGGAAGTTCTTCGTTTTGTAAAGAAAGTTCCTGCCGTTTTGTATTTTGTAAAGAAAGTTCTTGTTAATTTTTCAAATGTAAAGAAACTTCTTGCCATTTTATGCTTTGTAAACAAAGTTCTTGACAATTTTTCAAATGTAAAGAAAGTTCTTGCCGTTTTTCGATTTGTAAAGAAAGTCCTTGCCAGTTCAAGCTCTGTAAAGAAACTTCCTGCGTTTATTTTCTTCCATAAACAACTTCTGCCTATTTAAAGTGCCATTGCTCAATGATTCTTCCCGCTCTTATTCTGTTTTTGTGTTTACCGTAATATGCCGAACAACAAAGCAAGGTCCGGACGTGCCGTTCCGTGCCAACGTTCCTTGCGATTGTATTTTGTTGACTGTGCCAAAGCTTTTCAACTACAATTAGTCAATGTTTATGACGCATTTATTTTAATTATAATGGGTGTGGAGGGGCTTTTTAATGTCGTATTACAATGTTACAAGGTAGAGGATAGACATATATTATGGTAATGTTTTAAGGTAACATCAGGTTTTTTAAATTAATTGCAAAAACTTTCTTTACAATCCATGAAATGGCAAGAACTTTCTTTACAAAACATATTAAACGATTTATCGTATAACTTGTCACCCGCAGGCTGCAGAAAAGTACAATTTGTAGTTTTGTTGAAAAAAATGGCAAGAACTTTTTTTTCAAAACAAAGAATAGCAATAACTTCCTTTACAACCAAAAATTTCAAAAAAAAATTAATAAAAATACGATCATTTATACAAAAGCCGCCATCTCATCCATAAAATGTGTCATCAGGGTTTCTTCTTCTTCATGTGCTTCTTGGAGCTCTTCTTCTTGGATGACAGGTTTCCTTCTTCCGATTTCTCTTCTTTACAACTGTTCACCTGCTCCAAGGTGTCATCTTCATCTGATTTGGATTGGAAAAAGCCTTTCTGGATCTTCTCTTCCTTCTCCTTGTTCAACTGAGCCTCGATGTCGCGTTTCTTTTGGGACGTGAAGTTGGCCTGAAATTAAAAATTTAAAAATATTTTGAATTGTAAAGAAAGTTTTTGCAATTTTGTGTTTTTTAAAGAAAGTTCTTGCCATTTTTTGGTTTGTAAAGAAAGTTCTTGCTATTTTGTGTTTTGTAAAGAAAGTTTCTGCGATTTCTATTCGTAAAGAAAGTTTTTGCTAATTTATGTTTTGTAAAGAAAGTTCTTGCCATTTTTCAAATTGTTAAGAAAGTTTTTGTCATTCTTTGTCCTGTAAAGAAAGTTCTTGCTATTTAAACCTACATCTTTCTCCATATTCTCCTTCTTTTGTGGTTGATCAGTAACAGGCGTATCTGTAGCTGAAAAAGAAAAATTTAAAAAAGGTGTAAGCCTAAAATTCAATTTTAAACATAAACTTCATTTTTAAGCCTAAAAATCCTTATTAAGGCTAAAATTCAATTTTAAACATAAATTTGTTTAATAAGCCTAAAATTCATTTCTAAGCTTAAAATTCATTTTTGATGCCTAACATTCATTTTAAAAGCCTAAAACTCATTTTTTAGCCTAAAATATATTTTTAAACCTACAATTCATTTCTAAGCTTAAGATTCATTTTTAAGCCTAAAATTCATTTCATAAGCCTAAAATTCATTATTAAGCCTAAAATTCATTTTATGAACCTAAAATTCATTTCTAAGCTTAGAATTCATTTCATAAGCCTAAAATTCATTATTAAGCCTAAAATTCATTTTATAAGCCTAAAATTTTGTTTAGAAGCATAAATTTTGTTTCCAAGCCTAAAAATCTTTTTTAAGCCTAAAATTCATTTCATAAGCCTAAAATTCATTTTATAAGCCTAAAATTTTGTTTCCAAGCCTAAAATTCTTTTTTAAGTCTAAAATTTATTTTGAAGCCTAAAACATGTGTTTTAAGCCTAAAAAACCCACCAGCAGCATCACTCTTGGCCGGTTCTTCTTTGAGGATCTTGTTCGATTTTTGTGATTTTCCAGCTTCACCTTCGTTCTTCTCTCTGACACTACTCGTCGCAGGCTTTTTCTCGGCCTTTTTCGACTTGGAACATTGCCATAATATACCCAACGACAGCGCTCCCAACAGGCATGGTATCATCACAAACTGCTGAAATTTTAAAAATAAAATAGTTTTTTTGTTTGTAAAAAAAGTTTTTGCCATTTTTTTGTTTGTAAAGAAAGTTCTTGCCATTTTTTAATTTGTAAAGAAAGTTCTTGCCATTTTTTAATCTGTAAAGAAAGTTCTTGTTATTTTTCTTTTTGTAAAGAAAGTTCTTGTTATTTTTTGCTTTGTAAAGAAAGTTCCTGCTTACCTGTAACATTTCATTCATTTCGACAACAAATTTGCAATAAAATCCTTACAAATAATGGCGGTTCGGACCGAATTTCAACCGACTGTAGCCGAATTGAAAAACCTATGAAAATGAAAAAAATTGAAATTTGAAAGTTTTGAAATTTCATTTTTTAAAAATTTTAATTTGAATTTTTGAAATTTTTAAAATTTCTTTTTTTTAATTAGCGGGGGGGGCGAATCAAGGTTTGATTAAGACTATCAGAGTAATCCCTTGCAGTGGTTCCCATATGTACTCCATACAATTCTTGAGTTACCAAAGGTATTGCTAGACCAGTCCGACTCAATATTTCTTTGCGCAGCTTTAGTCCGGTCCCATCTGACCTGATCCGGACGGAAAAGACCCTCTTTTCTTTCAGCATGGATTTCTAAGTTTTTGGGTCCAGTCTGGTCCAAATTTTTTTTCTAAACCGTGTTGGACTAGACCGAACCGAGCTTGACTAGGCCTCCAGTTCAAACCGGTTTCGTCGTGATGAGGTGCTTCTCGAGAATTCAGGTCGTAGTCAGTAGCCTGTGTAGACCAACCAACCAATTTGCCATAGTCACCGTCAGGGCCGGGACTTTTAGTCTGGGGGCGGAGGTCCAAGAAATCCGTAAGGGGGGCCACGTTCAACTTTCTTCGAAAATTTTTTTCTAGGGGGTTCCGGTTTTATTGGCCAAGCCACAACCACTCTAAGGCCTTTTCAATTCAAAGAGTACTATCCAAACGATTGATTAGTTTATTATATTGCAGTAGATAAACAACAAACAGTAGTATATACAAAAACGTAAATTATAATAAATATTACAGTAACCACATTTTCATAAACTCAAATTTAAAAATTTTTTTTTTAAATTTTAAAAATACACGTATATCCAATCATATGACACATTATATTGCACTGACATTCACCTCAGCACTAGAGGTGCCCCGTACTCGAAGCGAATGAGTTGGCATGGGTTTCAACCGGTCGATTCCCTTCAAATTCCTCGACTTCTTCGCTGATAACTCTGATTTCGGTTGGGCAGGGGAGTTTTTGATCATGGCTTGTGGGGCAGAGAACTTTCGATTCGACCGGTTGAGAAGGTTCGGCGATGGGGAGCGAGAGCGGTCGGTACAGGCGGTTAACATGGTCTCATTGGTGCTTTTGGTACTTCTGGAAATTTACTTTTTATTTTTTTGATTTTGAACGTTATAGGGGGTTATGATAAGTGTTATGTAATAAGCAGTGTAGGCTTGTGCAATTTTTAAAAATTTTTAAAAATTTTGTGTTTGGCACATAAGTTCTCGGACTTTTTTAAATTGTTAGTGTAGGGCCAGCGCAGAGGTAAACAAAGGTAGGATAACATAGAGTATTGTAAAGTGAGAGAATAGCACCACTTTACTCACGCTACTACTGTAGGGCAGGCCATGCCAAAAGCAGGACAGGGTAGGTCAAGGAAGGACAAAATTTAGCAAGGTTTGGTAGGGCAGGTTGGCAGAGTTTGGCAAGGCAGGGACAGAGAGGGCGGGCAGGATACCCCAGTACAAGAAAAGATAGGACACGGTAAGGCAGTGTAGGGCAGAGCAAGCCAGAGCAAGGAAGTGCAATATAAAGTAAAGGTAGGGTAGGGTAAGGTAGGGTAGGGTAGGGTAGGGTAGGGTAGGGTAGGGTAGGGTAGGGTAAGGTGGGGTAAGGTAGGGTAAGGTAGGGTAGGGTAGGGTAGGGTAGAGTTGGGGTATGTTAGTGCTGTTCACTGCAGCATAAACTAGTGTCAGTATGGTAAACAAGCATTGTGTTCAGCACGCTACAAACCTTTTAAAGCCTCTATATAAGGCTATATGTCAATATATGGCTGTTGAATTGATGGTGCTACGGACCTGACAATATAAGGGGTAAATTATAAATTACAGTAGGATAAACACATTTACTGTAGTAAAAGTTGTATAAAGAACTTACCGTTTGCCCAAAACTGAATTCATGCGATTCTTGGTCAGCTTCATGAACTTGTGACGGAATGAGCTGCTACTCATGCAGAACAACAAAAAGTTGAGTGACTTCCCCAAACATACCATAAAGTTTGTCACTGTGCCCTAAAAAATGGCCAAAATTTACAAGATCCTTCATTTTTTTATTATATAAGCCTATTAATCATTACAAACGCTAAATTTGTTTTTTAGCCTAAAGTTCATTTTTTAAGCTTATACTTCATTATATAAGCCTAAGATTCATTTTTAAGCCTAAAACTCAGTTTTTAAGCCTAAGGTTCATTTTTAAGCCTAAAACTCAGTTTTTAAGCCTAAAGCTCAGTTTTTAAGCCTAAAATTTATTTCCTAAACCTAAATTTAATTTCTAAGCCTAAAATTCATTTTATAAGCCTACAATTTATATTTTAAGCCCAAAACTAATTTTTTAGGCCTAAACTTTATTTGTAAGATTAAGAATTTGCTTGTAAGCCTAAACATTGCATGTTAAGCCTAAACAGTTATATTATCTTGAGTATACTTACCACCACAACTTTGGCTTCAGTGTGTGCCAAGTTGAGACGTATCACGTGAAATACTGCTGAAGGGGCCTGAAAAGTGAGTATTAGTTATTATAATGAAATCAGCAAGAACTTTCTTTACAAAAAATAACAAAAAGTTTAGAGATACGCTAGTCCGGTCCAATTCCTTTCAATTTACACTGGCCCGGCCTTACCCGACCTCGATCCAAACCCTTAGGGCCTTTTGACAAGTATAATATAAGCTCACCTGTGTCAGAGTAAAACACGTGACAATGGCACAAATTGTGAATGTTATCCTTTGCTCGTTTCTGGAATGATTGCTTGTCCCAGCATTTCCTGACGCCAATCTTTGAACTTCATCGTGGTTTCTCGTCGAGTGTTGAAGGAATCTTCGACTAAAAGCAATATATTTAAGCCTCAAATTAGATTTAAAAGCCTAAAATTTTGATTTTAAGCCTAAAATTACTTGTTTAAGCCTAAACTTTCGTCTTTAAGCCTAAAATTAATTTTTAAACCTAAATTTCGTTTTTTAAGCCTAAAGCTTATCTTTAGGCTTAAAATCTATTTTTATGGCCGAAATTCATTTTTTAAGCTTATACTTTAGGTCTAAGCCTAAAATTCTGTTTATAAGCCTAAAATTTTGTTTATAAGCCTAAAATCCGTTTTTAAGACTATGAACCAATTTTTAAACCTAAAAATAATTTTTAAGCCTAAAACTCATTATTAAGCCTCAAACTCATTTTTAAGTCTAAAACTCATTTTTAAGCTTAAAATACATTTTTATGCCTAAAATTCATGTTCTAAGCCTACAGCTTATTTTAGAAGCCTAAAAATTTACTTTAGGCCTACAGCTTATTTTTTAAGCTCAACACTCATTTTTAAGCCTAAAATTTAATTTTTATGCTCGAATTTCTTTTTTTAAGCTTAAACTTAATTTTTAAGCCTAAAAAATAATCGTAAATAAATTTCTGCCTAAACATTTCATTTCTAACCAAAAAAATTTAAAGTGTAAAATACGTAATCCGAATTTTTTGTCATATCTTAAACAAAAAAGTAAAACTTACCGTTCATGAAGTGTCAAAATCAACCAGACGTTCGAAAGCAATATGATAAGCGTCGGCAGGAATACCACAAACACAGCATTGAACTTGGGTGACCAGGCTGCGTAGGCCTTTCGTACTGTCGAGTATTTATTTGTTTGATTGCCTGGCCAGCTGAAGTATAGTCTAATGTACTATAGGCTAGGGCTCTGGACTAGAACTAGGGATAGAGCTCAGGGCTAGGGCTCTGGGCTAAGGCTTTGGACTAGGACTTTGAGCTAGGACTCTGAGCTATAGCGCTGGGCTAGGGCTTTGGGCTAGGGCTCTGGTCTAGGGCTCTGGGCTAGGGCTCTGGGCTAGGGCTCTGGGCTAAGGCTTTGGACTAGGACTTTGAGCTAGGACTCTGAGCTAGGGCTCTGGGCTAGAACTCTGGGCTAGAGCTCTGGGATAGGGATCTGGGCTAGACTTACCTCTCCATCCCAATGTCCATACACCGACCGTATACTTGAGTACCACTACAGTATACAGTGATTAAACAGTCATGAGAGAAAATATTGTACACAGTCAACATTCCAGTGACAAAGAATATCGATATTATTGTAACTTGTATACTACGATATCGTCGTTTTCTCGTACTTAATGGGTAACGTATACCTATTAGACGCTCAACACAAATGGTCAAAATTAACCTGAAAGAGGTATAAAGTTAAACTTGAACTGTATTTTTTAAGCCTAAAATTCAGTTTTAAGCGTAAGATTCTTTTTGTAAGCTAAAAATTCATTTCTAAGCCTAAATTTCATTTTTAAAAAATTCATTTTTGAACCTAAAACTCATTTGCAAGCCTAAAATTCATTTTTAAGCTTAACATTCATTTACTAAACCTAAAATTCAGTTCATAAGCCTAAACTTTCATTTTTAAGCCTATATATCATTTTATAAGCCTATAAAATAATTTTTTAAGCTTAAAATCCAATGTTTAAGCCTAAATTTTTTTAAGCCTAAAATCTATTTTTAAGCTTAAAATTCATTTTTAAGCCTTAAATTTGATTTTTAAGCCTAAATATCAGTTTATAAGCCTAAAATTCATTTTATAAGCCTAAGGTCGATCTTTCAATCCTAAAATTATTCGGTTAAGCCTAAAATTCACTTTACAAGCCTAAAATTCATTTTAAATCTAAAATTCAATTTTTAAGCCTAAAATTCATTTTAAATCTAAAATTCAATTTTTAAGCCTAAAATTCACTTTACAAGCCTAAAATTCATTTTAAATCTAAAATTCAATTTTTAAGCCTAAAATTCACTTTACAAGCCTAAAATTCATTTTAAATCTAAAATTCAATTTTTAAGCCTAAAATTCATTCCTAACCCTAAAATTCACTTTTAAGCCTAAGATTCGATTTTTAAGCTTGAACTTCACTTTTAAGCCTAAAATTCATTTTTAATTTTAAAATTCATACCATATAGCAGCAGCTGAAGCCCAGTTGATAACAGCCAGTAGGTACGAGTTGATTGTCAAGTAAAAGTATCGGAAGTAGTAATTGAACAAAAAATAATCAAAGTGAGCCAGTGTATGAGGTATCATCAACATCAAGAATATCATATCAGCTATTGCTAGGACTGCTAGGAACATGTTGGACCTGTAAATAGGGTTTGTAAAGAAAGTTCTTGCCATTTTTTGTTTTTTAAAGAAAGTTCTTGCTATTTTAGATTAAAAAAGCCAATACCTTACCTTGTCCTCATACTAGGTGTTAACAGCACAGTCAAGTTGAACATGTTCCCAGTGATACCAAATAGAATAACAAATGGCAAAACATAACCAATAAGCACCTTTTCGACATTGTTATTTGAAAACTGCATCCGCCATTCCGGCAAACATCTTTCTGATGTGTTCATTAAAAAAATTTTAACTGAAATTTTAAATTTAAAAAATAAAAATTCTAACAAATTTTAAATGACAAAACGAAGATAATAACACTAGACCTTAAATGTAAGACTACTCTTAGCTTTATATGAAGCCTAAGAATAAGCCTAGTTCTAAGCCTAAATGTAAGCATAAGCCTAAATCTCAGCCTTAGCCTTAACCTAAGCTTAAGCTATAATTCTAGTCTTATCTCTAGCCCAGCTTAAACCTGAGCATTCGTCTAAGCCTAAGCCTGAGCCTAAGCCTAAGCCTAAGCCTAAGCCTAAGTCAAAGCCTAAGCCTAAGCCAAAGCTGAAGCCAAAGCCAAAGACAAAGCCAAAGCCAAAGCCAAAGCCTAAGCCTAAACCTAAGCCTAAGGTAAGCCTATGCCTAAGCCTAAGCCTAAGCCTAAACCTGAGCTTACGCTTCACTATGAGCTTAAACCTAAGCAAAAGCTCAAACCGAAACATAGGCCCCAGCCTTAACAAAATTATAAAAGTACAGGTTAATTATCACGCGGTAAAATGAAGAAACGCACATTTGTTCACGTTCTTCCTGTCACATTAATAACAACAGGTGATATTGCACAAAGTAAATTTGAAAAAAAATTCAAATGGAATTACAGTTTTCCTAACAAAGTAAAATGATAACAAGATTAAAAAGCAATACCATTAAGCTAAGAATACTATCTTTATTAATAATATTGTGCTAAACTACTAATATACAGAAAAAGTGGTGTCGTTTGTTATATTCGAGTTTTTTATACAGAAATTCGTTATACAGAGTTTTCGCTACAGAAGAGGTTTTATATTGAACAAATCTGACAAAACTCCTGTATAACGACCGATCAACTATTGAAACAACGATTAACACTTAACAGTGCATTTAAACCTCCTGTATAACGAAACTTTCACATAACGAACATAAATAAAAAAATTCTAGCGATTTGACAGAGATTCATGTACAGAGTGTTCGTTATATAGAGGTTTGTTAAAAAGAGTTTATAATAGTTAAGAATAGTTAAAAACAAGAATCTAAAACTTCAAAAAAAGAAATATATAATAGTTTCTTTGTCTATTATAATAAGATTTGCTAAAAATAATAAGAAAGAAGAAGACTTGGGAGTAACCTCCTTGAAACAAAACCAATATACTCATTTTAACATACTTTTTTCTTCAAATTACCCATTGTAAAGAAAGTTCTTGCCAATGTTTGATAAAAAAAAGCTGTAAATAAACCAACGTTTCACGTAAGCCAAAATCCCAAGATATTTACTGTGTTTGCTCTATTTATTGCAAAGGCATGGACAAACAAAGCATGCGCTAACCGCTTTACGTTAATTAAATCTAAAACTATAAAACTGCAACACACCTATTATATTAGAGACACAACATATTGTAGTAGACTACAATGTCAAAAATTATGCAACACAATTATATTATGGTTTAAAACAGTAATTTTTAGAGCTTAAACTATAGTTTTACCCATTCATTAGCTTTGAACTGTCTTTTTTATACCCTACCGTACCCTACTCTACTCTACTCTACTCTACCCTACCCTACCCTACCCTACCCTACCCTACCCTACCCTACCCTACCCTACCCTACCCTACCCTACCCTACCCTACCCTACCCTACCCTACCCTACCCTACCCTACCCTACCCTACCCTACCCTACCCTACCCTACTCTACCCTACCCTACACTACCCAACCCTACCCTACCCTACTCTACCCTACTCTGCCCTGGCGTACCTGTGGCTTACACTCTCCCTGTCGTTGCTTTATTCTTGCCATGTTCTGCCTCTTCTCCACCCTATTCTACCATGCCTTGCCTTATCTTACTTTATCTTACCTTATCATAGCCTACTCAACTCTACCATACCCTACCTTAACCTAACATAACCTAACCTTTTCATCCTACCCTACCCTACCCTACCCTACCCTACCCTACCCTACCCTACCCTACCCTACCCTACCCTACCCTACCCTACTCTACCCTACCCTACCCTACCCTACCCTACCCTACCCTACCCTACTCTACCCTACCCTACCCTACCCTACCCTATCCTACCCTACCCTACCCTCAAACCTAATCTTTTAATTCTACCCTACCCTACATTGCCCTGTCCTACCAGTTCCTTACTCTCTTCCTGTCGTTGCTCTATCCTTGCCAGGCTATGGGTCTTCTCTACCCTATCTTGCCATTCCCTACCTTATCTCACCTGATCATAGCCTACTCAACTCTACCCTACCTTAACCTATCTTAACCTAACCTAACATAACCTTTTCATCTTACCCTACCCTAGTCTATCCTACCCTACCTGCGGCTTACCCTTTTTCTACTATTTCCCTACCTTCGCCATACTTTCTCTACCCTACCTAAAAAACAAAAAAAATTTATGACAAAAAGAAGTTAAAGATTAGAGAAATTAGTGTTAGTCTCATCTGGAAAAGCCGGAATCTTTGGAATTGGAAGTGATTTGAAAAGACGCACGTGCCACGAAATATGCCTTGATTTTTATGGCTTTTGAAGATCAGTCTGGCTGAAAAAACTTCTAAACTACACTTTTTTGGTCTGTAAAGAAAGTTCTTGCGATTTCTGATTTTGTAAAGAAAGTTCTTGCCATTTTTTGTTTTGTAAAGAAAGTTCTTGCCATTTTTTGTTCTGTAAAGAAAGTTCTTGTAATTTCTGGTTTTGTAAAGAAAGTCTTTGCCATTTCAGATTTTGTAAAGAAAGTTCTTGCCATTTTGTTCATTGTAAAGAAAGTTCTTGCCATTTCCAGTTATGTAGAGAAAGATACCTTAAAGTAAGTAAATTTTAAAAAATGTTGACAAAACATATATTATACTGCCCGTACCTCAAACATGAAATCTCCGCTCTCGGAAATAAGGATACCTACAGAGAATAATTGCCAAAAAAGGCATATTTTCCAAAAAATTACGGTGAAATTGAATATTTCCGGTTTATGACACGTCTATATCGTAATATTAGACTAGTAAATAACATGAAATTTCAAAAAACGGAGTTTTTACCCCTGCCTACATTTTTTTTTAATTTTCAGAACTTATTTTTCATTTTGGAAAGAAAGTTTCTTCCATTTAAAAAAAAATTGCAGAATTGTATCTTCCGCAGCCTGCGCGTGACAAGTTATACGATATATTGATTTTTAATAGTTTATAAAGAAAGTTCTTGCTATTTTTAAGTTTGTAAAGAAAGTTCTTGCCATTTTATGTTTTGTAAAGAAAGTTCTTGCCATATTCAATCAAAACAACAAAATTTACCATTATGCAGACATGCGGGTGACAGGTTAAACGAAAAAAGTCATTTTTTCTTTTGTAAAGAAAGTTTTTGCCAACTTTTAAGTTTTTTAGAATTTTGAACCCTTACCTTAACAAAAAAAACCCAGTGTACAAAAACTTTCGAAACTATTAAAAATTTATGAAAAAAGTTGAAACTGTTTATCCAGTAATTGCTTAACTCTTTCCTCAAGAAAACAAAGAATTATATATTACTCCTGCTATGTTTCATAACGTATATCACTGCGTAGGTAGAGATATACGTTTTGCATTAGTACGCAGAACGAAACGTGTACATTTGTTGAGGATTACACCTACATAACAATGGCTTTTGTTGGATTCTTCAGAGTAAACTGTCCTTATTGTTATTCAGGAGAAAAATAGCAAGAACTTTCTTTACAAAACAAAAAATAGCAAAAACTTTGTTTACAAAACAAAAAATGACAATAACTTTCTTTACAAAAAAAATGGCAAGAACTTTCTTTACAAAACAAAAATGGCCAGAATTTACCCTACCCTACCCTAACCCTTTCAGCCTTGCCCAGCATATTTCTTCTTAATCTTGTTCTGCCCTAAACTTTTCATCTTAACCCATCCTCCCTGGCCCTACCCTGCCATAATCTATCTTGCCCTTTTCTGCTTTATCATATTTCACGCCATTTTCTAACTCACCGCGCCTTAAATACCCTACCCTATCTGCCCTGCTATCACCCGTGTTCTCCTGTCCTGCCCTTTCGCAACCTTTTCACCCTACTCTAGCCTACCCCTTCCATACTTAACTCAACTCTACTACAATCTACCATACCTTAACCAAATCAAGCATGCCCTGTATTGTCCTACTCTGCCCTGTTTTACTAATAATAATAATTTGCCATTTATATTTTACCCGACCCTACCATACCCTACACATACCTACTCATACTTCAACACCCACTTCTACCTGTCCAGTCTGTATACCCTCAGCTAACCCTATAATTTTCCAGCATTTTTTACGGCCCGGCTAGCCAAATCCAACCCCATAACAAAATATACAATTTTACCATACCAAAATATATAAATTCACCATACCCACGCCCAAATTCGCCCCAAGCCCCACATTTCCAATGCCTTTACCAGAAAGCGGTTATTAATTTCCTAACGCGCATTTGATATCAAATTTCGAAAAAAAAAATTTCAAATATTTACGGCCGTTTCATAATTTATGGCCAAGCATGATTTGGCCGCCAAATTAATCAAATTCGCCTGGTTTTTGTTTTTTTCGACTGGTAATTTATGGAATTTCAATTTGGAATGGTTTTGGTTTGAATGGAAAGAACTTTCTTTACAAGACCTAAAATGGCAAGAACTTTCTTTGCAATATAAAAAACGGCAACAACTTTCTTTTCAAAACAAAAAATGTCTAGAACTTTCTTTACAGCCCCAAACATTAAGCCTAATAGTAAATCAATATCAGAGCTCAATATTAATATAAAAAAAACGTAATAATCAGCCTCGAAGCCATTCAAAGTCAATCGAAACACACAATGAGATAGCAACTAACATATAGTAGGCTAAAGGTTGTTACAACCTTTAATATACTATATGTGAAGAGTCGTTTCTTCAGCTATCGAAATGGCATTGACACAATACAGGGATGAGTAATATTGTTATTACTAAAATATGAAAATATGCTTTCGAATATAAAATAAGCCTAAACTTAAGCTTACTAAGCCAAAGCCTACTAAGCCTAAGCCTACTAAGTCTAAGCTTACTCAACTTAAGCCTACTTAGCCTAAGCCTAAGCTTAAGCCTAAGCCTGAGTCTAAGCCTAAGCCTAAGCCTAAGCCTAAGCCTAAGCCTAAGCGTAAGCCTAAGCTTAAGCCTAAGCCTAAGCCTAAACCTTAGCCTAAGCCTAAACCTTAGCCAAAGCTTAAGCCTAAACTTAAGCCTAAGTTTAAGACTAAGCCTACTAACCTAAGCTTAACCATAAGACTTTCAAGCCCGCAGTTAAGAATAAAGCGCAATATTACGTACCACGTACTATGACGTGCCCAATCACATGGTAATATTTCGGCCGAAATCTGCAATTTATGTCTTGAAACCTTTAACGAGGCCGCCAAAGTCAAATATTTACTTAAATAGTACACAAACATTGTAGATAAATTGTTTTTTCTTTGCATGGCAAAGCTGAGGTCACCCTATCGTACTAAAAGCCACAAATTTGCATTTTTTCGCAGAAACTTTCTTTACAATACAAAACATTTCTTTACAAAACGAAAAGTAGCAAAAACTTTCTTTACAAAACAAAAATAGCAAGAACTTTCTTTACAAACAACTAAATAGCAAGAACTTTCTTTACAAAACGAGAAATAGCAGGAACTTTCTTTACAAGACATAAAATGGCAAGAACTTTCTTTACAAAACAAAAATGACAAGAACTTTCTTTCCAAACAACTAAATAGCAAGAACTTTCTTTACATAACATTAAACTGCAAGAACTTTCTTTACAAACAAAAAATTACAAAAACTTTCTTTCCACATTCATTTTTCATTTAAAAAATCAAGATCCAATTAGTGTCACAGTAAATAATCCAAAAGTTAATTAAGAAAAATAGGTTTCAAGAACATTATCAGCTACCATCTGATATTGATAACAATGTAACCATATTGGTGATAAAATAACACACAAATTTTATTTTTGTAAACATCCTGTAGTCCTCGAGGCTTGTAAAGAAAGTTCTTGTCACTTTTTGTTTTGTAAAGAAAGTTCTTGCCATTTTTAGTTCTGTAAAGAAAGTTCTTGCCATTTTTAGTTCTGTAAAGAAAGTTCTTGCCATTTTTCGTTTTGTAAACAAAGTTCTTACCATTTTTTGTTTTGTAAACAAAGTTTTTGCAGCAAATCAAATCCGAACCCCCTACCCCAAATAATATAAATATGTGACAATCAGCTGGCGGAAGTCATAAACGACCTCCCCCTCCGTTAACCGGCAGATAAAGCCTAATTGTGGTGGAAACAAGATGTGGTATTTACTTTGGCCTCCCACACAAACGGTTTATTCAGATTAGAAAATGGGCTCGGATTTCAATAAAATTTTAAAAAAATATTTTTTGACATTTGGTGTCGTAAAAGAAGTAATACACTACCTTACCCTACACTATCATGCTTTACTCTACCCTACCTTACCCTACCCTACCCTAACCTACCCTACCCTACCCTTCCCTACCCTACCCTACCCTACCCTACCCTACCCTACCCTACCCTACCCTACCCTACCCTACCCTACCCTACCCTACCCTACCCTACCCTACCCTACCCCTACCCTACCCTACCCTACCCTACCCTACCCTACCCTACCCTACCCTACCCTACCCTACCCTACCCTACCCTACCCTACCCTACCTTGCCTTGCCTTGTCTTGCCTTGCCTTGTCTTGTCTTGCCTTGCCTGTTCCTACCCTACCCTACCCTACCCTTGCCTTGCCTGTTCCTACCCTACCCTACCCTACCCTACCATATCATATCATACCCTTAGACATGAGGAACGTTCCGGGCTAGCCTTGACCCAAATTTAGGTCAGGCTAGGCCTGAAAATGAAAGCCCGGCCACAGAAGCCGGCCCTTTTGCGCATAAAAAGATTCGGGTCAAGCCGGCCCTGAGCAAAATTGAGATCAGGCCTTTCTCATGTTTACCTACCCTACGCGACCCTACCCTATCTTACCCTACTCTGCCCTTAAACATGAGGAACGTTCCGGGCTAGCCTTGACCCAAATTTAGGTCAAGCTGGGCCTGAAAGACCCGGCCCTTTTGCACGTAAAAAGATTCGGGTCGGGCCGGCCCTTAGCCAAATTGAGATCGGGCCGGGCCTCGAAATTGGGCCTGGCACGTTTCTCATGTTTACCTACCTTACCCTATCTTACGCTATTTTACCCTACCCTTACCTTATCATAGCCTGTCCACCCTACACTAAAACTGATGAGTGTTTTCAAACATTAGACATGAGAATTTCAAATGTGTTCCCTGTTTCTTACTTTCATCTCTTTAAAACGGCCATAAAACAAGGGCAATCAACCTTGATTTAATGACATTTTATACGACACGCTTGCTTAATCCTGTACAACAACACAATTGATTGAAAAAATTGCAATTTCTTGTTTTGTAAAGAAAGTTAATGCCATTTTTTGCTTTGTAAAGAAAGTTCTTGCCATTTTTTGTATTGTAAAGAAAGTTCTTGTAATTTCTGATTTTGTAAAGAAAGTTTTAAACTATCTTTCAATGTCGATTTTCTCGAAGTTGACTGGAAACTTCTGCAAACCTTTACAACAACCAAAATCGACCAAACTATTTACAAATATAAAAACGACTACAATAGACATTGTTTATTTCAGATATAGACCGTTTTAAATAGTCACAGTCAGTCACGAGATATTGATTCCTCCTGCATACCTGTTCCGGTGTGTTTTCCGGACAGGCTTGGAACATCGAGCTACTCATTGGCTGGGTGCTGGAATCGTTAAACGTGGTGCATGTGACACACAGCTCTTGGTCCGATGACACGATGAAGCGGCTAGCCTCCTACTGAATGGTACCATTAGTCCTCTGATTCGATCATACGAACGCAACCTCTTTCACTTCATCCTGGAATGTAAAGCCCGATAAAAATGAAAATAAATGGAAAAATACACCAAACCCAATGTAAACACCAAAAATACTAAAACTCAAAAAACCTACAATTGTGAACATTAGCTCACTGACATTTGAACAACCCGATGGTTTCTTGTTGTCACCATCTAACGTCAACACCTTCAGCCTTCGTCCACACAAGACCATTCCTTGTCTGACCGAATTCTGGTTGCCACAAATGGTCAAACCTTCATGGGTCATTGGCCAATCTCTAGTTCACGGCCCGACACGACAAAAGCAACTAGCCTCCTAATGAATGGTATCATTAGTCCTCTGATTCGATAGTTGCGTTCTGGAATCCTTGAACTTGGTGTACGTCACACACATGGTCCGAGACAGAAGCGTAAGAGCGGCTAGCTTGGAGAAAAGGGCCGAAAAGTTGAAAGCAACCACATGTGAGACAGTTCTTGGTGCAACGACAAAAGCATCAGGGCGGCAATCTTGGTGAAAAGCCGTGAAATTCGTGGCAACCATCTTCGAAGCAAGACGGTGATCAAATGACCCTTTTATTCCTACTATATGGTACCATGAGTCCTCTGTTTCGATAGTACCATTGGTCCTTAAATTCGCGAATAAAGCGAGATCTACAATTTTAGCCATATCATACCAACTCAATACATATAAAACTTACCCTGCCAGACATAACTTGCGTGCTTTGGCATTGCGTAAACCGTGTCGCCTTCAGCTGAGTGCTAGAATCCTTGAAGGTGGTGTAGGTGACACACAGCTCTTGGTCGGACGATACGACAAAGCGGAACTGAATGGTACCATTAGTCCCCTGATTCGATCGTACAAACATCTTTTACTTCATCTTCGTCCTTGTACATAAAACCAGCTAAAAATATTGAAACATACATCAACCTAGGTATGTAAACACCAACTAAACTAACGAAGTAAACCGTAATAAATTCAAAAAACTTACTTAGCCGACGTGCCAGACGTAAGTTTCAGCTTTGACATTGAGTCAACCGTGTAGCCTATAGCTGCGTGCTGGAATCCTTGAACGTCGTGAACGTCACGTAGTTCTTGGGTTGACGACACGTCAGAGCGACTAGCCTCCTACTGAATGGTACCATTGGTCCTCTGATTCTTTCTTGCTGGTACCATTAGTCCTGATTTGATGGTACCATCATCCCTTTGGTCCTAGCCGTAGATGTCTATTCTGGTGTTTTTTCGTTTCTCTATGACTCTGCCATCCTAGTCGTATCACACAAACCCAACATCATTAGTTTTCTTGGAAGTAACCACGAAGAGTCGGCGTAGTTCCTTTTCTACGCTACCCCGAGTTCCTATTTAATGGTACCAGTCGTCCTCTAATTCGTTTTGGACAGCACTAATATGGCTTGACACGTCCTTCTTAAAGTTGGGTTCCTTGATGGTACCATTAGTCCTCAATTCTGTCTTGATGGTACCATTAGTCCTCATTCGACCCTTATAGTACCATTAGTCTTCGATTCGGCCCTTAAAGTACCATTAGTCTTCAATTCTTTCCTGATGGTACCATTAGTCCTCAATTCTTTCTTGATGTTACCATGAGTCCTCGATTTCAGTTCATGTTCAGCTGACAGCCATAATAAGGTTTGGTTTAGCTTCGAGACAGCGGCCGAAGAGTTGGACCTAACCACCTTGAGCACGGTGCACGGAGCAGAAGGAAAGTGCCACGTCGACAAAACACAGAGCAGTGATCCCGGCCGCCTCCTGGAATGTGAAAGTGATCAAATGAGCTAGGATCGCCATTTTCGGCTTACGAAGACTTTGAATTCGAAATATGCAAATTTGGAAAATTCGAGAAATTATCGAATTTTGAGAAATTCAAATGAAATCATCAAAAAACAACAATTTTAATTTTTTTTTTTTTGATTTTTAAAAGGCAAAAACTCAAAAATAAACGTTTTTGCCTAAATTTATCGAGAAACCCTCATCTTATCATCTTAACAAACACGAAATAAAACTCAATAAAAAGCTCTCCAGCATCTGATAAGTATTATTCATACCTAAATTTGAAACAACAATATAAACATCAATGTTTAAAAGGTAAAACACTACAAAAAACCTTGTTTTAGCCATCAAAAAACAATTTTTAAACTTTAACACGAAGAATATAATATTCATCAAGTAAAACCTTTTTTTAGGTAACAAAAACGTTGTAACCTTACGCCATCAAGTATTTATTTGATTCTTCATTCAGTTTCCAATCTCATTGTGTTCACAATTCAATGAAAACATGCTCGTAATCCCACTATTATCAATTTGTTACCTAAAATTAGAAAACAAAAAAGAAAAAAAATGTTACCTCAAAATCTGTTGGATCAGAACCAGAACAGCTTTATTCACTTCTGTTACTTTCATTTTCACTTTGCTTAAACTTGATATTGTCCATAAATAGTAGCAAATCCAAACACATGCCCTCATCTGACGAATTTGGAGCTCTTCCACAAGGCATTGTTCTCGAGAACCTAAAACAATATAAATGAACATTTAACAGTTTAAATTGCAATAAAACTGACGGAAAATATCACAAATAGCACAAACGATACAAGAATGAAACAAAAACAATACCCATAAAAGTAAAAACATGTAATACACAAATGCTTCCTCAAAAAGATCTTGTTATAGATAAGCGCGCAAAAGAATCAAGAAACAACACCAAAGCATCAAACAAATTTAAAATCTTGCATTGCTATAACATTGAACAAGATATAGCAATCACTTATTCGAAATTACATGGAAGTAATTTACCTCCACAAAGACATTTTCGGTCAAGTTTATTGTTCAGAAAACATTATTTGTTCCGGACAGGTTTCTTCGTATAAAAAGTTTCTTCCTGAAATTTCTAGTTTTTCCCATTCCCATATTTGCATATTTCGATTTCAAAGTCTTCGTAAGCCAAAATCGGCCAAAAAGGGTCATTCAGTCATCGACTCGTCTCGGAGATGGTTGCCACGTACTTTCCGGCTCTCTTCTCCAAGATCGCCGCTCTGGCGCTGCTCTCACAGTTCACGGATTCTACCAATGAACTAGAGGCTGTACGGTATATGCAATGCAAAAGTACGGAACTCACGTCCGGCAAGCCGGCAGGGTAAGTTTTTCGGGTTTTTGAAGGTTTATTTTTTATTTTAGGAGTTTATTTGGTGTTTACACAGAGTTTGGTAGATTTATCGATATTTTTGTTATGCCACGTTTTTATCTTTGTTTTATGACATTTTAGAGTATTCAAAAAGGTCTCTTCCGAGTACAAATTGCTGCAGCTGTACCCGGTGAACACGGCTCTCGACTCCATCGTCTTTAATGGTTTGCGCACTGTTGATGAGTAAGTTAATTTTTCTCCGATGATAGTGTTCCACCTTTTGTTATGAATATTGTGTGTTAAACTAGGGACACATATTTTGTTTTTAGTAAAACCCAGCTCATTGGGCTGTCGCTGTTAAAGCTGAAACCAGGCGAATCCAAGGTGTTGAAAACCAATGTGCATGCCGAGGAACCTCAATTCGGTGTCGCCGATGGTCACATCTTTTACCAAGATTGCCAAAAAACCAAGGACATAAATCACTTTGACATGACCAATGTAGGCCAAGAAGTCAGTATGACCAATGAAGGTCTGACCATCTGTGGCAAACCAGAGTTCGGCCTGACTAATGATGGACTTGTGTGGACGAAGGCTGAGGGATGTTGGAAATTGGATGGGAACGACCTGAAGCCTTCGGGTTGTTCAGACGTCACCGAGCTGGTCTTCACAGTGGTAGGTTTTTACTTTGTATTTTTAAGCTTTTATTATATTCTTCAACAGGTTTTGTGGATTTTAGTTGTTTTTTCATTTAAAAACTAGTTTTAATTTACATTTTTTGAAAATTCAATAGAAATTTTATTGAAATCTAATTGAAATTTTGATTTTTAATGTTTCAGGAAGCATTGGTGAACATGGATCCCACGATCTCCCAAGATGTGGACCAGTCCGACTTGAAGACGCTGCTGATCTTGGTTCACAGCCAGTAAGTTGGTTAAGTTTGATTTTTGAAAAACTTTTTGTCATTTTTACTTATTTTTTATCTTTTTCATTTTTACTTTAATTTTTGAAAACTAAGCTTATTTTTCAGGCTTGCTCCACAGACCACCACCACTATCACCACCACCCTGATGGATGACACCACTACTTTGGATGATACTGAAGATACATTCAGTACAAATACGACCAGGCCTCCTTACACGGGCGAGTAAGTTGATTTTTTAATTTTTGTGTTTTTTGAAGATTTTGTTAAAAATTTTGATTTTTGAAGTTTTTGAAAATTTAAAAAATTGAAACGATCAAAATTTGCATAGACTTTAGGCTTCAAACATAGTTTTGTATTTTAATTTTTTTAAAATTTTTTTTAAATTTTTTGATTGCCTGCTCGACAAGGTTGGCTGGGCCGTCAGTTGCATAACGATCATCGTTATCACTTTCTTAACGTTTGTTTTCGGTTTCTATCTTACCGACTGTTGCAAACACTTGCCGAGGCGACTCCCACTGCCTGATGAATATCGCAAGAGGTCCTCGTCTACTTCCTCAAACAGCAGCACTTCCTCATTCACCGGCAATTCGTCAGGCACCAGCACTCCCTCAGGCACCAACAATGACCCCGTCTCCAAGATCAACAGCAACGCCGGCAATTCCTCAGGCACCAGCAAAGACCACGCCTCCAAGATCAGCAACGCCAGCAATTCCTCAGTCAACAGCCCCAGCAATTCAAGTCTGGCACGGGAAAGAGCAGAAAGTCGTCCGGATCTTCCGGAACATCGACCAAAACTGGCAGCTCGAACAAGCGCGGCAAGCCCAAGAAGGCCACACCAAAAGAGGATGAATCAAAAAAATTGCCGGGGGATATGTCTCAATTGAGTCTATCTTAACTCAAACTAAATCCGGAAACCACACCACAACAGAGATTCGTGAGCAAGACGGGCCAAAGAAAAGTACATTTTAAAATTATTTTTTTACATGCAAATTTATGGGAAAATCAATTTAAAATAAAAAATTTTATGAAATTTAAAAAAAAGAAACCGGTCAGTCCCATGAATTTTTTCGAAGTGAGCGGTCGGGTTTCAACTATTTTGATGAAGATACGATGGCAAACGAAGATGTAGGTATGTTTTCTGATTCTATTTTGAGTATGATACTAAATATTATGGGTTTAATTTTTTAAATATATCAATTTTATGTTAAAAAGTAGAGGTAAGGGTAAAAATATGGGGTTGGGTAGGGGTGTGGGTAAGACTAGGGGTCGGGGTATATAAAAAAAGGTATTGGAATTAACATGGGTAAGGTAAATTAAAATTAATAATTTTTTAAATTCAAAAAAACAACCGGTTTACAAAAAAGTAATTTTATAAAATGTTTGTTTTCAAGAATACAAATACGCAAATCACTCATACTCAAAGTAGTTTCAGAATTCATGCTGCATTAGCAGAAATTTATAAAAACAAAAACATTCCGTTTTAAAGTTAAAATTAAAGACGCGCGAGGGCCGCAGGCCCGAGCCTTTTTTACAGATTCTGACGTTTCAAGTAATTATAAAATAATTTTATACTAAAATAAAACAAAACTAAGATATCCAGACCATAGGAGGCCCGTAGGGCCTCCGTTAGTCTGTCCCCCCTATAAATGCAGAATAATGGATGTCCGAAGCCACAAAAAGGGCAACAGTAAAAAGTGGAGAGAGCCATGCAAAGTTTTGAGAAAATCATTTTAAAATTAAAAATTTTGTGAAATTTTGAAAAAGAAACCGGTCAGTTTTAAGAATTTTTTTGAAGAAGAGCGGTCGGATTTTAAATAATTTGAAGAAGATACGATGGTCATGTAAGTATGTTTTCTGATACTATTTTGAGTATGATACTAAATATTTTGTAGAATTTACGAAAGTTTTTAAAATTACTGATGTTATTATGGTAAAAAAGTATGGGCATGGGTACGAATATGGGTGTGGGTGTAAATATGGGCGTGGGTAGGAATTTAAATATGGGTATGCGTGAGGGTATGGCTACAAATATGGGCATGGGTAGGGGTGTAAATATGGGTACGAGTGCCGGTATGGCTATAAATATGGGCATGGGTAGGGGTGTAAATATGGGTACGGGTGAGGGTATGGCTATAAATATGGGCATGAGGGTGTAAATATAGAAAGGCGCAGGGGTAGGGATGTAAATATGGGTATGGCTATAAATATGGGCATGGGTAGGGGTGTAAATATGGGTATGGGTGAAGGTATGGCGATAAATATGGGCATGGGTAGGGGTGTAAATATGGGCATGGGTAGACCAAACTTCTCATACAATAAGACGTTTCATTTATCAACCGTAAAATTCAAATGGTTCCAAAAGTAAGACGTGCCAGCAACGATATCACTGTGATCTAAATGAATGCCTACAAAATGTTGAGAACAAGCACTGGAAATTGGCAAATGTTATTCATCTCTATAATCTATTGAATTGTATAAATCGGTGAAAATAAATGAGCCCTATCACTTTGACTTGATATGTTGAATTAAATAGTAAATTATTTTAAAATCCTAGATATTATATAGTTTTTACAGCTTTTTCAGACGTATCAATACAAAAGACTTGATAAAAAGGGAGGGAGATAGACCAATAAATTATATTGAAAAAAATAGAGAATCTATAAAAATCAATAATAATTAAATTAACAAAAACTTACATATTTTAACTTTCAGATTCTCAAAATGCCTATGTTTATCGTTCAAATTTCAATCAAAAATAATTTTATTTCGAGAAAAAATAGGAATTTGGGCGCAAGGGGACAAAATTCGCGCGGGTCGTTTTATACGCAAAAAATATATACTTAGTTTTTTGAACACGCGTTTATTTTGATTGAAGTTTTCAAGCTATTTAAAAAATAAAGAATCTTTTTTATTCCACAAATTCATTTCACTATAAAAATTCTAAAGTATTTTATAATAAACTAAACTAAGATATCCAGACCATAGGGGGCCCTTTGGGCCCCCGTTGGTCTGTCCCCTATATAAATGCAGAGCCGTGTCACTATGTCCACAAAAAGTGAAGATCGGTAAAGGGCAAGTGAGAGGGTCATGCAAATTTGTAAAAAATAAAAATTTGTAAACATTTTGAGAAAAGGAACCGGTCAGTTTTATGAAAGTTTTTGAAGTTAGCGGTCGGGTTTTAAAATATTATGAGTATGGTACTGATTATCGTGTACAATTTTCAATATTTCAATTGCTTTTTAAAAATGAAAGATGTGCGAGGGCCGGAGGCCCGAGCCAAGTTTTATTAAATATAAGAAGGCAATGATACTGTGAACAATTTCGTACAATTTTAAGTTTAGAATTTGCTATTGAAGACGTGCGAGGGCCGTAGGCCCGAGCTAATTTTTAACGTGATATTTCGGTATTTACAATAATTGTATAAGAAATATTGACGTTCGAGGGCCGCAGGCACGAGCCAATTAGTTTGAATAATATGAAATGTAACAAGAACATTTGAATTAAAATAACCTTAGAATAATAATAAAGTACAGTAGAAGTAAAAGTAAAAGTGGAGGGCCCGAAGGGCCCTCTCCAGATCATAGGACGCCCGGAGGGCGTCCGTTGATCTGGTCTTAATAAATAGTATGGTTGATTTTGGTTGTTGTAAAGATTTGTATATCGAAATATAGTTTTGAACTTCTCGCCAAGTTGAAATAGTGTTTCAAGCTGATAATTCATCGACATTACCCTGCTTTACCTTCAAAGGCTGGTTTTTCGAATTTTTTAGGTAAAGCTTGGCTAAAACAAGCTGTAACTCTACAAAACGTTTCGAAAAGCTTTTCTATTGTTTCATATTGTGATAGAACATAGAATGAGGATTGTTATGATACTATAATTGACGAAAATCAATGAGTAGCTTTTGACATAACTCCCTTAGAGTTTGGATATTGTTGTAGGTATTGAAGATAGTTTTTGAAAGAAAACTGGAATAATTTTGGTAAAAAGGTCAGGGGTGGGGTAGGGTAGGGGTAATAGGGTCAGGGAAAGGGTAGGGTAGGGGTAAAAAGGTCAGGGGTGGGGTTGGGTAGGGCTAATAGGATCAGTGGGAGGGTTGGTAGGGGTAAAAAGGTCAGGGGTGGGGTTGGGTAGGGCTAATAGGGTCAGTGGGAGGGTTGGGTAGGGGTAAAAAGGTCAGGGGTGGGGTCAAATAGGGGGTAAAAAGGTCAGGGGGAGAGTTGGGTAGGGGTAAAAAGGTTAGGGGTGGGGTCAAATAGGGGTAAAAAGGTCAGGGGGGAGGGTTGGGTAGGGGTAAAAAGGTCAGGGGTGGGGTCAAATAGGGGTAAAAAGGTCAGGGGGAGGGTTGGGTAGGGGTAAAAAGGTCAGGGGTGGGGTAAGGTAGGGGTAAAAGGGTCAGGGAAAGGGTAGGGTAGGGGTAAAAGGGTCAGGGGTGGGGTTGGGTAGGGCTAATAGGGTCAGGGGAGGGTTGGGTAGGGGTAAAAAGGTCAGGGGTGGGGTCAAATAGGGGTAAAAAGGTCAGGGGGAGGGTTGGGTAGGGGTAAAAAGGTCAGGGGTGGGGTAGGGGTAAAAGGGTCAGGGAAAGGGTAGGGTAGGGGTAAAAGGGTCAGGGGTGGGGTTGGGTAGGGCTAATAGGGTCAGGGGAGGGTTGGGTAGGGGTAAAAAGGTCAGGGGTGGGGTTGGGTAGGGCTAATAGGGTCAGTGGGAGGGTTGGGTAGGGGTAAAAAGGTCAGGGAAAGGGTTGGGTAGGGCTAATAGGGTCAGTGGGAGGGTTGGGTAGGGGTAAAAAGGTCAGGGGTGGGGTCAAATAGGGGTAAAAAGGTCAGGGGGGTTGGGTAGGGGTAAAAAGGTCAGGGGTGGGGTCAAATAGGGGTAAAAAGGTCAGGGGCAGGGTGGGGTAACATTTTTTTGCCATTCCGCAATATATTTTTTATATAATATTTATTGTTCCGGAGATGTCACTATTCCGCCATTCCGGAGGTGTCACTATTCCGGCGTTCCGGAAAGTGTTCCATTCCGGAGGTGACACAACACGTTACGTATTGATTTCTAACTAGTTTAAGCATAGGACAGGGATCAATTTGATAGTAAAATTTAGAGAAAATATATAATATAAGTGATAAGCTTGAAATAATCTCAACTTGGCGAGAAATTCAAAACAATCTTTTGGACTCAATTTTCTCGAGTTTGACAAGAAAGCGCGATTTAGTAATTTGCGGTCCTATATCTACATGACGTTCCTCTATCAAAAGTCAATCAGAGTTGGCTGGACCATCCTCTTGCCTAAATTCTCTCATAAGCTTAAGATAGCGTGCTAAGCCTGTGTTATATCTACAAGAACAAAAACAAAAGAAAAAGGAACAAAATTTATTTCAAAATGAATAAAACCAGAAACAAATCTCTTCTTTCATAGCCCAAGTAGGTCCTTTTCCGAGCTCCCCTTTTTGGTGCTACTAGTAACTTTTTGGTACTGCTAGCCATCTTAACATAGAAAACAAAAAAGAAAGATCGTTACCTCAAAATCTGTTGAATCAGAACCAGAACAGCTACATTAAACGGTCTGAATTGCAATACAACTGACTCAAAAAATCACGAATAGCTCAAACAAAACAAAAATAAAACAAAAACAATGTAAATAAAAGTAAAAACATGTAATACCCAAATATCGCCTCAAAAAGGACCTTGTTATAGATAAACCCGCAAGAAAATCAAGAAACAACATCGAATCATCAAACAAATTAAAAAACTGGCATTTGTATAATATTGAACAAGCTATAGCAATCACTTATTCGCCATTACATGAAAGTAATTTACCTCCGCAAAGACCTTTTCGGTCAAGTTTATTGTTCAGAAAACAATATTTGTTCCGGACAGGTTTCTTCGTATAAAAAGTTTCTTTCTGGGCTTTTTGGATTTTTCCCATTCCAAAAAAAAATTTTTTAATTTTGAACGATTTTTGTTCTTTCCGTTTCCCAAATTTGCATATTTCGAGTTCAAAGTCTTCGTAAGCCGAAATCTGCCAAAAATGGTCATTCGATCATTGGCTCTTTTCGGATATGGTTGCCACGAATCTCCCGGCCCTCTTCCCCAAGATCGCCGCTCTGGCGCTGCTCTCGCTGTCCCCAGGTCAGGAACTGTGTGTGACCTACACAAAGTTCACGGATTCAACCACTGAGCTAGAGGCTGTGCGGTACATGCAATGCCAGAGTACGGAACTCACATCCGGCACACCGGCAGGGTAAGTTTTTCGAATTTTTGAAGGTTTACTTTTCAGTTTTTAGTAGTTTAGTTGGTGTTTATATAGAGTTTGGTAGATTTTTCGATATTTTTGTAATGTTACGTTTATTTGTGACATTTTAGAGTATTCAAAAAGGTCTCTGCAACATACAAATTGCTGCAGCTGTACCCGATGAACACGGCACTCGACTCTGTCATCTATAGTGGTTTGTTCATTGCTAATGAGTAAGTTATTTTTTCTACGATAGCTATGTCAAACCTTTTTGTTATGAATATTGTGCATTAAACTAGGAATACATATTTTGTTTTTAGAAAACGCTTATTTGGGCTGTCGCTGTTAAAAGTGGCACCAGGTGAACCCAAGGAATTGAAAGACTCTGGAATGCCAAGGAACCTCAATTCGGTGTCGGTAATGGTCACATCTTTTACCAAGATTGCGCAACCAAGAAGACACTGCACTTCGACATGGCCAATGTAGACGAATTAGTCAGTATGACCCATGAAGGTTTGACTATCTGTGGCAAGCCGGAATTCGGTCAAACGAAGGATGGCCTTGTCTGGACGAAGGCTGAGGGTTGTTGGACGTTGGATGGCAACAACCTGAAGCCTTCAGGTTGTTCAGATGTCACCGAGCTGGTTTTCTCTATTGTAGGTTTTTACTTTGTATTTTTAAGCTTTTCTCATATTCTTCAACAGGTTTTGTGGATTTTAGTTGTTTTTTAATTTAAGAACAGTTCTACTTTAAAGTTTTTAAAAATTCAATAGAAATTTTATTAAAATCTAATTGAAATTTTGATTTTTAATGTTTCAGGAAGCCTTGGTGAACATGGATCCCAAGATCAGCCAAGATGTGGACCAGTCAGACCTGAAGACGATGCTTGTATTGGTTCACAGCCAGTAAGTTGATTAAAGGTTTAATTTTGAAATATTTTTTAGAATTTTTAGCCATTTTGCCTTTTTTCACTACTTTAATTTTTGAAATTTTCAGGCTCGCTCCACAGACTACCACCAGCACCCCGGAGGATGACACCACTGTTTTGAATGTTACTGAAAGTACCTTCGGCAGTAATTCGACCATTGCCGAAAGCGAGTAAGTCGGTTGCAATGGTTTAGTTCTATGTTTTTGGAAGATTTAGACTAAAATTTTGGTTTTTTGAAAATTTCAATTTTTCAAAAAGATAAAGATTGATGAAAAATGTTATTTTAGCAAATTTTTAGGTATGAGATATGGGTCTGAATTTAATTTTTTAAAACTTTTTGATTTCAGCAACTCCGTCGTTGTTTATTATTGCATCGGCATCGGCGTGGGCGTTGTCCTCGTCTGTTTCCTGGTTTGTGGCATGCTCTGGTACTGTGGATGTTGGCAGCCCCGGTGTTTCAAAGGCCGGTCGAAGCAACACCAATTCTCTACCACCGGTGGCGATTTCTTTACCACGTATAACTTCACACCAGTCGACACCAAAGCCCCCGCTTCTAAGGCCGGCAGCAACACCAGCATGTCTGGCACGGGAAAGAGCGAGAAGTCACTCAAGACCGCTGAGTTGGCCGAACCTTCCGGAGAATCGAACAAACCTGGCTTATTCAAAAAGTTTGCTCAGTCGTTCAAGATCAAGCGCAAGTCCAAGAAGGCCCCGCCAATAGAGGACCGCACTGAAAAAATGAATGGAGTTTATATTTCGATTTTGGAGGTCGATGCCCAAAGCCCTTCCGGAAAACATATCAAAAAAGAGATCCAAGAGATTGAAGTATCTCGTAACTGGCTGGGACTATTTATGAGGGTCTAATTCCGAAATAAACAATGTCTAATGTAGCCTCCTTGTCGTTTTTGTATTTGTAAATATTTTGGTCGATTTTGGTTGTTGTAAAGGTTTGCAGAAGTTTCCAGTCAACTTCGAGAAAATCGATGTCGAAAGACAAATTTTGGTGCTACTGGTCATCTTTAGGCTTCAGTAAAGTTTCAGTCGTCCGGCCTTGAAAAGCCCGGAAAAGTTGGGCCCTTACAAGAAACCTACTCGACCTACCCCACTCAGAACCAGCTCAGCGTTTTAAAACATGTTTTTTTGTAAGACTCGTGCAGGGGCTGACCCCTTGTACAAAGTGACCCAACATTTTTGCATGAATTTGGCTCAAATTTGCATCAACGTGTACTAAGGTACTCATTAACACTTTAAACTAAAAATTATTCTTTAAAATAACAGTAGTCAGGTATACTTCTGTAACTGGGCTGTAACTTTTATAAAAATTTAATTTTTTAAAATAAATAGACACAGAAAGTGTAAATAGCAAAGTAACATCATACTGTATACTCTACATTTAAAAAAAGTTCACGTTTCTATATAGCACCATTGGTTCTTGAGATATAGAAATCGTAGTCCAGTTACAGCATACCTACCTACTGTAACTTGAAAAAAATTTTTTAGTTTAAAATGTTTATGAGTACCTTAGTACACATAAGTATAAATTTGAGCCTCGAAGAAAAACAATTTTTGGTGTTGACAGGGGGGGGGGGGCTCAGCCTTTACGAAAATCGTGTTTCACAAGGTGCGCCAAATGTTCTGGTACGCTGTTTTATAATCAAGTATTTATTTTAACAACAAATATATGTAATATGAATTTTAAGCTGATCTTGGGCGGGGTAGGTTGGGCACTTTTTTTGTAAGTACATTGAGCGTACTGTAACTGGATAGCCAATTAATTACAAATTTGTGAGCAATTTCTGTTATACTTGTAGTTTAATAGGGCCCGCGTTGGAGTTGTAGTTTAATTAGGGCGAAAAGCCTTATCAATGCGTTGTTTGTAAGATGACAATAATAAAAAGCGGAACGGTCAAACAAACGCATTTTATTAGTATATTCTGGAGGAGTTTCGTCGAATAAGTTTTGAAGTCGAGAGTGATTTGTCATCATTTGGTTGTTTAGCCTTGTTTGTATTGAAAATGGCAGGAGAGTTTTGAGATTTCATTGTTTTTAACAAAGTTTTTGAGCTGAATAAATTATGTCAAGTCTAGGCCTATAAATAGGCTATAGCCGGCTAGACCGGGATCAGTTTTTTGTTATTTGGGCCTCAGTTCTTGGGCCCACATGTACGGCTCTTTTAAAATATTAGGTTGTTCACATAATTCTGCACCCCATATCCCACAAATTTGCTTTGAGAAGGGGAACAGAATTAAGTGAATAACCTAATAGTTAAAATTTATTTTTGTGTTGGCCTGGCTCTTTACAAATTTTCTTTGTCCCAGCCCAGCCATTTTTAAATTTGCTTTGGATTGGCCTGGATCAGTGTAAATTTTCTTCGTCTCGGTCCGGCTCCTTTCAAATTAGCTCCAATCCGGCTGGGCTTCTCTCAAATTTGGTTCGACTTAGACTTTTAAAAAGGCCGGCTTAGCTCAATTTTTTGCCCGACTGACAGGCTGAGCCTTGATTTGAGTTCCGGCCTTCAGGTCTACACCTGTCGGTCCGGTCTCTTTTAAATTAGCTTTAGTCCGGCTTCTTTAATATCAACTTTGGCCCGGACCGATCTTAGACTAAGCTCGGGCAAAGTCTTGTAGATTCTCTTTTCAGACCTAGTCAAGGTCAATAAATCAGCAATGATAAGCCTACAAATTCTTTATTACTCAAGTTCCGGATCATGTTTGTTTGATCAATTTTAACAGGAACTAAATACGTTAGGTAAAAAAAAATTTTTCAAGGGTGGTTTTGTGCCTGTTAACAAAAATATTTTTGTTTGGGGGGGTTTGGTCGTGGTAACAACAATTTTTTAATTTTGGGCATAGTTACAAAGATTTTTAAGATTAGGAGTGTTTCGGGTATGGTAAAAAATTTTTTAAGATTAGGGGGTTTTTTGGGCACGGTAACAAAAATTTTTAAGTTTGGGGGTTGTTTTGGGCATGGTAACAAAAAATTTTTAAGTTTAGGGTGTGTTTTGGGCTTGGTGACAACTATTTTAAGATTAGGGGGCGTTTAGGCATAGTAAAAAAAATCTTTAAGTTTAGGGGGTGTTTTGGGCTTGGTGAAAAAAATTATCAAATTTGGAGGGGGAATGGGTGTTTTGAGCTTAGTAACATTTTTAAAATTTTTTATTAATTTGGGTAAACAATCACATTTCTTTGCATGATGAATTGTCATATTCCTGGAAACTGATATGGCAGTCGAATTCAAATTCCAGTCACTCCCTTTGGGTCGCTTGTTAAGTCGCTTATCTCTTAATTTCCACCAGAGGTTTTTGTTGCTTTAGGCATGAAGCAAAGAGTTTTTAATTTTTTCAACAGTCGGAAACTTGTGCATGGAAAATGGTGTGGATTAGAAATGGCATCAGCTTGAGAAATGTTTTGGGTTTTTTTAAAATTCTTTGAAATTTTTTTTAATTTAAATTTTGTTACTTGAAATGATAAGTGTAGGGTAAGAGAATTAGTACAAGGGTTAAGGCAATGGCAGGAAAAACGTTAAATCAATATTTAAGTAAAAATGGGACAAGGTTAGTACAATGATCAGGGCAAGAATAGTAAAGAACAGGGCAAAGCAGAACAAGGGTTACCCAGGTTTGTAAGAAGGCCAGAGCAAAGGTAAGGTAAGAGTAGGAAAAGCGGAGTCATAGGTAGTACAAGAGCTAATGCAAGGATAGTACAAGGGTAGGGTAAGGGCAGGGCAAAGGTTAAAAAAGTTGCGAGGGTAGCAAAAAAGAAGGACAATGGTAAGGTCAAGTGTAGTACAAGGGCAAAGCGAGGGTAGTACATGGCAGAACAAGTGTAGTACAAGAGTAGTACATAAGTCAGAACGAGGGTAATACCAGGGTATAGCTAAGGTCAGGTCAAGAGTAAGGCAAGGGTAGAAAAAGGGTAGTATAAGAGCTGGGGCAAGCGTAGTACAACGGCAGTACAAGAGCCAGGACAAGTGTACTACAAGGGCTAGAGCAAAGGTAGGACAAAGGTAGTAAAAGAGCCGGGGAAGGTGAAGTACAAGGGCTAGGGCAAGGGTTAAGCAAGGGTAGGGAAAAGTAGTACAAGAGCCGGAGCAAGTGTAGTACAAGATTGTAAAAGAGTCGGGACAAGGGTGGGGCAAAGGTTAGGGCAAGGGTAAGACTAGGGCAAGTCTAGGTCAAGAGTAGTACAACTGTTGTAAAAAAGACAAGACAAGGGTAGAGCACCGATCAGATCAAGGGTAAAACTAGGGCAAATGCAGGAAAAGGGCAGAACAAGAGTCTGTGCGAAGGTAGGACAAGGTCGTACAAGGTCCGAGTTTTTATCAACATTTACAAATTCGTTGTTTGCTAAATAAGCCTATAAGGATAGGCTTATCATTAAATAGTTTGGCGAGTTTAAATGTTTTTAATCTTTTTTAACTTTCTATTACACACTTATATTGTTTTAGACATCAGCTTGACTAATAATCTACCACCTTAACTAGTCCAGTCGTTTGGCAACATTTATTGTGGCAAAGTAGCAATGACAACTGAAGGTGCGTGTGTTTTAAAACATTTTTTAATTTAAAAATACAAGGAATGCTTATCAGTGGTGGTCAAGATAATCAACATAATTAATTGATCAACACATATTTTTCTTGAAAAAAATGGGCTAGGCTAATGTTTGACTAAAATGGAATTGGCTAAAATTAGAAACAGTAACATTAGCTAAGCCTAAAAAGCGGGATCGGCTAAAATTTGGCTAAAAATGGGATTGGCTAAAATTTGACTAAATTGGGATTGGCTAAAATTTGGCTAAATACGGAATTGGCTAAAATTTGGCGAAATACGGAATTGGCTAAAATTTGACTAAAAAAAGGATTGGCTAAAATTTGGTCAAAATAGCATTGGCTAAGCTTAAAAAATGGGATTGGCGAAAATTGGAAAAAATTAAGGTTAGCCAAGCTTAAAAAATAGGAGCGGCTATAATTTTTCTACAATTTGACTAAAATAGAGTTGGCTAAAATTTGGCTAAAAATAAGATTAGATTGGCTAAGCCTAAAAAACGGAGCTGACAGAAATTTGAAAAATATAAACTGGCTTCAAAAAGGCTAAAATCCCAAATTCCAGACCAACTGTTAGCCAACGTGTTCAACAACGTGAACCTGCCTGAAGTCAAGTACACCGAGACCGTGACCACCACCACCACCGAAGTACCAGTACCCAAACGTCGTACTGGCCCAGAACCGGCCAGACCAAAACATTCCAGACAGTCCAGTCAAGCTAGCAATGTTAGCTTAGGTAGCCGACGCTCTTCCGAACAGAAGCGGATCGCCGAGGTTCAGAAGCAGGTTGAGCTGAAGCGCGTTGAAGTCTACACAGATTCTGAAGGCGTAGTCCACCGTGATGAAACCATAATCCAGACCAGAAGCCGCTCCAGTTCGGACTCATCAACTAGCACGATTAAGGCTGAGCCAGTCCAGCCGACTGGTGGAATGGGTCTAGCCAAGGTTGGTGAATCAGTCCTACCTACGAATGGGGCTGATGCTCAAAATGGTGCCACTCCCACTGGTGGAATGTTCTTGGCTAAGCTGGGCCAAGAACTCCAGGCTAGCGACGAAAACCCGGCTTATGCTACAGTAATCAAGGAGATCAAACAAGTTACTAAAACTGTTAGTAACAGTGTTACTAGTCCAGCTAGTAATGAACATAAGGTACCATTGGACCCCACTCCAATCGATTTGGAACAGGTTTTCGCTGTGAGTTCTACAAGTTTGTAAAGAAAGTTCTTGCTATTTTTTGCTTTGTAAAGAAAGTTCTTGCTATTTTTTGTTTTGTAAAGAAAGTTCTTGCCATTTCAGGGGATTCCACCGAGAGAAAGAGCAGCCTCAGCTCGTTCCCGCCAGTCCAGTCGGCCGAGAATTGGCACTCCAATGAGTAAGGCTGAACAACATCAAGTGGAACAAGAGCTGGATGAATTGGACAAGAACTATCGTCGCATCAGCCATAACACATCGATCGAAGGAGAGTATGAGCTTCGACATGGATCAGTTAGATCTGTAAGTTATGATGACGTATTTTATGGACCTTTGTTTACAAAACAAAAAATTGCAAGAACTTTCTTTACAGAACAAGAAATGGCAAGAACTTTCTTTACAAAACAAAAAATGGCAAGAACTTTCTTTACAAGAAATGGCAAGAACTTTTTTTCCAAAACAAAAAATTGCATCTATCGTATAACTTGTCACCCGCAGGTTGCAGAAATAACTAGTTTAATTGTGCTTTAATATTGTAAGAACTTTCTTTCCAAAACAAAAAATGGCAAGAACTTTCTTTACAAAACAAAAAATGGCAAGAACTTTCTTTACAAAACAAAAAATGGCAAGAACTTTCTTTCCAAAACCCAAATTTTCAATTTTCAGAGCCGAGCTTCATCAGCGACAGGTCGCGCCCACCTGACCAGTCAAACCGAGCCTCAAGATCATATCTATGACGATGTGCCTGAATCGGAGAATCAGCAGCCTCCACGACCTCCAAAGCACCGTCGTGAAAGTTCCAATAGCTCTAGCTACGTGGTGGTACCGTACGATACGAACGATACACAAGATCGGATTCTGAAGGAGATTGGCTGGAAAGTGGAGGATTCTGAAGACAATCGGGGCTACGGTGGTCATGGTCATAATGATGACAATAGTCATGGCTACAGTAATCAAGATGGTAGAGGCTACGGTAATCACGATGGTAGAACTCATAGCTACAGTAATCACGATATTAGAGGCTACAACACCAACGATGTGTACGATACAGTCAGAAGCAACAAAAGCACCGCTTCTCGTGCTAGCGTCAAGATTCTGGCCGAGCCAGCGTCAAAGTCTAGGAGTGGTTCAGTCAAGCCCGTAGCTACGTATGCTTCACCGTTAAGTGGATCAGTCCAGCGAAAGCTGAAGACGGGACCTCCTGAGCTGCCGAATCATGAAGCTCACGGTGTAGTGCTGGGTGGGGTCGGTCAAAGGATTCAGAGCTCGAACAGTATTGGTCAGGGAGTTGGTACTGGAATAGGACAAGGAGGTAGAGTAGGTAATGGAACTAGTATTGGCCAAAGAGTCAGAGGTGATAGCATTGGTCAGAGCATTGGTTTGAATAGAAATGACATTGGCAGAGGATCCAGGGTTGGTTTTTTTAAATGGCAATAACTTTCTTTACAAAACAATTAATGGCAAGAACTTTCTTTACAAAAGAGGAAGTGTCATTTACCGTATAAAATGTCACCCGCAGGTTGCAGCAAACCAAAATTTACTGTTTTATATTGAAAAAGCAAAAACTTTCTTTACAAAACAAAAAATGGCAAGAACTTTCTTTACAAATAAAAAAAAACAAGAACTTCCTTTACAAATCAAAAAAAAACAAGAACTTTCTTTACAAACAAAAAATTTTACCTTTAGATATCCGAACACGTTCAAATGCCACCAAAACAGCCAATTCGTCAAACCCGAAGTTACAATGACCCAGTAGCCTTTACTGGTTTCAACTCTCGTCCATCAGCTCCAAGTCACGGTAGTGTTCACTACTCAGAGATTGGTGATGTTCAGTCGTTACGTCGAGCTTTTGAACAAGAATCTGAAGATTCTAGAAGCTACGGAGCTCAGAACAACCTTTTCAATGGTACCTACGGTGGTTCTGGTACCCAAGCTCACGGCGAGCACCCGACAGCTACTATAAGGTCAGTTAGTCAAGGCTATGGCAATGGGTACGGTAGTAATGGGTATGGTAGTCAAGGTACAGACAACAGAAGCCAGAACTTAGCCCAAACCGTTAGTAGCGGTCAAAAAGTCTACCGCTCGCCATCGTCAAAGGCCTCAAACATATTGTCATCGCAACAAAATGTTGCTCCAACTCACGCGATTCGCAACGTGGCAACTTCTCAGTCTTACGACGCCAACGACAATAAGAATGTGTTCCTGGAGAAGCATCAAGACTACGTTACCTACCATCTTTGTGGTCGTCACAACATCAAAAAGGCCAAGAAGCACCTAAGACATGTTCAAATCTACGAGCCCATCCCAGAAATTGTTCCGCAACTCGAGCAACAACTGCTTGAACACGAAGCAAAGGAAAAGTTGCGACAACAAGAGGCTGAATTAGAGCGACAACGTCTGGAACAAGAAGCTGTAGAGCGAGAGTTGCTGCAACAACAACTGCGTGAGCAACAAAAGTTGGAGTTGCAGCGGATTGAGCAACTACAGTTGGAAAAACAGCGTCTTCAGCAACAAAAACATCAACAACGTCTTGAAGAGCTGCGATTCGAGCAACACAAGCTTGAGCAACAAAGGCTGGAACAAGAGGAACGGCACAGATTGTTCCTTCAGCAACAAGCTCAAGAAGAGCAACTGTGGCAACAAAAGCAAGAAGAGTTGTTGGAGCAACGTCAGCAACAAAAGCAACAAGAGTTGCGTCTGCAGCAAGAGAAACAAAGCTGGCAACAAAAGCGACGCCAACAAGAACAGCAACTTGAACAACTTGAAACGCAGCAACTTCAGAAACAACTGCAACTTCAACAACAAAAACAATTTTCAAGTCAAAGTCAGCATCAGACACAGTCTTACCTGGAGCAACGTGATCAACAAGATCGTCAAAGTCTACTGTCAGTGCACCTTGAGGATGGTACTGTACCAGCTTCGTACTATAAGAAGGCTCATGTTCGTGTAGAACAACCAGTATACCATAAGGATCGTAACATGGTCAACTATGATGAGTTGACAGCTTTGGAGAAGGCTTTGTTGAAGAGAAGATTGCTGGAAGATGGTCATAACGAGGAGAAGATTATTACTGTAAATTCATACGGTAATGCTTACGGCACTGGTAGGTTATATTGATAGGGGTCGGGGTATCAAAGACAAAATAGCCTACTCTGTCTTAGATTGTCTATGTCTTAAATTTACCCTACCCTACCACCCTACCCTACCCTACCCTACCCTACAATACCCTACCATACCCTACCCTACCCTACAATACCCTACCATACCCTGCCCTACTCTATCTTACAGTACCTTACCCTGTCATACCTTACCGTGCCCTTCCCTTACTACAGTACCCTAGCTTTAACCATAGCCCTAGTACTCTAATATCATACTAAGCGTACCAAGCATGACCTTTCTAAGCCTAAGCCTACAAAGCTTAAGTCAACTAAGACAAATAAGCCAAGCCTACCTAACCTACCTTACACAACTTTACCCTGCCCTGCCCTACTTTATTTACTTTGCCCTAATATACTCTATCTTACCGGGTCCTGATAATTAACTTCCTCTTCCTTTAAAAATATCTACCCCTGCCTGATACTGATCTTTAGGCTTATAAAGACTACCTTCTAAATCTCTATTGATGAAACCTTCTTATTTTTAAACCCAAAAATTAAATCTTTGACTACATGCGTTTACTGTCTTATGTCTAAATATGATCCATGATGCCTTAGGCATTAAAAGCAGTAAGCGAATGTAAAGCAAATGCAAAGTAAATTATTTGTTTTTTCTAATCTTTCATCTCAAATCTCTTCCCTTTTCTTTCAGTCCCCCCCCCCCTCCTCTTCTTTCTCTTTCCCCCTCTCCCCCCCCCCTCCCTCTCCTTCTCCCCCCCCCCTCATTTATTCATTGAACTCCTCCCTTCCTTATTCATATGACTCGCCTGTTTACATCCCCTGAGGAAAAGTTACTTTCTTTGTCGCAGTAATTGAAACGCTGCTTTTTTTTGTCACAACATAAAAAAGACATCTCTATTCTGTCAGCGGTAATCGTATTTTTAACTTTGCTTAAACCTCCCTTTGTTGAAACGTCGAAATGAAGGGTAAATTTACAGATTTTTTTTATTTTTTTGAAATTTTAGGATAAGATAGAATAGTGATATTGGGCTTAAATTGAAGGTAAAGGTCGTGGCTATGTTATGTCAAAAAAACTTTTAAAAATTTTAAAGTTACAGTTAGGAATATATTATTTTAGTTATATGAAGGGTCTAACCAAAGCCATTTTTAAAACACTTTTGTTTATTTAAAAACTTTATGACAAGGTACAATGCTGATATTAAGCTTAAATTAAAGGCAATGGTCTTGGTTATGTTATGGTATAACAGCTTTAAAAAAATGTTGATGTAAAGGTATCAAAAATATTATTTTAGTTATACAAAGCGTCTGAGAAAAGCCAAAAAAAGCTATTTCAAAACATTTTTTTTTCATTTTAAAGGTTTATGATAAGTTATAAATTTTAATTTAGGCTTAAAAGAAAGCTTATGGTACTGGCTATGTCATGTAAAAAAGATTTAAAACATTTTTAGGCGTAAAGTTACGAAAATATTATTTTAGTTATATAAAGGGTTTCAGAAAAGGTATTTTTCTAAAAATTTTTGTTCATTTTTAAAACTTTATGATAAGATACGACGTCGATATTAGGCTTAAAAGAAAGCTTATCATACTGGCTATGTTAATTTAAAATCAATTAAAAAATTTCGTTTGAGAAAAAGTTTGCAAAATATCGTTTTAGGTTGACCAAACCATAAAAAAAGTCTATCTTTTGGACTTTTTTTAAATTATTTTCAATATTTATGGTAAAGAAAGACAGTTAAGTCTAGAGTAAAAAAATACTATTTTGTTGGTTATTTCATAGTAAAATGCATTTTTACTTTGTCTTTTCAAAAATTCTAAAAGATTAATTTTATGTAAACCTAAACAAGAAAAAAAAACAATTTTCTGGCTTTTTCCACTTTTTTTAATTTACTTAAATTTTAAACTTTTAAATTGAGATAAACGGAACGGTTATGATTGTACTTAAACTGAAGCTGATAGTGGTTTTAAAAATTTTAAAAAATGGTATTGTTCTTGTACTGATACCTCGAAAATCATGATTTTTAAGACGTTCATAGTAATATTAATAGTTTTAAATTAACAAGTTAACCTTAAAGTTTGATATGTACAAGGCTTATTATGTTAGATATAAAGTTCTTTGATCTGTTATGTTGATAAAAAATTTTAAAAAATATTTTTTTCTTAAGAAACACACCTAAAAAGCTGATATAGGTTTTTATTGATTCATAAGCTGTTTGAAAAGCTAGAAACTTTAAATTAGGCTTAAATTAAAGCTACTTCCATACTCTGTCTTATATTAAACAAAAATGGCAGATATTCGTCTTAAACTGTCATATATTTGTCCTAAAAGTGCCATTTCTAGCCAATGGAACCAACGAATCCACCCTCAGTCGCCCTTCATCGGAAGCCCATCACGCTCATGCCAATTCGGGTGTAACCCATCAACATCAAAATGGCATTACTCGTGAACATGAGCAACGTGAAATTCATGGTAGACATGAACATCACGGTCAGGAACATGTGTACGATGAGGTACCGGATTCGAAGAAAAGAGTCGAATCTGGCTCTGAAAGTCATCGTAGCGCCTTGGAGAGCGGTGATCTGAGCGATGCTACTTTGCAAAGTCATAAGGAGTACAAGGAGCAAGGTATGGTAGACTGGAGAGTTTTTGAAATTTCAAAAATTTTAAAATCAAAATTTTTTTAAATAAAAATATTTTAAAAATTTCAGTGTCCCGCTCCGAAAACGGTCAAAGAATCGTCACAGAACATCACCACGTCGTCGATGTGTGCCCACTGTGCACGGTGGAAGATCGTCGACGTGAACAGGACAATGTTTCCATTTTGTCCTTCCCTACCACAATTTACGACCAGATTGAATAATCGACCGGTTTTTTGTAGCAATTTTACTAGTCTTGCAATATCTAACAGAATATACCAAAAATATTGATTTTAAGCCTGCCTTGGGGCTTTTAACGCTAAATTTTAAAAAATTACAATTAAAAATTTTTGCTTGTATTGTGTTTTAAATATATTGTAGTAGCTTTTTAGATAATAGCTCTGTAGAAAGTAAATTTTTAAATTAGTTAATAAACTTATTTTAAGAAAAGTTCGATTTTGTTACCTAAAAAAATATAATTTTGCCAAAACAGTAAATTCTCAAAATTTCAAGTCAAATTGTAACAAAAAGTGCCATTTTTAAGCCACCAAAATTATAAAAAACAACTTTCATTACCTAAAAATCTATAATAACATAAAAATGATTAAAACAATCAAAAATGCGTACGCCACTTGAGATTCCAAGGACGTCTCCGATCCAAGTACTAATCAAGCGCATCGTTGCTTAACTTGCCAGATCGGACGGGATGGCGTGCGTTCAACGGGCTATGGGCGTACACATTCGCTTCTCTTTCGTTTTCGAAGGCAATCGAAAGGGACTGTCTAATTCTCTCGGAAAGTCCGTTTTTTAGCTTTTCTTTCATTTTTCTCTATCTTTTAAAGTAAATAATTTAAAAACTGTTTAACATAAAGAGAGACCAGAGTCTTCGGAATGTATATACGAATATGCGAGAGAATACCTCTCTTCGCGAGAGATATAGAGAAAAAACGAGAGACAGTGCGCATACCTACAACGACAAAAGAGACCACCAGAGCCTTCGAACAGCTCCAAAAGCTTGTCTTTCACACTCAAAAAACAAATGACAGTTTTATTTAGCGCTGGAAGAAAGACAACATCTTCGGTTTATTAACCCAAGTTTGAGGTTAGCTCATGTTTCGGCTCTGAACTCTCAGTGGCTGATCAACGAGAAATTTTGGAACGCTCTGCTTATTGTGGGGCATATTTAAATTGGTACAATTGGTACTGAAAATTATTTTTAGGTTGCAAAGAGTAGACTGGATAAGGCAGAATAGGGTATAGTATAATATGGCAGGGTGTGGTACTGTATTGTATGGCAGGACAGGATAGGGCAAGGTAAAGTAAGATAAGGTACGGTAGGGTACTTAAATTTATATTATTCATTTTTAAGCCTTTATTTAACAACAAAAACCATAAATAATGTCATTTTATTACGTTCAGTTAGAAAATGTCACTTTTTAATCATGTACCTAGTGTATGGCACAACATATCTCATGGAAATGTTGAAGTCAAGTTGGTCGACCTGAAAGATCACGGTAAAACAGTACCATTTGCACCATGATATGAAACGTTTGTTCAATCTAGGCTTAAAAGAGGTAGGATAGGGTAAGTAAGGGTAGCATCAGGTAGAGCTACTACTGTAAGGAAAGGCAACAGTAGGATAAAGCAAAGAAGAATACAGTAAGATATAATAGGGTAGGGTGGGGTAAGATACAGTAAGATATGGTACGGTAGGGTAGGGTAGGGTAAGGTAGGGTAGGGTAAGGTAGGTTAAAGTAGGGTAGGGTAGGGTAGGGTAGGGTAGGGTAGGGTAGGGTAGGGTAGGGTAGGGTAGGGTAGGGTAGGGTAGGGTAGGGTAGGGTAGGGTAGGGTAGGGTAGGGTAGGGTAGGGTAGGGTAGGGTAGGGTAAGTAAGGTAGGGTAGGGTAGGGTAAGGTAGGGTATAAAGTCAAGATTATCAAAGCACAGCTTTTAAGCCTAAACTTAAAAAATTTCTAGCCTAAGCCTAAATCTAAGCCTAGGCTTACCTCCAATCCAATTTTTTACTTTCAAACTGATAAAACTCGCTTTAAAAAGCCCGAACCGATCGGGACGTGACCAAAGTTACGGTTTTTGGTGCAATGGTACTGCTGACCTCGGATGATCGGCGGAAGACTTCTTTTCGCAGCGAAGGAACATAAACTACTACAATAAGTGATGGAGTCAAGTATAAGGTCTCTGTTACTGGTGATAACACAAATCGAAGCCATACATAGACATTTAGGAAGTTGATGGTGAACATAAACTAAAAGTACGTATTTTAGATCGTTGGAAAGAAAGTTCTTGTCATTTTTTGTTTTGTAAAGAAAGTTATTGCCATTTTCTGTTTTGCAAAGGAAGTTCTTGCCTTTTTTTGTTTTGTAAAGAAAGTTCTTGCCATTTTCTGTTTTGTAAAGAAAAAAACTCACATAAGCGGCCATAACTGCCAACTGAACAACGAATATTACTATCGCCGAGTAGGTCAACGGTCTTTCTCGATTCATTTTTGTCAGTTCTTTTTGTCGCAGCCGTATCAACATTGCTACATTACATAAGTTGAGACCAAAGGTGGTTACTGATATGATGAGGTAGTAGTAGAAGGTTACTACGCTGTCTACTATCTGTAAAATAAAAAAAAATTTAAAAAAGGTGAGCTAACTGGTCTAAAATGTCATTTAAAAAACGTTTTTTGCAGTTTTGTTACTCATGAGACATGTTATACGATCAAACATGTTTTTTAGCTTAAGCTTAGCAGACACTTTTCATCGTATAAAATGCCTCTTATATCTAAACCAATTTTAAAAATCAATTTTCAATTAAAAAATGTTTCTCTTTTAAATTGAAATTAAAAAAAAACGTCTATTAACCGACCCCAAACGTCATATCCTTCTCGTAATCAAAGCCAACGTAGCTAAACCACAGTTGTGTATCATCGTGCGTGAAGCCAGCTGGATTCAGTAGCATATAAAATACGAGGCAAAACGGCAAAACACCAAAACACGCATACATAATCAGTTTTTGGTATTGCCATATCTAAACGTGCAAAATAAACATGTTATGGTAACTGCATTAATAATCGGGTTTTTGGTATATGTTGCCAAATTTGTTACTGTGGTAAAATGTGAAATGGTAGTTATATATAAGTTTGCAAAAATGTTTACAATAGCCTGGTTTACAATTGCTTCCAATAAAATTGCGGATTTTAATACTATTTTTTAAAATACGACGCTTCTAGTTTGGTCCCGCCACGAAAACCTGAGATGATCTTAAAACAAAAAATAAACGTATACAATGCTTGAAAAGTAATTTATAAGCATTGGGAAATCATCTAAAACTGATTTTTTCTTATTTTCAAAAAATGGCATATAAATTTGGGTCCCACCACGAAAACCTGAAACTGCGTCGCAACAAAAAAACAAAGTTAATAATGGTACAGAAATAACTTATAAGCATTGCAAATCATCTAAAAAATTTTTTTTTAATTTGGTCCTTAAATTTAGGTCCCACCACGAAAACCTGAAAACCCGCAAAACGAACAAAAATTAACTAAATAAGGTAAGAAAACATACCTTATCATAATAAAAAGGCAAAAAACTAGTCAGTCGATTGAATGCCATTAGAAAAGAAGATAACAAAGCGGAATGTAAACAGTGATAAGCCATATAATTTACCGGTATTAGCCAGTAATGGTATCCAAACACATATGGCAGTATGTATTCAATAAAAAACTCGGTATTAGCTAGTCTATTCGTAAAGTGGTGTAGGGTTATTCCTATGCAGTCCTGAAATGTTGTTATAATGCAATGTTTTATTATACATGCTGTGTTTAGTATATAAGTGTGTGTATATTAGTTACTATGAAGTATAAAGTAAGTTTTTATGTGTAAAATACGGTCAGAATTGAATCCATTTTTAATATTTATTTTGCCAAAAAATTTGCATAAACCATCATTTTTGACTGATGTACCGCTATAGCGCAGTGGGTTAAGCGTTTTCCTATAACGCAAAACCAGGCTGGTTCGAATCCTGGCAAAGAAAGCTTCATTTTTTTTCAAAAACTGGTCAATAATAGTAACTATATTTTTTACTGCCTTTTTTCAATTACAATAAACTTGTAAAATACGTCTTTTGATGCTACGTATTAAACAAAATGTGTTAAGTTTAAAAAAAATGGCGAAACTTGCAAAAATAATTGTAAAATAGGCTTCAATTTTTATACATTTATAAAAAAGTAGGTCTATAAACTTACAAATACTCCAGAAACTAGTACGATTTTATAAAATGGAGATTGGAAATGTTTTCGTCGCCTCCATAAAATGTACAACATACGAATACACATCAGATATAAAGGTATACAGTAGACTAACATGTATATGGCTTCAAACCATAGCATCTGAAAAATAATTTGTTAACATGCAATTACTTTCTTTGCAAATCAAAAAATGGCAAGAACTTTCTTTACAAAACAACAAATGGCAAGAACTTTCTCTACAAAACAAAAAATGGCAAGAACTTTGTTTCCAACTTCCTTATAACTACCATAAACCCTTCTACTTCTTAAAATGAGTACATGTGTACAAAATTCGCCATTTAACAACCGGTAATCCAATTACAGCTACTTTAATTATAATAACACTTAAAACATGTTGTTTATTGCACCGTTTTACCGTGCCGTGAAATTGAATTTAAAACATGAAAAACAGGCCTACGGGCGAATTTGAAATTTTAATACTGTCGAATACATGTGTTGGTGATTACATATTCATGGCATTAATTACTATTCAAAAAAATGCTTACTGCGGTATGTACATAGCCATTACAATACAAAGGTTCGTAAAGATTAGGTAGGAGAAAGTGTATTTTTGGAATTTAGAAAAGGTTAGAAAGTGCATTGTTTACGTACTATGTAGTACCTTACAACCAAACAATGCTTTAGTCTTGACGCTCGTTATATTGGCCCTAGCCCAGAGCCCTAGTCCAGAGCCCTAGCCCAGAGCCCTAGCCCCAGAGCCCTAGCCCCAGAGCCCAAACCCTTGATAATTGAAAGAATCAGCAAAATTTTTGTGTATTACCTAATGTTAATGATATAACTATAATATTAGAACATACGATAGTCTTAGAGAAATTGCAAAAAACAGTATTACGCAACCTTTTCTTATGTATATTGTTTACTTTTGTAATATTTGCCTCGATGTAAAACGACCCAACAAATTACTACGAGTGCTGGGATACCTTACTCTACGTTACTGCGAGCGCTTACAATTAGTTGTAAAAGCAAAAATTACCCTTAAAACTACTCATAACCTAAGCCTGAATAAAAACTTCTGCCTTTTTTTAAGATTAGTCATAAGAATAAGCCTAACCATTAACCTAAGACTAAGCTTTAGCCTAAACCAAAATTTGAGTCTAAGCCTAAGCTATAACCCTAAGGCTAAACATAAGCCTAAGCCTAAGCACAAGCTCAATCCTAAGCCTAAATCGGAATCGAATAAATCCAAGCCCAAGTCCCGGCCCAAACCTAAGCCACCAACGATTAAAAGTAATAAACGTTCAACTTTTTATCCCATATTAATCTGAATCCTACACTTATATTCTTTCGAAAGGTGTTTTAGTAATTCACAATAAAGGCACCGCTAGGAAATGCACAGTTTAAGGTGTAATTAGTATCACCGGTAATTTTAAAGCAAGCTTCAATTTATATGTAAAAAGTGGAGGAAAAAAGAAGTTTTTACATTGTTTTTTGTTTTTCATTTGTAATGTGTATGTACGATACTGTAGAATTATGGTAGCATATTTTATGTACATGTTTTTGTTTAATGTTATACTTCATGTAAGGGTATATTATGCGTGTCATGTGATAATTATTTTTAGTTTTAAACTGTTGTGCCACTTCTGTGTATGGTAATATGTTTAGTATATAATACAATACAATTACATGTTTAGTATGAGAATCATATCATAATGATAAAGTTATCCTTTTCAGTATAAAACATGTAATTACTGTGTAAAAGCATGTTACTGTTTATATATACAATAATAACATGGTAGAAACACACTCCCCCATACAACTATAGTTGATACAAAACAACCATACCGTGCCCTGCCCTGCCCTACCCTACCCTACCCTACCCTACCCTACCCTACCCTACCCTACCCTACCCTACCCTACCCTACCCTACCCTACCCTACCCTACCCTACCCTACCCTACCCTACCCTACCCTACCCCTACCCTACCCTACCCTACCCTACCCTACCCTACCCTACCCTACCCTACCCTACCCCTACCCTACCCTACCCTACCCTACCCTACCCTACCCTACCCTACCCTACCCTACCCTACCCTACCCTACCCTACCCTACCCCTACCCTACCCTACCCTACCCTACCCTACCCTACCCTACCCTACCCTACCCTACACTACCCTACCCTACCCTACCCTACCCTACCCTACCCTACCCTACCCTACCCTACCCTACCCTACCCTACCCTACCCTACCCTACCCTACCCTACTCTACCCTACCCTACCCTACCCTACCCTACCCTACCCTACTCTACCCTACCCTACCCTATCCTACCTTTAGTCCCACTTGTGTCTAGCTATGCCTTATTGTAAGTCTTACCCGTTTCTGCCCGCGCTCTTACAGTATCTCACCCTGCTATACTCTATTCTGACCTTAAGTCCGACCATATTTTACCCTTATCGTAGAGACATGAGAAACAGTCTGGACCGGCCTTGACAAAAATTTAAATCGGGCCGGGCCTAAAAATCAAGGCTGGGCCCGTTTGTAGGTTAAAAAAATTGGGCCAGGCCTAACACTCAACCTCGGCCCGTTCTCCATTTCTACCTTATCGCATTCTTAACCTTACCTAATCTCTACCATAGTTCTTATTTTTTCCCCATCTTCTCTACCCTACCCAACCCTTACTCAGTGTTCTTAAATATTAACCCAGACATCAAGATTACCAGTTCGCACTCGTATTTTAGTTTTTTTTACGTTGTGTCAATCTGTTTGCGATTTGATTAAAACTCTGCAAACAAAAATTAAATTGACTGGTCATAATGCAACATGTTCGTGCAATAACTTTTTTTTGTGATTGTAATTTGCTTTCTTGAACCTTTGAGTTGTTTTTTAACGAAATTTAATTATTATTTGGTATTTGTAGACCTATAGTACAGTCTACATACAAAATTAGGCTCATAAAAACCCTCATGGCAGACTTCAATTTCCCTATAGAAACAACTTCGTATAATAACATCAAGAACATAACAAAAACAGACTGATAGCTTGCAGAGAATGCATAAAACACTACAGAATGGTTATACGTTCACCGTTACAAAACAAATGTTTTACGATACATGTTTGACATTTAAAGAAACTATAAAGTGTAGTCGTATTGAAAATAAAAATCTAACGCAAAGGTTGCTAGCCCTAACTTTGAATTGAGTCACAGCTCTAGCCCTAGAAATAGCCTTAGCCTGAGCCTTAGTTTAAGTTTTAAGTCCTAGCCCAGCTCTAGCCTGTTTGAACTTTAGCTTAAGCCGTAGCCCCAACCGAAGCCCTAGCCTAAGCCCTAGAGTAAGTCTAAGGCAGAGCCTAAGCCCTAACTCTAACCTTAACTCTGAACCCTAGCCACTCTTGTTCTAGCCGCAGTAGAACAAAAGTTCAAGATAGACTTCAACTGTTATCTTGCTTTAGCCCTATCCGGACCATCCTATATATAAAGTTGTAGCTTAAACACTATGACACCTTAACATTTTTATAGCAACTTTTCAATTATTATAAAAATTTTTTTCGTTTCATTTTCATTCCAAATCAAACCCTATCCATCGCCCTTTTTGTATAAATTTCATAAAAAACAGATTAACAAAAATCGCCTCAGGGGCGGAGTGAAGTGGCCGCTGTTCTTGAACCGAACGCAGATCAGTGAAAAGAAACGAGGAAGCTGTTTGCACTCGCTTAAGTGGACCTTAAGGCAACAGTTTCGGCCGTATTTACAGTTTCAATTGTTTTTTGTTTACCATCGAAACGTATCTTGAGGTAATATCTATTTTCAAAATTTTAAAATTTTAAATTTTTTTACGATTTTTTAAAAATTTTTCTATCATCTAAAAATATTTACCTTGTAGTAGGTGAAAAACATTGGTTTCTACTGTATTTTGAACTACTAATATATTGTCTACATAACTAAGATCAATAAAACTATTTATATTGATAATACAGTGTTGCACTAGAGAGATTAATTGAATAATCTTGATATTAACATATATTACACTAGACACGTACCCCTACTTTTGATCATAATTTTACTTCTAACTTACTGACATTAGTGATTTTACACTCAAACGTTATTATTTGGCTTGGTGGAGTTTTCTATCGGCCTATATTTTAAATTTGCAATCATATTTTGTCATAGTGACATCTTATACGACAGATTTTACAAAGCTTACTAAGTCATCATTTTAGCTATTCTAGCACTATTTGACCGCATTTTTAGTACTGTTAGTACAACTATCCCTCATTTAAACCCTATTTGATACTTTTAAGACATTTTTGTATGATGACCAAAAATTTTGGCATTCACTACCTACTATAATATCCGGTACTACACTACCCAAAACTCTATCAAACTTTAAATTATACGCTCCGAAAACAACCGTATTTTACCATGAAACCAATATCAAAATCATTTCCACACATTTTCCATATAAAACCCAAACACTTCCTACCGGTGATATTATTCTACCTATTACAATATACGACAGCCTATCATTTGCCCCAAAAACAGGTCAATATTCACTACGGTCCACGAATGGTCAGTATAAACGTAGAAGCACTACAACCACTGAATAGGGTACCAAAGTATGCGGCAACTTTAAATATGATGGATGGAAGTCTTACTGTACCTGTCATGGCTATAGCTGATATGGACGATGCTAGTCCGTCTGAAACGCAAAAGGGCTACTATGTCAGTCCGAGTGTGAGGGGGTTCCTCACTTACAATTTGGTAAGGTTTTACTGTACTTTTAGGCTACGATAAGGCTAGAGTCGGGCTAGGGCCAAGATAGGGTAAGGCTAGAGCATAGTGAGGTAAGGTGGGGTATGGTAAGACAGGGTGAGTTAGAAAAAAGTAGAGTACTGTAGAATAGTGCAGAGTAAAATAATATAGGGTAGGGCAAGTAAGAGTAGGTACAACGTACCGTAAGGCAGATTGGGATAAGGTAGGGTAGTTATGTAAGGTAGGGCAGGTACCCCTGAAGAGGCCTAGCTAAAAGTACATACTTTAACATCAAAAAATCCTTTTCAGATGACAAAAATGTTTGACATCAATTGGCAGTACACTTACAATTACACTAGTCAGCTTAATTATGGCGGGCGTGGAATGGAGTTATCCGATCTTAAAGTGTTTAATGGTTACCTATATGCTCCTGATGACAAAACTGGCATCATTTTTAGGTATGTTCTTGATTTTAACATCATTTTACAACACTTTTTAACGATTTTTGCTTATTTTCTTTTAAATTATATTTTAAGCCTAAAGCACTCATTCTCAATACTAAAAATAAGCCTAAAATCTAAACAAACAAAGCCCAAAACATACAAAACTAAGCCTGAAAACTGCTTAATCTCCCTAAAATATAAGCCTACAAATCTTTGTAAGATTAAAGATCAAGTGACGTCACAACCTCGTGTTTTTACCTGAAATCCATACGATCGTACCGATCTATTTACAAAAAGTAAATTACTGTGTTTCAGGTTAACCACGGACAAAGCGATACCATGGGTAATCAACGCGGATGGTAACGGGTTTCATAACACAAGTAAGTGAAGGATGAATTAAACAAACATAAAACTCTCTTCTGAAAATAAGCCTGAAAGTTGAATATAAGCCTAAAGCTAGCATAATTTTAAAATTGAGCCTAAAAGAAGAAAATAAAACAAGTCTGGACTTTGAATATAAGCTTAAAGCCTAAACTTTCAAAAACAAGCCTAAACATGCAAAAGAAAAGATAAAACTAAAATATGATGTTTTAGGTTTCAAAACAGAATGGATGACCATAAAAGATGAGCATTTATGGATTGGCGGCTATGGCAAAGAATACACTAACCTTGATGGTTCATTCAGAGACAACAATCCTATGTACATCAAGGTAAATCACTTGTTATTAGACTGCAAATCGATCATTTTTAGCAGATTTTAGTTATGTTAGTTAGCCAAAGGTCGTGCCTGTCTGAAACATAGTAAAACTTGTATATTTATACACATAATCAACGTTTAAAAGCTCTTTGACAAGGCTAACACCTGATTTTGGCAAGTGTATTATAATTTTAAGCCAAAAACCCTGTTTTATCCTTTTGAAAAACAATTTTATAGCCTTCTGAAACATATCATTACTTCAATAGATAATAAACAATAAAATAAAATCTTCCAGGTTATCGACCGCTTCGGCTCAGTAAAGCACGTCGACTGGGAGCAGGAGTTCAAAAAGGTCCGCGCCAGCATCGGCATCCAATTCCCAGCGTACATGATCCACGAAGCCGTCCAATGGTCGGACCTACATCAAAAATGGTTCTTCCTACCACGAAAAGTGTCATACGACCCATACATCGAGGAGACCGACCAATTCAAAGGCTCCAATTACCTAATCAGCTGCGACGAAAAGTTTGAAACGTTTCAAGTGGTCAGAGTGGGCATGGTACATCCAACTAGAACGTTCTCTGCTTTCCAGTTTGTTCCTGGTGAGTTGGTGGTTCTAAATTGTTAAAAAGCTCAATATATTATCTATTTTCCGCTGAGATATCGGGCAAAACATCAGGTCCATCAAGTCCTCCCTTCCTTTTCTTCGCCAAAAGTTCATTCCTAAACTACCTTAACATTCCAAAATGACTTACCCACGCCTTCAAAGCTCCATAATACCTAAAATGACCAAGTAATTAAAAAATATTAACTTACTTCTTTGCAGGATCTCAAGACAATATTATCATAGCCATCAAATCGGAAGAGGTGGAGAATTGGCCGCTGTCTTCGTACATCATGGTGTTTGGCATCGATGGACAAGTTTACATGGATGAAACACGAATACCAGGCAATTTCAAGCTCGAAGGTCTCGAATTCTTTGATTTCCAGGCGATGGAATGTTGTTAATGTTATTATCGTGAAAAAAAATAAAAATTGTATCTATAAGATTGAAAAATTGTATCTATAAGATTGAAAAATTGTATCTATAAGATTGAAAAATTGTATCTATAAGATTGAAAAATTGTATCTATAAGATTGAAAAATTGTATCTATAAGATTGAAAAATTGTATCTATAAGATTGAAAAAAAACGATCCAGGTTATATTTTAAAATCCTTTTAAAATTATCTTGTTCATGTTCAAACTTTACATTTTGACAATTACAAATTTACATTAATATATAACTTTGGTCCCACAGCGAAAACGAACGTTTGCGAAAGTGATTTGGCGTAACGTTTTATTAATATTATTTTATATATAAAATCGGAAGAAAGCAAGTGTAAATAGGTCTATTACAATGTTTACATTACGAATTTTAATGTAAAACTCGTTTTTTTATTACTATATTAATCTATTTAACTAAACTAACATGAATTCCGAGTTTACGCCAGATGAAATCAACTGCTTTGCTCTTCAATCGGAGGCAGCTCGAAGTTTTATGAGAACTTGTGTACCAAAAGCTGCTTTTTTGCCAGCTTATGAGCATAAGGACGTGATAACACATGTAGAATTGAGTTTGGATGGACTAATATTATGTGTGGTGTCAGTGGACAAAGTGATAACTTTATGGAGGCGAGTTGACGGGTTTGGAAAGTGGACGAAGTATCAGAAGTTTAAAGTGCGTTTACGTTTCCTTTTTGATTGTAAAACAACTATTTTTAGCTGTTGTAACTTAGTAACTTGTTTTAGGGACACAGTGGAGCAATTTGGCGTGTCAGATTTGCTCACCCAAGCTTTGGCAATCTTCTGGCGACCTGTTCTATTGATGCCAATATCTTCTTGTTCCTTGAGAGCCGTAAGTTAATATTTCTTTCTTTTTTTTGATGTTTAGGTTGAGATTCTTTCTTGTATAAGCAAGAATACATGTTTTTCTTTGTAGCCATAACAAAATCCGGTCGAAAAGCGTTCTGGCAACATCAAACGACGTTGAAATATTACACATCAGCTATATTGGACATACGGTTTGCTCCTTTCTTTCATGGTTTAATGTTGGTGAGTGTTTAGACTTTGTGTTTTTAGGTAATGGAGAGTTATTTCTAACTATTTACTAATATTTTAGCCAATATATTTGCCTTTATCTTTATAAACTTTTATTTTAAAGTTAATGTCCCACATAAATACCTAAAATATTCGTTTTTACTCAATCAACCTCTAAAAACAATCACAAAGCTAAATTTTAGGCAGCATGCACAGCTCATGGTCATGTTATCGTCTACGAAGCTCATGATCCACTTAATATTAACTACTTTAACCTTATCTATGATATTAAACTTGGTACTCGCTTATCAACAATTGACTGGAATCCCGGTCGATATAATGAGATTCCAATACTGGTTGTTGGTTCAAATTCTCCTGAGGTGCCTAACGATAAAAGATTGACTGTTTTGGAGATTTCTACTAATGCGTAAGTTAGATACAGTTTTGGGTGTCAAAGGTTATATTACACTTGAGGGTTTTGTGATTTTTTGGGAGTATTTGTTGTTTTTGAACCTTGAAACCGATACGATATTAGTTTTTAAGCTGATTAAGGTGTTTTAAAGGCATTTTTACTAAAATTGGGATATTACACTAGATACCTTTTTTTTTTGGATTTTGATGAATTTCTTAGCTTTTTTGGTCGTTTTACAACATTTATTGATTTAGAATAGATAACTAGAGGTATTTAGAGTAAATTAGAGTATATTTTATTCTGTGAAGTAAATTAAAAATGTCATTTTCACCCATATTTAGGCCTACAATCCGAGAAAATATTCAATTCGAGCCAATACTTCCGAACGAAAAAGTGCAATGTGTCAAGTTTGCTCCTCAAATTGCAGCAACTTATACGAAGATGGCTGTAGCAACAAAGAGGAGGATATTGATCTACGGGTTCTTTTTTGAAAAATCAGGAAAAACCGAGAAAGGACAGGCTATGACAAGGCCGCCGAGGCTTTTGGGCGAAATTTGTGATGACATCAGCTCGGAAGTCATGACATTACAGTGGAATTCGGGTGGAGCTGCATTGTCAGTTATGCACGATGATGGCACTATCAGGATTTATAAACGTAGGTTTACATTTAGGCTTAGAAAATACATTTTAGACTTAAAAAATGAATTATAGGCTTATAAAATGATTTTTAGGCTTAAAAATGAATTTAAGCTTAAAGCTGAGTTTTAGGCTTAAAAAATGAAGTTTAGGCTTACAAAATTAAAAGTTTTTAGTTTTTTACTTTTAAAATATATCTTTTGGTCATTTTTTTATCATTTTCAGAAACTTTTGGGTCAGCTTTTGTGAAGATCGTGACAATCAACCCACCCAGCCATCTTCTCCAAGACAAGGGTGATACTGGTATGCCTCCGAATCACGTCGCCAGACATAACAGCTAACGAAACCTGGTGCCATATTGTATATGAAACTAGTGCTATATTGAAAGAATTTTATAATTTAACAATTTTTGATTATGTCGAAGAGATTTGTTAATGTAAATATATGTATATTATTTTAGGTTATTGGAAGGTAACTGGTTCATGACAGGAGTTTTAACCCTGAATATATTTTTAAAATGCATTTTTTTGTAATTTGATATATCGCTTACGTTTTTATACTCATTTTTTAATATTCGGACTAATGCCAAAGGGTTTGCCAATTTGGCGGGAAATTCATTTGAATTTTTGAAAATTCACAATTTTGCTTATCATTCTTGGTTTTCCTTATCAAAGACGACTTTAAAGTGGTGTTAAAATCGAATTTAACTTTTTTCATAAGTGTGTCAATTAAAAATGGCATTAGGCTTAAATTTTATCAATTTGGCAATGATAATATACCCTAAAATACCCACTGTTGACCTTAAAATAGTTTCATCGTAATGCGTGTACGTTCGAAATGATATTTTATGATTGCGAAAGGCTGGAAAAAAGAAAACCCGAGTTTTTTCCTTCTCGTAGCCACTGGAAAACGTCATAAACAACATCGAGAACTCTATATAAGGTCAATTTGGGTTCAGTTTTGAGGGATTTTAGCGACCAAACAAGTGTTTTGTTTGTTTTAATTGTGTGACAAAAGTGTTCAAGAGTTATATAGTGAAAAGAAAATATAGGTTTTTGGTCTGAGAACTTTTGAAACGGCTGGAAATGTGGAAAAAAAAGGAAAATTTGGCTATATTTTAGAGTTGGAACAGGTAAAATGTTGGTTTTTTCGAGATTTTCAAAAAAGATATGACAATGCTTGATAAGCAGATTATAGGGTAGGCAATAGTGTATAATTTTACGTAGGTCTTGGTCTTGTATGTTGGAAAGAAAGTTTTGATTTCTTAGTGAAAATTTGAAAAATGGCCGGTTTTTGGGGATTGATGGCAGAATATTCGTCATAATGATAAGGAATTGAAGTAAAATGATAAAGTTTTGTATTTATAAGGTTGCTAAAGCTATTGTCTTTACTTTAGAACGTAATTTGAGGCTATATCTGATCCGTAAACTTCAAAATTTTAAGTTGAAATTTCAAAAACGATCTATCTTTGGGCGTTTAATCTAAAAAATATGTCATAACGTGGAGGATTTGAGGTAAAATGATAAAGTTTTGCATTTAAAATATTGGTAATACTATTATCTTTAATTTGAAACTCATTTTGGGGCTATATTTTATCACAAAACTATAAAATTTGAAGTAAAAAACCAAAAAACGGCTAATTTTTGGGCCTTTATTCTGAAAAACGTGTCATAACGACGGACTATCACTGCAAAAGCAAAAATTTTTGTATTTTTATTAAAGCCACGTGTCTTAAGATACTATCGATACTTAATTGCGGCAATTTGTCTTTGTAAAATACGACCAAATGTGGTCTGATAAGGGAAGGTCAGTGTAATGTCCGCTTATTAAACTGAAGGTCAATTCTTTTTGATGGTCCATCGATTAGATGGCTTTTTTAGAAGATACTTTATGATTGTTTAGGTTTTGATGGGTTATTTGTGGTAGACTTGACTGACGTGAACATTTAGTTTTTTTTTATTTTGCATCGTGCAGTCTTATTTTTGGAAAACGCAATAACTTTCTTTACAAAACGAGAAATGGCAAGAACTTTCTTTACAAAGCAAAAAATGGCAAGAACGTTCTTTACAATACAAAAAATTGCAAAAACTTTATTTACAAACGTGACTTTTAACATTTGTTAATAAATACACTGCACCGTGCAAAAATTAATGAATTTTAAAATTTTTTTGAATTTTTGAAATTTTTTTATTTTAAAATGAACTTTTATGGGATCGTGGTGAATATGAATTGATATTTTGACAAAAGAAGACTGACTTTATTGGTTTAGGATGTCTCGTCCAGCTGACCTTCAAGCCGCCATTGATAAGTACTTTCAATGGGAAAAGGTAGGCTTAAAATGGTACTCTAGCTTTATTTTTTGTTTTTATGTTGTCTTATTGTTAGTGCTCTTGAAAAACGTATTTTACAAAAAAAAATTTTGAAAAATTAAAAAATTTGAATTTTTAGAACCCTAAGGCGTTGGAAGAAGCCAAAGCCTTCGTTGAAACCGAATCCGAAGCCACTCTTCGCAAATTTTTCTTCGGTGATCCGTTAGCGTTTGGTACTGCTGGAGTACGATGCCGAATGGCTCCAGGTTTTAGTGCTTTGAACCATGCTACAGTAATCTTGCTGTCACATGGACTAGCCAAGTATATTCTGCAATATGGAAAGAACAAGCCGGACTATAAAATTGTTATCGGATTTGATGGCCGTTACCGTAGTGCTGAGTTTGCTAAAGATGCGGCTAGTGTGTTTATTAGAAATGGCATTAAGGTGTACTTGTTTAGTAAGGTATGGTTGTTTTTGAAATTTTTTTATTACTCCTAACCTTAATTTATCTTACCCTACTTTACCTTATTCTATCCTACCTTTACCTTGCCTTTTCAGGTAGTACCCACCCCAACCGTCTCCTTCGCCGCCCCCTTCTTGAACTGTGATGCCGGCCTGATGATAACAGCCTCTCACAACCCCAAGCCAGACAACGGCTACAAAGCCTACTGGTCCAATGGTGCACAAATCGTCGCACCACGCGACGTTGACATCTGTAAATTGGCATTCGATGGTAACGCCCCGAACCCCGACTATTTCGACTGGTCGGTTGTGGATCAAGCCGAGAATGCTGATTATGTCCTAGAAGAATATGTCAAATCAGAGGCCAAGTTGGCCAAGTTCAAGGAACAAAATGGAGATTCGAAACTGAAGTTTACCTACTCAGCTTTTCATGGGGTCGGCTACGAAGCGTCGATGAAAATGTTCAAGGCTTTTGGCTTTAATGAGGATGTGATCTTCAGTGTTAAGGTAGGACAATGACTTCAAAATGGCAAGAACTTTGTTTACAAAACAAAAAATGGCAAAAACTTTCTTTAGAAAACGAAAAATGGAAGTAACTTTCTTTAAAAATGTTTCTTCGGCCAAAAAACTGATTGCACTTTGCAAAAATTTATAAAACTTGCACTGTGCAAACTTATTTTTTTCAAAACGCAATAAATTTCTTTACAAAAGTAGAATTAAAATGATTTTTAATTAAAATACAACAAATGGCAAGAACTTTCTTTACAATTCCAAAAACCGCAAGAATTTTCTTTACAAAACTCATTATTTACATTTTTGTTAAATAAAATGCACGGTGCGAAGTTTTCTAAAATTTGCACAGTGCAAAAGCGGTTTTTTAAAATTTTTCGTTTTCCAGGAACAACAAGACCCAGACCCAACGTTCCGCACCGTTCCCAACCCCAACCCCGAAGAAGGTCTGAGAGTTTTGAAGCTGTGCACGGAAGAGGCGGATAGGAATGGCAGTCAAGTGGTACTGGTCAATGACCCAGATGCTGATCGGATCCAAGTCGCTGAGAAACAGGCTGAGTAAGGACGGTTTTTTAAAAATATTTTTAAAAAACATTTTTTTCTGGAAAAAAAATTTTGCACGGTGCGAGTTTTATAAGTCTTTGCACCGTGCAGAACTTATTTTTTAAACATACGAAAAAGTCTTATTGTAAACAAAGTTTTTGCAATTTTTTGATTTTTAAAGAAATTTCTTGCCATGTGTTGTATTGTAACCAAAATTCATGTTATTATTGTTTCTGTAAAGAAAGTGATTACATTTTAAAGAATTAAGAGTGCACGGTGCAGATTTCATAAATTTTTGCACGGTGCAGTCAATTTTTTGGTTGAAAAACAATTTCTAATGAAATTTCTTGCTGTTTTTTGTTTTGTAAAGAAAGTTCTTGTCATTTTCTTTAATTTCCCTTATTTCAGTGGCAAATGGCGAGCCTTCACTGGCAATGAAATGGGTGTCATCCTGACCGACTGGACCTGGCATCATTGGAAAATGGCAAACAAGACAGCGACGGCCGAAGAGCGAGCTAATATCTATATTCTGAACAGTGCCGTCTCCTCTCAAATCGCTCGAACCATGGCCAAAATGGAGGGATTCAAGCAGGACGTGGCCTTGACTGGCTTCAAATGGATTGGCAATTTGGCTGACAAGTACAGGAAAGAAGGTAGGGATGGGATTTGTTTAAAAAATATTTTTAGGTAATAAAAAATTTTAATTGTTTTTGTAGGGAATTATATGGTATTTTTGAAATTGCGCGGTGCAAGTTTTTTATGTTTTTTTGAGCGGTGCAGTCAGTTTTAATCAATACGTTAAAAAGGTATTTGTAAAGAAAGTTTTCGCCATTTTTTTATTTGTAAAGAAAGTTTTTGCCATTTTATGTATTGTAAAGAAAGTTGTTGCCGTTTTTTGTTTTTTAAAGAAAGTTACGTATTTTTGAAAACATGAAACTGCACGGTGCGAAGTGTTGTATGATTTTTGCACTGTGCAGACAATTTTTTGGACAAAAAGGCATTTTAAAAAAAGTTCTTGCTATTTTTTGTTTTTTAAAAAAAGTTTTTGCTTTTTTTTGATTTGTAAAGGAAGTTCTTGACATTTCAAAAAAATATTTTTTAATTTTTTAAATTTTCAGGAAAGAACGTGATTCTGGGCTGGGAAGAGTCGATCGGCTACATGCCAGGCATCACTTTGGACAAGGATGGTGTATCAGTTGCGGCGATTTTCGCCGAAATTGCCAATCACTTTTGGTCGAGGCTGGAGCGGCGCTTAAGCGACCATTTATACGAACTATACAAACGATACGGGTATCATTTAACGAGGAATTCGTACTGGATTGTACCTGACAAGTCGGTGACAACGAAGATTTTCGAAACGACCAGCTTCAACCCACCAAAGACAATTAATGGCACCAAAGTGGTGGATGTCAGGGACTTGACTGTTTTTAACACAACTAAGGGAGCTGTAAGTTAAAAAATTTTTTTTGAAAAGGTGGTGCTTAGGTTGAGGTTATGTGTGATATTCTAGGCTAGTTTTTCTATTTATGGCCAAAAGGCGGCCGCATTGGGGCTCAAGTTAGGTACCACCACGAAAACATTATTTTTTGACTTTTTGGGTTTTTTGGAAAAATATTGCCTTTTCGAATTCCAAGCTTAAAAATAAGTGAAATAACAATAAATATCTATTTTGTATCCCTATATCCACGTTAATATACCTATATGAATATACCTAACCTTCAGTCCCTCCCCCCATCCGCCAGCTCCCCAATGATCACCTACACTTTGGAGACCGGCTCCATTATCACGTTGAGAGCCTCAGGCACAGAGCCAAAAGTCAAATATTACATTGAATTGATCACCGAACCAGGAATCGACCGGTCGGGAGAAGACCAGGTTTTGGCTAGACTAGATGAACTGGAAAAGGCTGTCGTAGCCGAGATTCTACGCCCTGAGGAGTTCAAATTGATTCCAAGAGAGAAATAAGTTATTTATTTATGAAAATTGTGATATTTATATTGTTTTCTACTGAGTAAACTGTGATGATGATGTTGGTGAATGTTTTTGTATGTTAAGTTAATCACAATTAGCTATATTGATATTGTTTTATGCTTTTACCTGGTTTATATGTGTTTATACATCTTTTCGCGACTGGACCTTCACTTTCTGTATATCAACGCTGACCCTTACTTATGTAATAGCCGAACTAGACGCTAACCCTTGTGCCTTTCTCTCCTATAATATCAATTTTTCAGTTCGTTTTTTCGGTCCTTTGTGATTGTTTGTACGTTACAATCGACAAGTCTTTACCATCATGTTTCCAAACGTCAATGTACTGTCTCTATCCGAAAAAGGAGAAGAAGAATCGAAAAGCGACATGGTTCAAAAAGGTAGGTTGACAAGATATACCGGTGTTCTAGCTGTAAATGTTACCCCTAGGCCTGGTCCTAGCTATAGCTCTAACTATAACTCGAGTTCTCGGCGGAGCTCTGACTAGCGCGAGGGTGTGGGGGAAGCATACAGGGTAACTCCTCTCCAGAAAAATGAAAACAAAACTTGTTCACCTCTGTAGATTGGGGCGTAATTTACAATTTGGTGGACCTCTCCCCGTAGCTCTTGGGTTCGGGTTAGCCCTATCTCCAGTACTGGCCCTAATCCTGGCTTAAATGTTAGCTCTAGTGCTAGCCAAGCCCTATTCTGTTCTACTGTCTACTTCCTCACCCTTCCCCAGCGCCGGGCGAGGACTTTTGGTGTGGGGGCGGGGGTCCGAAAAATTTTTTTTTAAAAAATCCACAGGCGGCCGCGTTCAACTTTTTTCGAAATTTTTTTTTCTGGGGGGGGGCGGTCCTTCCCCCTCCCCTCGTCCACCCTCTGCTCCCCCCCCCCTCTCCCCCCCCAGCGCCCTGTCCTGCCCTTTCCACTTCTTTTATCCCAAAATACGTACTTTTTATTTATGATACTTACAGCCATGACTGCCTACGCCTATCAACATTACATTAATTTATTCGACGAGAGATATGAAGGATACATCGTAAACCTTATTTTAAGTTATGCGGAAGCCTTCGAATTAAACAAAGATCTATGTGAATTTAGAATTTAAAACAATGTTCTGTGGTCGTTTGGCTTTACAAGGAAGGGGGGATATGGCAAATTTGATTAATTGCACCAATTTCGACTGGCACTTTCAGAACATCAAGTCTCTGTTGACCAATGAAGCAAAGCTCAAAGAGTATTCCGAATGCTACAACGCTATTCATAAGTTCCTGAAAGATTAGCAACTTGTTTTACGTTGTTTTTTATTTTGTAATAAGCATATTAAATTTATATTTTATTTTTTACATTTATTGCGTTTTTAAGTCTGAAAGATTTGATTTGAAAAAAGTGTAAAACAAACCTGATTTTAAAGCTGTTTACTTTTCAAATTGTAATAGTAATCTTATAAACTACATTAATATATTCCTAAATAAGGCTTATAGTATTTAGTTATCTTACGTATAACATGCATATATATGGGATAAGACATTGAAGATATAAGAGAGTCTATTGCCAGTTTGTCTTGTTAGATGGCTTGAGATGTAGAGACAACCTATTGCCAGGTTGTCGCGCTCCAAAACTCAATGTGAAGCCTGTTTTTCTACCAAACCTGAATGTGAAGTCAGATTGCTTTGCGATTTAGACAGTTAGTCACCTTATTCACACTGTTACTTTGTATGTAAAACTTAAAATAGTTTAATTATTAATTATATAGAGTACAAAAGCAGTACGATACAAGCAACCTCAGTTATTACCTCAATGAATAGTATATAAAGGGTCGGGCTGGAAATCAAATTTTACAGGAGATAGCAGAAGGAACTTTGAAAATTACTAAAAAACCGTTTGAAGTACAACTAAAAATATATAACTTGTTGACTATGTACCCCTGAGGCATTTTGCTTCAACAATATCAATTATAGTTGGAGTAACAGGTTTTTTGTAATTGTCTACTTGTTCTGGTACCATTTGAGCATAGACTTCGGGTAGATGGTCTCCCCATAGATTTCTCGCGTTACATAACAAGCTTTTATCTAATTTATATGTGTTTATACATCTTTTTGCGACTGGACCTTCACTTTCCGTAGATCAACGCTGACCCTTACTTTATGTAATAGCAGAACTAGACGCTAACCCTTGTGCCTTCCCTCCTACAAGATAAATTGTTCAATTCATTTGTTTGGTTCTTTGTGGTTGGGTGTACGTTAAAATCGACTAGTTTTTGTCATCATGGTTTTGCCAAATATCAATGCATTGTCTCTATCCGAAAAACAAAAACAGGGATTGAAAAGCGAAATGTTTCAAAAAGGTAGGTGGACAAGCTATACCAGAGTTCTGGCTCCAAATCAAGCCCATAGCCCTGGTTCTAGCTATAGCTCTAATTCTAGTCCTAGTACAAGGGTTAGCCTTCCCCCTCCCCTCTACCTCCACCTATTCCTTTTACTTCACATACGTACTAGTTATGATACTTACAGCCGTGACTGCTTACGTCTGCGAACATTCCTATTCATTATTGGACGAGAAATGTGAAGGATACGTACTAAAACTTTTTTTAAGTTATGCAAAAGCCTTCGAATCAAACAACGATATGTGTGCCATGCAATTTAAAACAATGTTCTGTGGTCGTTTGACTCTACTAAATAAGGGCTATATAACAAGGCTAATTTATACCATGAATCTCGACTGGCACTTCCAACATATCAAATCTATTTTGACCGATGAAGCAAAACTCAAAAAGTATTCCGAATTCTGCAACGCGATTCATATGTTTCTTTAAGTTTAACAATTTTTTTAAAGTTTTTTTTTATTTTTTAATAAACCTTTTGAATTTATGTTTGATTTTCTACATTTATTGAGTTTTTAAACCTAAAAAATTTTTTTTTGAAAAAAGTGTAATACAAATTTGATGTTTAAGCTAGCTAGGGGTGAGAAAATGGCCGGGCCGAGCCCACTTTTCAGTCCCGGCCCAGGCCCGGGGCCCAACGTTTAGACCCGGCCCGTTTTCATTTTTTCTCAGGCCAGGCCGGTCAGAAAATTAAAAAATTTCAAAACTTAAAAACTAAACGGAAATTTGGCTTTAAATTGTTTTTTTAGATCATTTATGGATCATAGAACCCAATAAAATCGAAAAGCATCAATATGGATTAAAATAAAAAATTTAAAAAAATTTTTTTTTGGGCCCGGGCTCAACTTTCAAACCCGGCCGAGGCCGTTTCAATTTTAGCTCAAGGCCGGGGCGGGCTGGGCCTACACAATCCGTTTCTCACCTCTAGTTTAAGCCGTTTAGTCAATTTTTCACATTTACTGTTTATTGAGGTGAATATCTATAAAATATACATGTTTTGATGAGTTATGATGTATTTGAAACTAAAAAACACTAAAATTTTAAAAATATTAGGTGCCGACATAAAGAACCCGCCATCTTTTAAAGGCAATTACAGGGAAGGTAAGGCGGGTTCTTTATGTCTGCACCTAATAAAAAAATTATTTTTTCCGCTCAGCTCTAACCACAAACTTTTTAAATTCGTCCAAACTGCCAATCGAAGCGAATCGACCATCCCTAACCTCAGGTATAATAACGGTCTCAATTATGGTCGGCGTAACAGGGTTTTTGTACTTGTCCACTTGTTCTGGTACCATTTGAGCATAGACTTCAGGTAGATGGTCTTCGAGCCAGCGAAGACATCGTAGTGGGTCTTTACCGTATACACAGTATTCTATTGGCATTTCACATTCTGGAAGTTTGAAATTATTAAAAAACGCAAAAAAAATTTTTACAAAACATAAAGTTGCAAGAACTTTCTTTACAAAACACAAAATGGCAAGAACTTTCTTTACACAACACAAAATGGCAAGAACTTTCTTTACAAAACAAAAAATGGCAAAAACTTTTTTTACAAAACTAAAAATGGTAAAAACTTTATTTACAAAACAAAAAATGGCAAAAACTTTATTTACAAAAAAAAAAATTGCAAGAACTTTCTTAACAAAAAAGGAAATTGCAAGAACTTTCTTTACAAAACTTAAAATAGCAAAAACTTTCTTTACAAGTCATAAAATGGCAAGAACTTTTTTTACAAGTCTTGTTATTTACTATGACCAAGTTGTAACTAACATACCTCCACAATAATGTACTAATGGTGTACTATCTGACAAGCTTAATTGTGGTTTCGGCGCTTCTGTAGTCATACTGTAACAAATAGTTAAATTTTCAAAAAATTGTGTCAAAATATAATAAACACTCGAGAAAACGGCACTTAACAAACGGGGTTTTTATCCGAACAGTGAAATAATTAAAAGATATATATCCAATTTCACAACGTATGTTAAGTATGCGAATTAGTGGAATTAGTAGTAAGTCGGATGATATTATACTTGATATCAATTTAAGTATTATGTTCAAAATTAGCAAACCAAATTTCTAGTCCTAGCCCAGCGCGCCAGCCCAGAGCCCTAGCCCAGAGCCCTAGTCCAGAGCCCTAGCCTAGAGCCCTAGCCCAGAGCCCCGAGTCGTAGCCCCAAGCTCTAGCCCAGAGCTAGACATGAAGGAACGGTCGTGCCTGAAAATCCAGGCCCGGCCCGGCTTAAAAAGCCCGGCCCGTTTGCACGTAAAAAAAGTAGGGTTAAGTCCGGCACGGTTTGTTCCTCATATCTATCCAGAGCCCTAGCCCGCAGCCCCAGTCCTAACCCTATTAAAGCCTTGGTTTAGGCTTCGGCCTTCAGGTCTGCATTTGCCGGTCTGGACTGCTTTTGAACTTGCTTTGGCCCAGGCAGGCTTAGCTATGAGCCGGACCAGGCCTAGTGCATCTCCTTTCAGGTCTAGGAGACCTTCTTTAAGGTCTAGTAGACTCTCTTTTAGGTCTAGTAGCATGCCTTTCAAGTCCAGTAGATCCTCTTTCTAGTATAGTACACTCCTTTTTAGGCTTAGCAGACCCTCTTTTAGGTTTCGATCTATGCTTTTTTAGGTCTAGTAGACCCCCTTTAAATCTAAATCTACCCCCTTTTATGTCTAAATCAACCCCCTTTCAAGTCTAAATCTACCCCGTTCTCAATATCCACCCTTGAAATGGCCCGTTTTACTCTGTAAAAGCCCCAAAACACAGCAATTTATGTGTGGACCATCGAGATTGTTAATAAATTCCGTTTTTTCTTTGTTTTACTTTGCCATTAGAATAATTAAAATTGGGGATTTGAAGCCATTAATCCCCTCAGGCAAGATTTGCGTTTCTCGAATGTCTGAGGAGGCGGCTCTGATTAACACCCCTAATTTGAGGGTTTCAGCTTGTTTTACAGCTATTTTTGGAATTAGGGGTGCTAAACTCTAATTCGAGGTTTGTTTTTCTTATCCTTGGCTTATTTATCGTATATTTGGCTTATTTTTTATATCATTATATATGGCTTATTTATCTTATACTTGGCTTATTAATGTTATCCATAAGATAAGGTTTGAAAAGTTGAAATTTTTTTAAATTGAAAAAGGCAATAGATTGTGAAGTAAAAAAAACAAAAATTAAAAATTTTTTCAACTTTTAAATAAACATTTAAATTTTTAAATTTAAAGTTACAGGAAAACTCATGCATAACTAACTCCTCTACAACGAAAACCCTCTACAACCATCTATAATAAAAGCAGCCAGGCCAAACTGAATTTTTTGAGCCTTAGTTCAAGCTTTGGCCCTCGGGTCAATATGTGCAGACCCGACCCGGTTTCTTTTAAATTTGTTTTAGCTTGGCCTGGCTCTTCAGCTCTTCTATCCTATCCTATTCTAGCATTCCCTTCCCTACATTACCCTACTTACCATACATGCCATATCCTACTTTACGATATACCCTACCTACTCTACCATAGTGTCTTTCACTTGTTTTGATACCATATATAATAAAATAAAGTTGACAGTTTAACAAATAGAACTTTATGTTCACCATCAGCCCACCTTCACTTGCTTATTTCAATATAACGCTCAATTACTACCAACAATCATGAACATACTACAATTATTTTGATCAAATTATAATCATAACTTCATTGACCAGCTAGCTTCAACAAAATAATTTATTATTAATGTGTTTTACACAGTAAAAAAGTCAATAATTATAAAAAAAGGTTTAAAACCATCTCAACTTAAAGCCATCTCCATAAACTGAATCACGATCAAAGCCACTTAGATCATCATCTCGCCTAAACCGGTAGAAATTGAAATCAAGGAAGATCTTATGATTGACCATACAGCACTCAGAACGGTTTTGATACACTTCTTGAGCGATAATCTTGTTGTAGAAGGCTGCAAACTGGCTTCGGTTGTGTAATATGCCATTGTCATGGCGATACTCTTCGGGTTTTAAATGGGATACCTCCATTGATAACTAAACAAAGAAAAAATGATAAAGACTTTTGTGTTAGGTTGATCTACCCTACTCTACCCTACCCTACCCTACCCTACCCTACCCTACCCTACCCTACCCTACCCTACCCTACCCTACCCTACCCTACCCTACCCTACCCTACCCTACCCTACTCTACCCTACCCTACCCTACCCTACTCTATCCTACCCTTCCCTACCCTAAACTACCCTACATTACTCTACTCCTTACCGTATCCTTAGCAAACTCCACCTCCCCTACCTTACCCCCCCCCCCCCCCAAAAAGTGCCCTTGGCTGTCTAGTCCTGTCCCGTCCTCTTCGGTCTTGCCCTGACGTGCCTCACCATATCATTCAGTAACCTACTACATATATATATCCTGCCTTACCTTTCTTTGTCCTACCCTACTCTGCCCCAACTTACCCCACCCTAGTCTATTACGCTGCCTTATCCCGCCTCATTACACTGCACTACACTATTCTACCCCGCCCTCCCTTTCCTTATCGTATCCCACTTTTCTCTACATTGTCCTACCCTACCTTACTCTACCTATCCTGCCCCACTTTACCTTACTCACCCTACCCTACTTTTAAATTTCTTACCTGTGCTGATCGTTCCATTTCTAATGTGCCTTCAATGCTGTGTTGAATGTTGACATTCAAGGTCTTCTTTACTGCACTAAACACCTCTTCCAGTGCTTCGATTAATGTTACTACTGCTTGTTTACTGGCTTCAAATGACTGAAAAACGGCAATTACTTAACTTTACCTTCAAAAGAAATGCACCATGCCCAAGTTATTCATTTTTATCTTCACAGAGGGCGCAGAAATAGGTAAACGACCTAATATTTCCCTTACCTCAGCCCTGATCCTGAACTGGCTACTCAACTCGATCCTCTTCAAACTCGGAGCTGAACTATTCAAAGCTTTAAAGAAGTTACTGTAGAAGTCCGTTTCCATTTCCTGAACGAATATCGGCCGAACTAGACATCTTAATGAAGTCAAGTGTAACATCAGAGGCAATTGTTGGGATAAGGCGAGGTTTTCCAGCAACATGTTGAGCCTTTTCGTTTTTATGTTTAATATTGGAGTGCTGTCTAAAAAAAATTTTTTTAAATTTAAAATTTATAAATTGTGTAAATTTTTATACTATATTGTGCTCATACTCATATACTCAGGTCCCAGCACGAAAACCCTGAAAATGAAGCAAAATCTAAATAAAAACTTACGAATATTGATTTTCCTATACTATTGTCATTCTAATACTAGTACTTATATTCATACTCATGCTGATGCTCATACTCATTCTCATGCTCATACTGACGCTCAAAATCATATTCATACTCATACCCATGTTAATACTCATACTCGTGCTCATTCATATTCATAATCGTCATCATGATCATACTAATGTTCACGTTCATACTAATACTCATACACATCTTAACACTCGTAGAAATGTTCCTACTGAAGCTCATACTCATACAAATACTCATTTTCACACTCTTACTCATTCTCATGCTCATGCACATACTCATGTTCATTTTTATACTCATGCTCAGACTCATGATAGTGCTTATACTAATATACATACTTACACTCATACTTATATTTATGCTCAAACTCATACTCAGATCCCACCACGAAAACCCTGAAAATCAAGCAAACCTTCTAAAACACGTATTATTAATTCAAAAACTAGAAACCTACATTCATTAGTGTTATGTTCGCAGATATACACCGTTTTAAAGATCCTGGGGTCATCTTTCACCATTCCAATCGAAGACAACTGTTTTACCGTGCCATAGATGATATGTGGTTCGTAGTTAGTATCACTCGCTATTAAATTATTGAATTCTTCCGTTACCAAACAATCCCCAAAATATGACATGTAATAGGCTGGTATGCGGTTTTCTGTAACATATTAACTATTGTAAAGAAAGTTCTTGCCATTTTCTGTTATGTAAAGAAAGTTTTTGCAAATTTTTGTTTTGTAAAGAAAGTTCTTGCTATTTTACGTTTTGTAAAGAAAGTTCTTGCCATTTTTTGTTTTGTAAAGAAAGTACTTGCCATTTTTTGCTTTTTAGTGGTCATATAATTGTTACCTAAAGCCTTACCGAAAAGTAACTTCATGATAGCCCTGGCATGTTTTAAAGGATACCCGTCGACCGGAACAACATATGAATTTCGACCGTCTTCTGGCTCAATTTCCTTTGTGACTGTGATTAATTTTAACAAAGAAATTAATGGTTTTTGATGTCGAATAGGTTGTTGTAGGTCTTCACCTGAAAAAAATAATTTAAAAAAAAAGTTTTTAAATTTTAAGCGGGGTGATAAAAGCCAGAGTAGGGTAGGGTAGAGTAGGGTCAGTATATGTTATAATAAGACAGAGTAGGATAGGGTAGGTAAGGTAAAGCGAAATAGAATAGAGTATGAGTAAGGTAGAAAAAGATAGAGTAAGACAAGGAAGAGTAAGGTAAAGTAAGTGCAAGACAATACACGGCAGGGTAAGACAAAACAGGGCAGGTTAGAGTGTGGTAAGGTAGGGTAGAGTAAAGTAGGGTAAAGTAGGTTAGGGTAGAGCAAATTAGGATAGAGTAAGGTAAAGTAAAGTAAGGTAAGCTAAAGTAGGGTACGGTAAAGTAAGGTAAAGTAAGGTAAGGTAGGGTAAAGTAGCGTAAGCTAGTAAACCTGACCTTCAGCCCCAAACTGAATTTCATTCTTCGGCGAACTCCTGATGCATATGTGATTTATCTGTTGAATCCGGTACATATAAGATTGTTTGTGAAACACTTTGATAAGGTACCGTTTAGATACTAACTAAAACGAGATTTACTATGTATGGTAATATTAAAACGTAGAAAAGAGGTGGATTTTTTTTCGGAGAATCCACCTCCCTCCCTATATTCAAAAAATTATAAATTTCACCACACCCCCCCCCCTAGTCAAATTCCTTTACCACCGCCTCCTCCCTAGCCACGGCCCTAAAAATTGTGTTAACCTTACATAAGCCGCCCCTTTCCAGTCATATAGTAGAGTAAGGTAGGGTACGGTATGGTTGGGTACGGTAAGATAAGGTAAAGTAGCGCAATCATAATCAAACTTACCGGCACAGACGTGCGGTGAAATGCGCTTCTACCGTCCAATTTACGAAACTCCGTCAACAGATACAATATATTGTTGTCACTAAGTTGATGTTTCATCTTTTGTTTAGCTTCTAAATCAGCAAATTAAAAATATATGTATGATTTAGTTAAAAGTCTGGGTTATGATAAAGACAGTCGATACCAACCTTAATAACAAATAACATCACTTTTATTTTGCTTTGGCAGTAGACGCTTTTGTGTCAAGCGCAAATAGAGTCGTAATCTATGAGTCAACTAGATAGACGACTTCCTTAAGCATAACTCGCTTAAGTTTTGCGCCAAAAAACCTTTACTGATTCAAAGCGAAATGCCAAAGGGTAAACATTATTAAGAGATCACTACTGGGTCTTTAACGTAAGATTCACTATTCAAAAAGATTTGTTTTTAAACCGGACTGAGCCAAAGCAAATTTGAAATAAGTCGGGCCAGCAAAGGGCCTGAGCCCAAACCCGGTAACCCTGTTTAAAATTTGCAACAAAAGATTTTGAGCACAGAAGCAGTACGATACAAGTTATCTCAATTATCATATTATATTATTTTAACAAATTTATATAAAAAATCGAGCCAGACCGAAGCAAATTTTACATAGGCTGGTCAACTGTGAAAAATGCGGACCCGAGGGCTAGGTCCTAGGCGAATGCTTGGCCCTCTTCCAAGCCTTGGTTCGGGACACGGACTTAAGCCTAGGCGGCAGTAAGAGAAGACCATAATGAGACCCTTCTAACCAAGGCCAAGCGAGAACTTTTGGTCCGGGGGCGGAGGAAGAAGAGTTTAAAAAATCCACGTTCAATTTAAAAAAAATTTTTTATGGAGAGGGTACCCCCCCCCCTTCGCGCCCGGCCCCTAACGTTCAAAAATGCTAGTAAAGGTAGTGGAAATAACTGTGTAGTAGTATAACTGATTTTAAAATTAGTAATATGTTCAAAATATTTATTTGTATCACAGTAATTCATGTTTCTACAAGACTATTTCTTCAATATATATAACGTTATAGTACAAAAAACTACATCTTTTTTCATGATCATTCAAAAAGTAAGAGAACATTACCGTACTCGGTAATATATCTTTCTTATGGTACCTTCCAGGCCCTAATACAAACGTTTTTAAATCTACTACGCTTTTACGTCCAAAAATAAATGACACATTGAAGAAAGTGCATAATTTATAAAAATAATGATAAGAATGATAAAAATACACTTATCATTTTAAAAATTGAGTGTGGTAAAAAACAAAAGTTTACAATGTAAAATGAAGTATATCGCGGTTGAAAAAGGCAATTCCATGGGTTAGAGATACAATATTTACACTTTGAGCACCCGACATTGGTTTAATTAACATGACAAACAAGAATTGTTACAAGCAGGGACGCCGCCAGAGGGAAGGAAAGATGAGGGGTAAATCGGGGTGGATACACACTCAGAGCCAAAAATATGTAAAAATTTAAAAATTTTTTTTGAAAAATAAATGAACTACCTATGTAGCTGACATAGCTACCGGCAAACCAAAAAAAAATTATGGCTTCCACTCCCCCCCCCCTCTACCTACACCTACAATACAAAGGTGTAGCGAAAACCCTAATTACAACAAAGACCAAATAGTTATTTACAAGTTTGACCAAAATAAAAAATTTAAAAAAATAAAAATCTTGTAGTTCTTCTTCAGAGTGAGCTTGATGTAACACAGTAAATCATCAGCCTTCCTGGTATAACACAGAAAATTACCAAAAGTCTTGATATACCAAAGTAAATCCCAAGTCTTTCTGATGTAACACAGTAAATCATCAGTCCTCCTGATATACCACAGTAAACCATCAAAAATCCTGACATAACACAGTAGATCATCAAAAGTCGAAACAATATTGTAAGTAATAATAACTCCTCTTACATTCAACCTGAGGTCCGTCGTGTGTTCCAATTTACTCTCGTGAAGTTTCGAGATTTAGCCAATGGCCAAGGATTGGCTTGGCCGGATGGAAGTTGGTTAGTATGAGCTCCGACTAAAATTATATCACGTTTAACAAGAACTTTCTTTACAAAACGAAAAATGATAAAACTTCCTTTACAATTCAAAATATAGCAAGAACTTCCTTTACAAAGCCAAAAATCGCAATAACTTTCTTTACAAAACAAGAAATGACAAGAATTTTCTTTCAAACCATAAAATAGCAAGAACTTTCTTTACAACACAAAAATGGCAAACACTTTCTTTACAAAACGAAAAAAAAGTACCTCGCCCAAAGTTGGTGGTCGAGCCAAAACCCCGTAGTTAAGTGAGTCTTTGACCGAGAACTTGATTTTATGTTGTGACACTTCGTTCGCATCAATGTCAAACTCCAGTTCAGTGTTGATTCTGTAGACTGGGCCAGCGTTCTCGATATTATTCGTGCGTTTCTTCGCTCTGGCATTGGTCGATCGTTGTGGGATTAATTTGACTTGAACGTAGGGTAATACTGAGCCATCTGATGCTAGGGGTAATATATCTCTGAAAGTTTTGGTTTTATAGGTAAAAAGTAGCATTTTGACAATTTGTTCAATTTTTTTAAATTTTAAAATTAAAAAATTTTTAATTTTTTTTATTATTTCCTATTCACATAAACCTAAAAAAAGGCCCTTAAGCCCAACTGCTCCCCAAGTCAAAGCAAATTAGAAAGGGGTTGGGCCTAACCGAAAAATGTAAACCAGAGGACAGAAGAGCAAGTTGCTGTGGTTTGAGGTTTCACAGAGTAAAAGAGATCATTTGTAAGAATAATATAAGGATAATATTGAGAATAGGATAGGCTTACACCTAAAAGTGAGATTATTAGGCCCGGCCCTATGCTGAGCTGGACCGAGCTAACGCTAGTTCGAAAGAAGCCGGGCCAGCAGTACGACACAAACTGTCTTAGTTATTATTTTAAGCGATTTATATGAAGCCGAACGAAGCAACTTTGAACAAACCCTATCCGGCACACATAAGCCCTAAGGCAGAGCCCAAACCAAAGCCTCAGAAGCCCAGCATAAGTCCCGCAACGAAAGATATGGATTGCAAGACGAGTAAAAAGAATCTTATGTTAAAGCCATTTGGTTCAAAACTTTTTCGATTTCAACCCGAAGAATAGAAGGCTAAACTCACTCTAATGATAGAAGGTCCACGATCAATTTATGAGCTGTTTCATCGTATTTTAGGTTGATTTGAAGCCGTCCCACTGGTTTTGTGCTGTCTCTTTGAGCTCTGAAATCAGTTTTTATCACTATTTAGTCAATTGAACTTCATGTTATATTACACTTTCATTCAGGAACGTCGTCCCTGAGGAAAAAGTCTGTAGCAACGTCCCTGACCTCGTTATAGTTATAGGCCACCCACACACTATTAAGTATAGGGAAAGCTATATAAATCAAAAGAAAAGCTATTGTAAGGCCATGAATGTATCTTAGCATGATTAACAGGGTATTTTAGTAAATATACGAAGTTAATACCTTCAAAACATTCCAAAATAAAATTTCAAAACCACAAGCTTAACTCAAACATTTCAACTCAATATCCACTTCATTTCCCTTTAAAACACAACAAAAAGAATGTCATTTTAATTTTCGTATTAATCTTGCTATTATGTTAGTTAATGATACACTCTCGCACTTACAACTGGTGCCGTTTCGTTACCGGTTTCAGTAACTTGGCCATGCTTCGACTACGGTTACTAAAAGCTAGCTGAATCATATTACAACTCATTTTTACTTTGTTTTTTTCAAATCTATTAATGATGTTTAGGTGGGCAGGGGTTTCGAGGGAAGAAAGACGCGAGTTCACGTAAAAACAAAATTTTAAAACATACAATTTTTGATAACAAAAGCACCATTTTACGTAACAAAAGTACCATTTCAGGTAAGAACAGTACTATTTTAAGTAAAAAAATGCCATTTTAAGAAACAAAAGTCCCATTTTAGATAACAAAAATGCCAGTTTTAGTAACAGAAGTGCCATTTTAGGTAACAATGACACCATTTTAGATACCAAAAGTACCATTTTAGGTAACAAAACCACTATTTTCATTAACTAAGGTACCCCTCCCCCTCTACCTTCACCATGAGCCCAAAACCACAAAAGCTACAGTAACCTTCCAAATCAACAACCACCATAAGTATCAAAAAAACTACAGTATCCCACACATCCCCACCTTTCCATCGAAAGAATCTAAAGTTATAACCCAACCCCAAGCACCTACTTCCTAAACTTTGGCTTCAACAACTTGTTCAACTTCTTCTCTTTGAAGCTAGACTGACTGCCGAAGCTGGCCTTCCTCTCCAGAGTCTGATACCGACTAGTGTTCAGTTGATTCTTAGATTCTGGATGCTGTTTCGGATCTGGTTCGGGTTGTTTGGCCGGCTCTGTCGCTACCACATCTTTGCCATTCTCCTTCGTATACACGTTGTTGTTAGTGGTATCGTAGGCTCGTTCGATGTGTGAAGCATTAGCGTACATGCTGATGTCGTCGGAGTTGGTTGTTGCGTTCACTACATCACAGTCCGATGGTACAATATACTGAAAAACGGCGTTTTGAACAAATGTTTAGGTAACAAAAGTACCCATTTAAAGCACCAAACGTACCATTTTTTGTCAAAAATTATGATTTTAGGTAACAAAAGTACAATTTGAGGTGCTAACACTTTAAGTAAAAAGAGTAAAAAATAACCTACCCTCGCCCTCAAAGTCAGTGTAATATGGCTGACACTGACACCGTGCCTGAGTTGAAACACTTTGTCAAACACTTCCATATCCGGTTGTTCCATGAGATAACCTAGGGAAATGCTCAGCTCTCCCAATAGCTTGCTTGTTGTTGAGTCAATTGCCTACAAGTTTTTAATTTTAGGTAACAAAATATCATTTTCGGTTCAAAATGTATCATTTTAGATAAGGAAACGCGCAAAAATAACGTTTTAGGTAACAAAAGCAACGTTTTGGACCAATAGTACCGCTTTAAATAAAAAAAATTTTAGGTAACAAAAGTACCATTTTTTGTCACAAAAGAACCATTTTAAATAACAAAAATAAAATTTTAAGTAACAACCCCTACCTTGATAGTCAACTCCTTGACCTCCGAATTCTGAACAAAGAAGTAGCATTTGAACTGATACACAGGATTGACCGTTTTCACTTTGACCGGCGTTCTTTGTGTCGTATTTCCGATGGTGAAGTCAAGTATGGGTGATGGTTCGAGGTTGGCCTTGGGGTAGGGTAGTTCTCTAACATTGTCCACAAATGCCATTAACAACAAAGTATGGACGGTTTTGTTGGCTGTTAGCCATTCATTGTCATTCGGAATTGTAGCTGGTGGCCTTGGGGCTAGATCGCACCAGAAGAGTTTGATGTATACTTCACCGTGCTTGCAGGCTTCTAGGTGAAACCACTGAAAAATGGGTACCATTAGAAATGACATTTTAGAACCTGACGGATATAACAGGAACATTTTACGCATCCAAAATAATATTTTAAGTATCAAAAATACATTTTAAGTATCAAAATTACCATTTTAAGTAACAAAGATGCCATTTTAAGTATCGAAAGCACTATTTTAGGTTTTAAAAACCCCGTACCTAATGAAAAAAACAATCTTTTCAAATATCAAAAGCCCTATCTCACCTTAGAAACAACCTTCTGTTTCCTAACATAAGATAATGGAATCGAAAGCCTTCCCAACTCCTCATCCTGTCTTGTCGTATCTTCATCAAACATGTTCAACCGTATCTTCTGAACAGCGGCTTGATCCACAATAGCTTCAAAATACTCATTGAAGACCGGATTCAAATTATTATTGATCGTTAGGGTCTTGAACAGCTGAGATCCGACTAAAATAAGGTCATATAAGACTTAACATACGTTTAATACCTAAAATCTTTAAAAGATGTGATAGAGCATTGAATTCGCACCTTTTCATACCAAAAGACCTTGTATATCCATATATTTTTCAATAAAAAACCTCGTTTTTTAGTCCAATATCAAATTTTCAAAAAATATTGATGTAGTTGAAAAAACTTGAATAACTTACGCTGCACCTCACAGTACGGATCACTTTTGTCTTTAGTAAGAAATGACACATCTTTGTTCTCCAAATTACGTGCTTCAACTATTTTTATCCTCAAAACTCCCTGAAATATAAAGAAAATTATATTATACATCACAGCTATGCATCCTGCCAAAATTGGTTAAAACATAATATTAATGTTCTTTAACCTAAACAATTTATACCTAAAACGCTTTTAAAATACCAGTTTTCTGTTATTTTACACAATGAAACCATTTAAAACTATCTACTTCGTATTTATTTAAAATTATATTATCCATGCTACCTGCGTATCAAAATTTTCTCAAAAAATTAAAAATTGAAAAAATTTGTACAAACCATTTCATTGATTACCACAAGAAAACTCCACTTTACCTTTTTATAATCATCAAACCTTCAAAAACAACAAGCAACCAACCTAACCTATCAAAAACATCAAAACACTTACATCAGGTATATGCACGTTCAGTTTCGTCACGTTGACATTCGGAACCAACGGAATAACAATCGAGTTTGGCAAAACACACAAGTTGGCCATCTGTGCATTTATAATAGACCGAATGGCATCGATTAACAATGGCAATTGAAGAAAATCGCCCATTCCAGTAAGATTGAAGTCGAATTTAGGTAACTCAACAAAAGACGCCGAAAAACCTCCAATCATTGGTGGCTGAGGTAGAAGTGGACACAACACACATCTGACTTTACCAGATAACTAAAATTGGTTAAGTTAACCCATGAATCAACAAGTCAAAACCTAAAAATCAAAGGAAAAAAAGTAGAAAATAACCTACTACAAGTTCATTCATTCCTCCGGTAAATCCACATGTTTTGACCTTAAATTCAGCATCTCCAGCATACGCAACGTCCAAATCAACTATTATTCTATCCCTTCCAACATTATGAGTGTATACTTTGAGTCCACTGACTCTGAAAGGCATATCGCCCATATCAATGTCCAAAAACTTAAACGACTTGAATGGAGATGGCATCTGTTCCAGTACTTGTGGTTCAATGAATTCACGCATAAATTGCGCTGAATACTGTGAGATGAACGGCCATAGCTGTCTTAGTACCTAAAAGTATGTTGTTTTTAAAAAAAAAAGAAAATCTATTTTAAACTTAAAAATCAAACGTGCTTTAGATAAAATAGACTCTCGTCCATCTTTCAAACCAAGAATCAACCTTCTATAACGACTTCCCGCCCCGATATGCACGTATTAATCTTGTCACACCTAAAAACCAACAAAGAATAACAAAATTTACCTGATTCACCCATTCTATCCTCTCTGTATCCGGAAACCGTATCCAGCTAGGCAATTCATCACTTGTACTACCTACTCCAATCAACCCCCGCTCTCGAAGAATCTGTTTCCTCATGTTTAAGCGAGCTTCCTGTCTCGTTACCCACATCCGTGTTTTAATAAAGTATAACAACGTCAAAATCCCAATCCAAATCACTGAAAAACCATAGTAGCCGATTGACCAACAGGCGAGCATCAGAACGCCACTGGTGACCACTGGAGCTAGATGATCTAGCCAGCCCATGGCTAGCAGCTCGTTCAGTGGGTCTTTGTTTGGAAGTACTGAAAAATTATAACGTAAAAGTTTTAAGATCGTAAAAATTACTTTAGAAGCTTGTAAACATAAAGATGTATTAGACAACCACAAGATGTTTGATAAAAATAACGACTTCATGCTAAATTTCGACAAAGCATATTGCACATAACCATGAAGAATATAATCGCCAAAATAACTGCCAAACCCTTAAAAACAATGTGAGACTTTGTAAACAACAGCTAAACAAGCCTTTTCTCTGTTCGAAAAAATAAAAAACAAACACATCCGTCCAAAATTCACATAGCTACATCAAAAAGCGTTACCTACATGCACCCACTAAACCGTTTTAACCAAAAACCACAAAAATTTGATAAAAACCGCAAAATTAGCCATCAACACTAATTATCAAGCCGTAAAATGGTCATCTAAACAATGTTTTCGGTCTCCAATTTCCTCGTTTCTTCATGGGATTAACAAAAAACAATAAAAGTTGCCAAGAAAACGAACGAAAATTCCGAAGAAAAGTCCTTTAAAAAAGGCAAAAAAAGGTCGTTGAACGGTTCTAAAGTGGGGTTTGTGGGTGAAAAGGTCGCCATGCATAATATATTATCCATCTTCGACCTGGATTTGCGCGAAAATTTTATTTCCTTCGAAAATTATGAAAATTTCCACAAAGAGACAGTTGACGCGAAAATAAACGGTTGTGTCAGGTTTCGCTCTGTAGAAAAGAGATTGTAAAATACGAACGAACATATAAATGATATAAAATTAGCCAAAATTATAATACTTATTCTACAATAGCTTACTAACCATTTTTGATCAAAAGGTCTTTTTCATCAGATAAGATATTAACCATGGATAAGACAACAAAACCTTATCAAAACCCGCCAAACTTACATTTTTCCGCTTCCATTGTAAGATTAACAAAGAATAGTATTGTCAAGCTGTATGACGTCTATGATATGTTGGAATTTGAACTGAAAACAAAACTTTACAAAAATGACTAAAATATAGCCAGAGGGTGAGAAAGGCTGACTAAGCGTAAACATTCATGACTAAAGTTGTACTGACTAACAAAACTGTTTTACAATCGTTAGAGAAACGACGTGGTTTGTTTAAAACTTTAAAAACTTTTTTTTAAAATTAAAAAATGGCAAAAACTTTCTTTACAAAACATAAAATGGCAATAAGTTTCTTTACAAAGCATAAAATGGCAAGAACTTTCTTCACAAAACAAAAAATGTAAAAAATTGAATTTTTCACAATTTTCTGTAAAATAACAGTTGAGCTGACCCTTTCTCAACTGATTTTAATTGTCTAATTAGAAATTCCGCTAAACTGCGGGAAAATAAAAAAAAACGAAAGAAAAATCGCAAATTTCGTCTTTTTTATCAACGAAAAAGGCAATGATCAGTAACGTAATCAAAACATGATATTTATTATTATAGTTTTGTCGCAAAAACACCTAGATAAAGATTTTTAATCAAAATTACCATTTTTTTCGATTTGTAAAGAAAGTTCTTGCCATTTTTTGTTTTGTAAAGAAAGTTATTGCAATTTTTGCCAAAAATGAAAAAATCAAGCCCGAAAGAACATAGCTACTTAAAATATTCAATACTGTTGCTTGGAAACTTACTATAACAAACGAAAGCAAAGCACATGAACTCTACGTATCTCTACGTCTATATGTCTATCTTGTAAGATGCTAAGACAAAAAGTCATTTTGTACATTGAACAATCATCTGTGTGTAAAATGGCATCGTAGTTTTCTAAAAATGTCATTTACTAGTATATTCAAGCGTAAAAAAATGTCTTGTCGTCAATTTGTATTGACTTACACGCGAAAAAACGACAAGACTTTTTTCGTTACTTGATTATGACATTTTTAATACGCGTAGCGGCTCAAATAGGCTTAACATTTATTCTCTAAACAGACCTGATGTTATATCTGTCTTTAGGCTTAAAAGTTAAGCCTAAAGAGTTAGAAGGCTAAAGTTAAAGCTCGAGCTTGGGCTAGAGCAAGGACGGACTAGAGCTAGGGCTAGAGCTAGAACTATGCTTCTGATAAGGCTAGAGATTAAGCCCAAAACAAAGCCTATTTTACAAAAACTATAAGCCTAAACAGTAAAAACGGCCGTTTAGGTACAAAAATCTAGTATCTGAAGTCATTTTAGATAATAATATGCTATCTAAACATCATAAAGCATACTATATTATTACTTTTCTATCAAAAAACGTAAAATCACATTATCTATGACGCATATCAGTATGAAAAATAAAAGACAAACGGCTGCAAAACCCTCAAATCGAGGGCTTGAAAGCTGTTTTTTTATGATTTTTACTGCTTTTATCACATTTATTGATATTTTAAAGCTAGTCGTATGAACAAAATTAAAGACAAGGTTGCCTGAACAATATTGAGTAAAAACTAAGCAAGTTTAAATAAGATTGTCTACAATTAAGAGCAATAAAATAATGTTAAAAACAGAAAAACCATAGAATTAGCCTTCAAAACCAAATTCAAAATGCTTCAAAACTCTTTTTCCAATTCAAAAAAAGATGAAAAACGAATGAGGTGAAAAGTGACTTGTTAATAGACAATGTAAACAACTTGTTGATTTGACTCACAAACAATGTTGGGCGGGTGATTTTTAAATTTTATTTGGCTGAGAGATTTCAAAAGGTTTAGGACTAAAGCTAGACCTAAGGCTAGGATTGAACCCTTATTGAACTATGTTAGAGTTGAAGCTAGACATAAATTTGAGGCTAAGGCTCTGACAAAGGCTCCGGTTACACCTAAGACTAAGGCTAGAACAGAAGCAGATTATAGCAAGGGCGAGCGCGGAAACAAGTGTGCTTTGCACTCTTGTAGCTAGAGCTCAGGGCTAAGGCTAGGACTAGGGATATCTTTATAATCAAAAGCTTAGCAAAAATTCTTGCAGCATTACCTAATATTAATGATACAATGATTAGAACATAAGGTAGCCTTAGAGAAATTGCAAGAAATGATATTACACAACTTTTTCTTATGTAATATTAACAATTTATTCAATATTTGCCTTGATGTAAAACGACCCAACAAATAACTGCGAGTGCGGGGATCTTACTCTACATTACTACGAGGAAACAGTATTAATTCGTGATACCTGCTTACCGCTACAAAAACTAAGCCAAGGAGCGGCCAGATGCCTGAATCCTACGCCTAGAAGATTAGGCTTAGAAGTAATGTTAAGCCTATTACTAAGTCCTAAGCTGTATCCTGAGCTTAAGCCTGCCTAAACTTAAGCCAGGGCCTGGGCTAACGCTAGGGCGATTTAAAAATGAAACTGTAAATTTAATGTATACACTTAGATAGTATTATCCACAAACGAAACGTCACAAAGCGCATTGATCGGGACGAAGTGTCGAAAAGTAAACAAAAAAATCTTTTTTTAACCCTTCTTTTAAACCTTTCTGTTTTTAAAACTGCTTTAAAATTAAACTAAATCATAAAAATGACAAAGCTTAATAAAAACTGCATCATAGCATTTTGGTTGCATAATTTAGAAGACGATGTGCTTGAGGACCCAAAGTTTTTAGTGAGTTTATTTTATTTTTTGCCTTAATTTCATTTTTTTTTTGAATTTTAACGTAAATTTTGAAAACAAAATTTAATTTTTTTTAATAAAAAAGTCTTTCTATATAATATTTTATTAAAACCAATGTTAATTTAGATCATATCGCCACGATTGAACAACTTTCTCAAAACTTTCCACAAGTCTTCAAACTTTGAAAGTAACATATACATCAACAGTTTGGATGGGTGGACTTATGTTGATCTTCATCTTCACTACAGATTCAGTGGAAATCTGTTATGGGCTTCACTACATTTACTGGTAGACAGTACGCGTACTATTGAAATATGCTTTACAATTGCCAGTAACTTTTTAACATATCCGTTGATCAAACATATGGCACAGTGCATTAAAGGTGAGTATACAAATTAGAAGTAGAATACTTTTTGTCTTCAGCTGACACAGAACGGATAGAATGAATGATGGGGTAAGGTAGGGCTATGGCTCTGGGCTAGGGCTCTGGGCTAGGGCTCTGGGCTAGGGCTCTGGGCTAGGGCTCTGGGCTAGGGCTCTGGGCTAGGGCTCTGGGCTGGGGCTCTGGGCTAGGGCTCTGGGCTGGGGTTTTGGGCTAGGGCTTAGGCTAGCACTAGGGCTCAGGGTAGAGCTAGAGCTCAGGCCATCACCAGAGCTTGAATCAAAGCTATGGCTTAACAAACTTTCTTTTTAGAAAAATTAGAAAACCCGATATCTTTCTTCATTACCATCGATATCGACCGAGTAATGTTGTCTCCATTCATCATACTAGGCCACAGAATTAGGTCAATTGATATGCGTGGTTTCGCTAACTACCGTTGTATAAAAGACTTTGCCGGCTTCGAAATGGACAAAATTAATTTATATACTAAATTTGATTCTGCTTGTAAGTTAAATTAACACCCCTCAAATCAAGTTTTTACAGTCATATCATATCCCCCCCCCCCCTCCCAGTGTTTTGCTGGTGGTGGGGCCCCCACTCTAAACTCTTCTTTTATTCAGATTTGGTACCTCTAACGCAAGTTCGATTGAAAAAATTGAATACTTTTGGTAACACTCTGGATATAATGATACAAAACGAACTAATTCATCTCGGATTGAAAGAGCTTCATGTTCAATACCTAAATCACGAATGCTCTGTTCAAAACTTGAGACTACTAAACCGAGCGTACCCTGACTTGAAATATATCTCCATACAGAATCCTTGTCTTCAAGGTAACTTTTAACATTTAAAACTAAATGAACAATAAAAAATCAAAAATTTAAAATGAGATAATTATAGGTGATCCAAATATTAAAGAAAAAACTCTGGAACTTGTTGATATTGCTGAAGAACTTTACCATCAGCATAACACCACCATCAAACTAGACATCATGTTTGGTTATTCGTTTTTATCCCTACGAGACGAAGTTAAAGATAATATTAACTCAAGAACACCAAACATACCACGAAGTACAACTCTTTGTTACAGATCACAAATGGCGGTACTAATTGTTAATATTGGTACTGTTTTTAATTAAGATTACATTTATTAATAAATAATATAAAAGATTCACCATTAACATAAAATAAGTATCATACTTAGGGAGGCCATATTGGGTTATTGAAATGCAACGTATCTTCTATAAAATACTTTGAAAAGCCGCCCGCTGTCTTTTTTTTTAATTTTTTGATTTTTTTTCATTGATTTTTTCTAAATATTTATCCAAATTATTGATCAATGTTTTTTCCTTAAATGGCAGTGGTAATGGTATTTTATGGTTGACAATCTTTATCAAAATCATACTGTAAGAAATAATTTACAATTTATTTGTTAAAGAGTATGCTCTAAAAACTATTTGAATACTCAATTAAAATAACTATTATAAAACAAAGTTCGCCTATGTATCAGATATAAAATAAATGATCTCAAATTTCAAACATTTAAAAAACAGTTTATTTTTGACAAAAGGTGCTACTTGAGCATAAAAATGCAGAGAGTTGGCAGGGTTTACAGTAAAGTTGGCAAGACTCACCGGAGAGTTGGCAGGGCTCACAGGAAGAGGTATTTATAATTCTTAACTTATGACCATATAATATTAGGTTTTTTGCTGTGGCAGAAATGATAATGATAAAGGTGATGTGGTTTTTTTAGGAAGTTAGGTTTTAAGAATTTGTCCGCTTTGCGAATCACATGATAACTATGCAACCAAGATAAATAAAACTAAATGGTTGTAACAACAAAGTTTATTTCTTAAACCATTCTGTATTATAATAAAAATCAAACATAGAATCTTTGAACATAATAATACAATTTACTCAATAATATAATAAAACTTTCAACTTTTCCTTCCTTTAAACAAAAAAATTCCTAATAGGGGGGGGAGGTAGAAAACGTTTCAAACCGATCCGACATTCCGCACTTTCGCATTTCATCAGGTCCGAGAAGAACTTTGTTTCACGATATTAGAAGCTTCTAGTTATAAACTGTTGAGGTTGAAGAACTTTATATTACGTTTTGGCCGATTTTGGCATGTGAATACACAAATGTGATGTATAATATAAGTTTCTTTGTATTACAGGGAGTTTTATAACTAAAAATAATTGAAGAACGTAACTTGGAGAAAAAAGATGTGTCCTTTCCTACTAAAGATATAAGTGATCTGTATTGTGAGGTTTACTGTAATTTTTGGCATACATTTTGTTATCTACATCAATATTTTTTCAAAATTTGATACGGGACTAGAAAGTCTTTGGTTCTTATATAACAATATATATATATAAATGGTTTTTTGGTATGGAAATGTGTAGAATTAAATTCTCTACCACAATTTTTAAAGAATTTTAAGTATTAAACGTATGGAAAGTCTTATATGACCTCATTTTAGTGGGATCTCAGCTGTTCAAGACCCTAACGATCAATAATAACTCGAATCCGGTCTTCAATGAGTATTTTGAAGCCATTGTGGATCAAGCCGCTGTTCAGAAGATACGATTGAGCATGTTCGATGAAGATACGAAAAGACAAGATGAGGAGTTAGGAAGGCTTTCGATTCCATTATCTTATTTTAGGAAACAGAAGGTCGTTTCAAAGGTAAGGTGGTACTTTTGATAAGTAAAATAGTGTTTTTTACCTGATATGGTACTTTTAATACTTAAAATGGTATTGTTATATTCTTCAGGTTATAAAATGACATTTCTAATACACTGCAGGTACAAAATAATCGAAAGGGAATTTTTCGCGAAAAATTAGAAATTTTTTATTGTGCGTGTTACATTTTTGTTCGTTGTCGGAAAACCAGGCAACTTTGGACTAAACGAGAACTAACATTGAAAAGGTAAGTGTTTTTACTTTGTATTTTTCTACTTTTTTTTAAAATTTTAACTTTTGAAAAAGTATAAAAAAAATTTATTCGAAAATTGAACTTTTCGTAAAATTTAAATTTTAGATCTTTAAAACTGTCTACAAATTGAATAAACTTTTCTGTACAACTTTTAGATAACGTATTTTTAACGTTATATTCAAAGTTTCAGATCGATTTAAAACTCCAAAAAAAAGTAGTTCCAAAAAAACTAAAAATTTCGGTTTTTTATCATGGATATAATTTTAATTATTTCAGATGCCTCCAGGTTAGAATAACCAACATTGAACGAGCCCGAAGTGTCAATCCTAAAGTTGGAAAAGCTTTGCGATCCGGAACAACCCTGAAAAAAAAGATTATATTACCCATGACCACACCTGAAGATAGTAAAAGAAAACTAGAAAATGGTGAAACGAATAACTTTAATAAGTGTACTGCTCTTAGTAAATGGCGAAAAGAACAACAGGGACGACATTTGAAGTTAGAATTGGCACGTAAATCAAGGTCATCAAGCAAAAATTCGGACTCAATACCCATACCTCATCAAACAACGCCAGAAAATGGAGAAGTTAGTGCCGTAAGTAGTTTGAAACTTAATTTAAATAGTTTCTTAGGTTTAAAACAAAATGAAAAACACATTATCGCCAGAGAAACAGATGGCTTCAAAGAGAAAAGCGCGGTTATCAGACGATGGAGCACGAATTCTCAACAAAATGAGCAAGGAGAGTGATAATCCGCCTTTGTTATCTAAACGAAAGATTACCCAGGCTTGTAAACAATTGGAAAGAGTGATCAATTACAAAGTTTATGGAAATTTCAGCTTTAGAATGCAGAACGTTCACTCATTTCTTGAAGAAAGGATGCGTCGTGCCAATATTGAGGATAAGAACTTAGTGTGGTATTTGGATAAAGGGCGAGGACGGGTGGTGTCTACTGTTGGCTTAGTGGGAAGTTCAACAACTCAGTCACACTACAACCAGACAATTTTGCCGACATGGGAAGGAAGTGACCACTATGATGCTCTTGCTTATCATGATGTCGGAAAATTCTACAAAGAACTGAGCATGGATAACTACAAGATTACGTTGGAGGCGACTACTCTTTTTTGGCAACCATAAATGGATTTAGTTGTGGAATGGCCTATCCTTGCACATGGTGCTCAAAGAAGTTCATAAAGAGGTCGAACAGCGAAGAATCCATCGACCTTGAAGTTTATGAATCCAGATCCGACAAAAGAGTAGAAGAAGCGATTGCAAGGGACAAAAAACTAAAGAAGAGGAAAGAGAAGATAGTTGACATACCTGAGGAAATGATTGTACCTCCAATTCTTCACAGTAAAAATTAAAATTGGAAATTTATTGTTTAATAAATTATGTGAAGCAGCTGATGACCAAGAACGCTTTAATGTAGTTCTAAAGCAGTGCCAGCTAGACGTTGATCGCCATGTTGAGAAGATCATTTACATCCGCTTTCACGGAAACGATATCAAGAGGATGTGCACTTCAATTGATGCATTATCAAGTGAGTTATTCATATTATTGATTATAATGAACTTTTTAGAAGTTTCCACATCAGAAGGCTACCAGCAGGTCATTAAAGCTATGGATGTCTTCAATGAATGGTCGAAAATCGTATCATCAACAAAGAAAAACCTATCGGATAAAGAATTGATGGTCCTTTACTGTCGAAATAGTGAACATCTAGGCGAACAGTGTTGCCAAACGATAAAACTGGCTCGATGTCTCGATGTCGTTGGCGGAGCATCAAAACGTGCGTTAGTACACATCGTACTAATGCATTTAGGACCTTTTGAATGGGATCACAAGATGATTGGAGCTCTGGCAGAAGAAGACATTGAAGCTGTTCATTGCAGATTTGCTGAAGAAATGAAGAGACATGGTTACAACAAAGTGGGAAAAGTTCAGAACAGCTTAAAATGGAAAGCAATTGACACTTTGATGTTTGGCAAAGGCTATATGTAACAATTTGTGCCATTATTTAATATGAATGTTTGATTATTTACTTTCTTTAAATCTCATTGTAATAAAATCTCACTTGGTTGAAATTTATATGAATTTGACTTTTTTTTGGATACTTGAGTTAACTTGTTTATGCTTAAAATAAGCTTAAAATGTCCACAACATATATAAAAGTAATTTTAAGATTTAATTTTAACGTTTAAATCTAGAAGTTTAGAAAAATGTATATTACACTTGATATTTGATGTCTTTTTTAGTTTTTTTGGAACTACTTTTTTATCTTGCTACAGATTACCGCAATATTTTAAAACTGAGCTTGTTAAGCATATTCAAAAACTTTGTATAGAAAGTTTTTTCAATTTCCTAGAAAAAAATTTTGTACCTGCAGTGTAATAGTACCGTACCCATCTTTCAGTGGTTCCACCAAAAGCGTGCAAGCACGGTGAAGTCTACATCAAGCTCTTCTGGTGCGACCTAAGGCCACCAGCTACAATTCCGAATGACATTGAATGGCTAACAGCTAACAAAACCGTCCATACCTTGTTGTTAATGGCATTTGTAGACAATGTTAGAGAACTACCCTACCCCAAGGCCAACCTCGAACCATCACCCATACTTGACTTCACCATTGGAAATAAGACACAAAGAACGCCGGTCAAAGTGAAAACGGTCAATCCTGTGTATCAGTTCAAATGCTACTTCTTTGTTCAGAATTCGGAGGTCAAGGAGTTGACTATCAAGGTAGGGGTTGTTACTTAAAATTTTATTTTTGTTATTTAAAATGGTTCTTTTGTGACAAAAAATGGTACTTTTGTTACCTAAAATTTTTTTTATTTAAAGCGGTACTATTGGTCCAAAACGTTGCTTTTGTTACCTAAAACGTTATTTTTGCGCGTTTCCTTATCTAAAATGATACATTTTGAACCGAAAATGATATTTTGTTACCTAAAATTAAAAACTTGTAGGCAATTGACTCAACAACAAGCAAGCTATTGGGAGAGCTGAGCATTTCCCTAGGTTATCTCATGGAACAACTGGATATGGAAGTGTTTGACAAAGTGTTTCAACTCAGGCAGGATGTCAGGGCCATTCATGTCACACTGACTTTGAGGGCGAGGGTAAGTTGTTTTGTAATCTTGTGTCCTAAAATGGTACTGGTAGCACCTCAAATTGTAAGTTTGTTACCTAAACTAGTAATATTTATCTAATATGGTACTTTTATAACTATTCAACCAAGATAGATAAAACCAAATGCTTTTAAGAACAAAGTTTATTTATTAAACATTTTTATATTATAATAAAAACCAAACATAGAACAATGATAAATCCAATGATATAATTAAAATTGTCAAGTTGTTTATCGATTACACAACAAAGTTCCTAATAGGGGGGGGACGGGGGGGGTAAGTAGAAAAAGTTTCAGACCGATCCGGCCGATAGAAAAAGAACGTGAAAACAAAAAATTCAAATTCGGGACTCGCGCATTTGATCTGTGGCGGGAAAAACTGATTACGAATCAACGTCTCTTGCCAGTTCGTCGTAGTTATTGTTGTATAGGTCATGGTCATGATGTTCAAGAATCATTATGCGGCACTTGAATCCATGGTGCAAATCAGTTGGAGCGACGAATTGGGCTTTGCAGTTTGATGTCGGCTTCGATGTTGTCTTCTGACGGCATCTGTACCTCGCAAATGTCGTATGAGATGAATCGAAAAACTCTGAGTATTCTGTGATTGATCTGTAGTTTCTGAGCACTTTTTCGTTCGGGTTCTGTTAGAAGACCGCTCCTTCGGTCAGTCCAACAATTCCTCCTTGTAGCAGCGAAACGCACCCTAAATAATTAAATTTATGGCTTTTTTATATCTTTCGCATCTTTAAAAAATGGTTTTCTCGGTAAACTTTAAAATAAAAAAAATAATTTTTTTCAGAGCGTTTTTAGGGATTAAAAATTAACCTTTTAACAAATTTAAGACTCAAACCTTTTAAAAAATTATTAAACCTGACTTTTACTGTAATTTGAAATACTTACAATGGAAGTGATCCGCCCGCACGTCCGTGGTTTGGACTTTGTGCACTGACCTTCCGATGTTGTGAGTCATCGCCGCTTTTACGCGAATTGTCTGTTGTTGGCGTCTCTGGTACGTTGATTGTCCTTGTAATTTGAACGTCCTCACTCTTATTCGTGTCGTCAAGAAATGGAAGTGACGATGGGTCACTGGTACCTATAAAAAATTTTCTGATATTATCTTAAGGAAATTTTATTATTTTAAAAAATTAATTTTTTATTTTAAACCCGAAAATCTTTGAAATTCTACCCCTACCAAACTCTAACCTCGCTGTACCCTATTTTACTCTACGTTATCTATGTTACCCTATTCTATTCTACCATACTCTACTCTGCTTAACTATAGCCTACTATACCCTACTCTACTATAAATACCAATCATCCTCATATTATACTGAAAGGCAAACTTACAGTTTTCGTCTTCTGGCTTACCAACCATCTTTCCGATCTCAGTCCATTCCGTGCCTACCGAAGTTTCCTCATCATATTGAACTGGCTTTGTTCAATATGGGGCATGTGTCGCATTAAGTGGGTAACCATCGCAATTCGTTCTCAAGAAGTTTGTGTTCTTCAACCATCTCATCTAGTTGTTTTTCGACGTACTTTCTCCAAGACATCACCTTGTCAAACTTAGGCGCTTGCATGGTTTGTCTAAATTATTATGGCCGTTTAATAATTATATTTAAAATTTTTTAGCTTTTATTTTTTATATTTATACACGGATTGGTCTCTATATTTTAGACTTTGAGTACAGTAATTGTTAAAATACGGTATAAAAATAGCCCGTTTTTGTGGTTCTGTAATATTCGACTGTTTTTTGCAGTTTGAGGGATAAATGCATGTATATATAAGTGGCAAAGTACTATGAAACTTTTGCCAGTAGCAATTTGAGGACAATATTCGTAAAATTTGGTACCGTAATATATTATTTACTGTTAAAGTAATTCTACCGTATCCTTGTTATTTTAAATTTTATTCAAAAACGGACCTCCGAAAAACCTGTTTTTGGGAGCTTTTTGAGAAAACACACATACCTTATTATACACACTCACCACCTTGTTTTAATCACCCATTTATTTAAATTTATAAATTAAAAAATTCCATTGTAAAATGAGTCCAAAAAGTTCGGTTGTCGTAGCGCAAAATGGGCTTGTCCAAGTAAGATTTAATCAGCTTTTCGGGAGCTTCGTGTGCCATCGAAGAAGTTGGAGTATCATCTATAAGGTCGATGTGTCATCTATGAGGTTGGTGTGTCACCTATGAGGTTGGTGTTGTCATCTAAGAGGTGGGGGTGTCATCTAAGAGGTTGGGGTGTCATCTACGAGGTTGGGGTGTCATCTAAGATGTGGGAGTGTCATCTATGAGGTTGGGGTGTCATCTAAGAGGTTGGGGTGTCATCTACGAAGTTGGGGTGTCATCTAAGATGTAGGAGTATTATCTATGAGGTTGGGGTGTCAACTAAGAGGTTGGGGTTGTCAGCTGTCTTTCTTTCGATTCATGAAACACCTTGATGTATGTACCTAATCTAATTCAGTTGTAGCACAATTAACTCTTCTTTGAAAGATCAGTTACATTTTTCATTACCACATCACCTGGATCACTCGCGTTGGACGAATCAGAACCTGCAAGAATCATTCCAAAATCTTGTTCATTGTTCTTTACTGCCTCTACACTCGTCTTCAACTCCTAAACACAAAACAAACAGAAAACATTAACATACCTTTAAGATTCTTGATGTTGGCGGCGCTGGCTGTTATGATTGTCTAAACCAAATGAATTTGAACCGATTTGACAAAACCCTGTGAATACTTTGCTACATCTGGCTTGTCTTTTCCATAAATTCATCGTTTCTTAGCTTAGGCAGAAAACAAGCTTTTTCCGACCCAGTAAGCCGTCTTTCTCGATTCTTCAACATATTGATGTATCCCAACTCAGACTTGTCTTAATCAACTCTTACTGGAAAGATAACTTACGTTTTGTGTTACCACATCAGCTGGGTCGGTCCCATTTTCCGAACCGGCGGATTCCATATAAAAAAGCTATAATTTTTTTATTACCTAAAACAATGTTCAAAGGAAATTAAAAAGTAAAAATTAGTTTTGCCGACCTCAAATTAACACCACAGTGACCCTTATTCTCTATAAAAACATATTGCGAGATTTATTTAAGAGTATGGTATAGTAATTTATGGTATGGAAGATAGTACAGGGTGTGGTACGGTGTGTTATGGTAGGGTATGGTATATTAGGTTTCAAACGACCTCTGAACGGGACGTTTAAGAACTAAAAACGAATTTTTAAACATTAAGATGAAAATTTAGGCTTGAATTTGGATCATGAAATACGTATTTTAGGCTAAAATACGCATTTTAGGCTTAAAAATGAAATTTGAACATGAAATAACCTATTTTAAGCTTAAAAAGAAAAATTTTTACGAGTTTAGGTTTTAAAAACGATTTTTAGGTTTAAAAACGCCATTTAGAGTTTGAGAACTAATTTTAGACTTAAAAAGCACAAACTTTAGCTTAAATAACGAAATTTTAGGCTTAAGAATTCATTTTAGGTTTAACAATTTTCATCATTTTAACAAAATTATGAAAAAACACTCCGCCGCCCCTCCTCCCCTCTCCCACCACTCCCCAAAAAAATTCAAAATCGCCATCCCCGGAAAAAAACCAAAAAAACGCTGAACATGTCAACAGTTTGGCGAGTACACGTGTATTGTGCTCGCAAATTTTTGTTTTTGTTTATTTTCGCAACGAACCTTCTGGAAGGAAATCGCTTGCATAAAGTCAAATAGACGTTTTGTTTAGCGCATAAAAGAAAGAGAGCGTGCGTAGAAGAAGCGAACTAGAGAGCAAAAAACGGAGAGAGCGCCACGCAAACGAAGAGAGAGCGGTTAGACATTTCCCTCATTTCTATTAGTTCGGTTTGACGTGGCTCGCAAATTTTTGTATTTGTTTTCTTTTCGCAAAGGAAGGAAATCCCTCTCGTTTTGTTTAGCGCATAAAAGAAAGAGAGCGCGCATAGAAAAAGCGAACTAGAGAGCAAAAAACGGAGAGAGCGCCACGCAAACGAAGAGAGAGCGGTTAGACATTTCGACATTTCCCTCAATTCTATTAGTTCGGTTTGACGTGTGCTGATTCTAGGCTTGTGTGCTAAACTTTTTTGTAACTACCATGAGATTTCAATGTTTTGGATTTAAATGGTAAGTTTAAGGAAGGTAAACTAATACTGGTTATATAATTTCGGTTATTCAATGAATTTTGTGTCTAAAACAGGGAGTTTTGTTGATGATGGTTGCAGAAGTGGCGTGTTATCATCTAAATTTATGTTCGTTTATAATTTACAGTTTATTTACCTTTATAAACAGTATTATAACGTTGATTTTATTTATCACAATGAACAATAAATTAATTATTAAGTTGGTAAGACACAATGTGGTTTTTAAAATCAAAGGATTACCCATATCGACGAGAATATTGTAGTAGACGCGACATCACACTATAAATAATGGTATATTGAGAAAGAAAGTAACAGAAATGTTTATATTAGAAATTTTATTACAATCTACAAAATACTAATCAAATTAAGAAACTACAAAATACTAATCAAATTAAGAAAAACTAGCACTAAAAGCCATATGATAACCATATTTTGGTACCTAGTATTACAAAGTCTTTTCAATACGAATTATAAGTTACAACATTACTATTAGTACGAAGAGACAATTGATAACAATGTTTTAGTACTACTAGGATCAAAAACAAACTTCAATAACTTAAATCAAGATCATTTTCCTAGATTTTCAGTCAAAATCAGATCACAGTTCATTCCGAGGCCGAGATGGAGCCGTACCAGACAGGAAGGTTGATATAAACACCGAAGTCTCCATATTCAACGTGGCATGGTACCATTTGTCAGGGAAGTAAATCAACTCTCCTGGCTTCATCAGACATTCGAATGGCTTTTGATTTGGCTCCAGTTTGGGGTAGTCATTTAGGTACCAGTCGAGAGTGGATCGGTCCGGATCGAAGACTGGTTTCTTGTCCGGTTCTGTGAGGAACCATAGCTGAAATATAGATTCTGTTAATGATAATGAAGAGATTTTTATTTTAAAATCAATGAAAAACAGAAAACAGTTTTTGACCTCCCTTGCTAAACTAAAATCATCCTCCGGCGTTGATTACCGTGAAAATTCAATAAATTTTTAAAATTTTAATTAAAGAAATATTTTTTTTTGTTTTTTGGAATTTCATGCACCTGATACAATGTTTAAAAACGTGTTTGTAACAAAACATGCAAAGGCATTTCGTTTCGACTTTACGAAAATATGTTATCACAAAAATGCTGTTTGGCTTGGCTATGGCAATATTTAACCATTGCGATTTGAAAAATATTGGTTTTATTTAATAAGTTGGGGTAATGGTAATAAGCTGGCTATGGGATAGGGTTCGGCTAATGATAATAGTCTGGGATAATGGTTATAGACTGGGGAAGGAATAGGACTGGGTTATTGGTAATAGGCTGGGCTAATAATAATAGTTTGGCTAAGCAATTGGTCTGAACTAATGATTTTAATTTTTTTTGTAAAAATAATCGTTTTCATTCATTTCGGAACAGAAAAACCTTATTTATTTCTGAAACACTTGGACTGAAAAGTTAAGCCCAGTCTAAAGGTCTAGCGAGTTTGCAGAAAGTTTTTTTTAATTTTAAAGTTTCAAAAACTGTCAACTTTAGCAACAAAAGGTCAAGAAATTTATCACCATGTCATCATCCGGCCATATTTTTAGAATTTGACCCCGGAAACGGCCGAAAAAAAATTTTTTTTGGGACAATGGTTTCAAATTTGCGGCTTCAAATTAAGTTTTGGGAAAATGTTTCAAATAGGCGGGAAATTGAGCCGGGAAGCGACGTGAATCACGTTGAAATACGAAAAATTTTAATTTTTTAAAATTAAAATTTTTTTTTTTAAATAGGGGGGGGTAAAATCCAAAAATTTAGCCACAATTAGCTATAAGTGCATTCATTTTGCGTAACTTTTTTTCAACTTCACACCTACGAGACCTTTGAATCTTTTTCGGTCCGGCTCAAGGGGTGAATCCACACCCATTTATCACCCTTCCCTAATTCCAAACGAACCCTTCTTATCCGCACTTCGACTTACTTTGCTTCCGTGAACAACCCCAGCAAACCCTGGCCCATGAAAATGAAATTGCACTCCAGAACCTCACAATACGGATCACTTTGTCTTTAGTAAGAAACGACACATCTTTTATTCTCCAAGTTACGTGTTTCAACTATTTTTATTCTCAAAACTCCCTGAAATACAAAGAAAATTATATTATACATTACAGCTATGCCTCCTCATGCCAAAATTGGTTAAGTTAAGCCATGAATCAACAAGTCAAAACCTAAAAACCAAAGGAAAAAAGTAGAAAATAACCTACTACAAGTTCGTTCATTCCTCCGTTAAATCCACATGTTTTGACCTTAAGTTCAGCATCTCCAGCATACGCAACGTCCAAATCAACTATTATTCTATCCCTTCCAACATTATGAGTGTATACTTTGAGTCCACTGACTCTGAAAGGCATATCGCCCATGTCAATGTCCAAAAACTTGAACGACTTGAATGGAGATGGCATATGTTCCAGTACTTGTGGTTCAATAAATTTTAAAATTGCGCTGAATACTGAGAGGTAAACGGCCATAGCTGTTTTAGTACCTAAAAGTATGTTGTTTTTAAAAAAATAAGTTTTTCAAAAAAAATGTGATTTTTAGACCTTAGATAAGGTGAATGTCTTCATAACTATCGAAAATCTATTTTAAACTGAAAAATCAAACGTGCTTTAGATAAAATAAACTCTCGTCCATCTTTCAAACCAAGGATCAACCTTCTAGAACAACTTTCCGCACCGATATGCACGTATTAATCTTGTCACACCTAAAAACCAACAAAGAATAACAAAATTTACCTGATTCACCCATTCTATCCTCTCTGTATCCGGAAACCGTATCCAGCTAGGCAATTCATCACTTGTACTACCTACTCCAATCAACCCCCGCTCTCGAATAATCTGTTTCCTCATGTTTAAGCGAGCTTCCTGTCTTGTTACCCACATCCGTGTTTTAATAAAGTATAGCAATGTCAAAATCCCAATCCAAATCACTAAAAAACCATAGTAGCCGATTGACCAACAAGCAAGCATCAGAACCCCACTGGTGACCACTGGAGCTAGACCATCTAGCCAGCCCATGGCTAGCAGCTCGTTCAGTGGGCCTTTGTTTGGAAGTACTGAAAAATTATAATGTAAAAAAGTTTTGAGATCGTAAAAATTATTTTAGAAGCTTGTAAACATAAAGATGTATTAGACAACAACAAAATAGTTTATAAAAATAACGACTACATGCTAAATTCCAAAAAAGCATATTGCACATAACCACGAAGAATATAATCGCCAAAATAACTGCCAAACCCTTAAAAACAATGTGAGACTTTGTAAACAACAGCTAAACAAGCCTTTTCTCTGTTCGAAAAAGAAAAAAACAAACACATCCGTCCAAAATTCACAGCGCTACATCAAAAACCGTTACCTACATGCACCCACTAAACCTAAAGCGTTTCAACCTAAAACCCAAAAATTTGATGAAAACCGCAAAATTAGCCATCAACACTCAAACCGTAAAATGGTCAATGTTTAACAATGTTTTCGGTTTCCCATTTCCGCGTTTCTTCATGAAATTTAAAAATTGCCAAGAAAACGAAAGAAAATTCCGAAGAAAAGTAAGAAATGACACTAAATAACAAGAATAAAGTACAACTGTTGCTAAACCATAGCATTTCAGCAGTATTTTGTTGATATTGTTGCTTTCGTTGGGTTCGTTGGTTTCGTTGCTTTTGTTCCGATTGTTAGTTCTGTTACATTTTGTACTTCAATAGTACTAAATGGCACTAAATAACATCATAAAAGTACAACGGTTGCTAAACCATAGCATTTCAGCTGTATTTTGTTGATATTGTTGGTTTCGTTGGGTTCGTTGGTTTCGTTGCTTTTGTTCTGATCGTTAGTTCTGTTACATTTTGTACTTTAATAGTACTAAATGACACTAAATAACATGAAAAAAGTACAACTGTTGCTAAACCATAGCATTTCAGCTGTATTTTGTTGATATTGTTGGTTTCGTTTGGTTCGTTGGTTTCGTTGCTTTTGTTCTGATCGTTAGTTCTGTTACATTTTGTATTTTAGTAGCACGAAATGACACTAAATAACAAGAAAAAAGTACAACTGTTGCTAAACCATAGCGTTTCAGCTGTATTTTGTTGATATTGTTGGTTTTGTTGGGTTCGTTGGGTTCGTTGGTTTCGTTGCTTTTGTTCTGATCGTTAGTTCTGTTACATTTTGTACTTTAATAGTACTAAATGACACTAAATAACATGAAAAAAGTACAACTGTTGCTAAACCATAGCATTTCAGCTGTATTTTGTTGATATTGTTGGTTTTGTTGGGTTCGTTGGTTTCGTTGCTTTTGTTCTGATCGTTAGTTCTGTTACATTTTGTACTTTAATAGTACTAAATGACACTAAATAACAAGGAAAAAAGTACAACTGTTGCTAAACCATAGCATTTCAGCTGTATTTTGTTGATATTGTTGGTTTTGTTGGGTTCGTTGGTTTCGTTGCTTTTGTTCTGATCGTTAGTTCTGTTACATTTTGTACTTAAATAGTACTAAATGACACTAAATAACATGAAAAAAGTACAACTGTTGCTAAACCATAGCATTTCAGCTGTATTTTGTTGATATTGTTGGTTTCGTTGGGTTCGTTGGGTTCGTTGGTTTCGTTGCTTTTGTTCTGATCGTTAGTTCTGTTACATTTTGTACTTTAATAGTACTAAATGACACTAAATAACATGAAAAAAGTACAACTGTTGTTAAACCATAGCATTTCAGCTGTATTTTGTTGATATTGTTGGTTTCGTTGGGTTCGTTGGGTTCGTTGGTTTCGTTGCTTTTGTTCTGATCGTTAGTTCTGTTACATTTTGTACTTTAATAGTACTAAATGACACTAAATAACATGAAAAAAGTACAACTGTTGCTAAACCATAGCATTTCAGCTGTATTTTGTTGATATTGTTGGTTTCGTTGGGTTCGTTGGGTCCGTTGCTTTTGTTCTGATCGTTAGTTCTATTACATTTTGTACTTTGATAGTACTAAATGACACTAAATAACATGAAAAAAGTACAACTGTTGCTAAACGATAGCATTTCAGCTGTATTTTGTTGATATTGTTGGTTTCGTTGGGTTCGTTGGGTTCGTTGGTTTCGTTGCTTTTGTTCTGATCGTTAGTTCTGTTACATTTTGTACTTAAATAGTACTAAATGACACTAAACAACATGAAAAAAGTACAACTGTTGCTAAACCATAGCATTTCAGCTGTATTTTGTTGATATTGTTGGTTTCGTTGGGTTCGTTGGTTTCGTTGCTTTTGTTCTGATCGTTAGTTCTGTTACATTTTGTACTTTAATAGTACTAAATGACACTAAATAACATGAAAAAAGTACAACTGTTGTTAAACCATAGCATTTCAGCTGTATTTTGTTGATATTGTTGGTTTCGTTGGGTTCGTTGGGTTCGTTGGTTTCGTTGCTTTTGTTCTGATCGTTAGTTCTGTTACATTTTGTACTATAATAGCACTAAATGACACTAAATAACATGAAAAAAGTACAACTGTTGCTAAACCATAGCATTTCAGCTGTATTTTGTTGATATTGTTGGTTTCGTTGGGTTCGTTGGGTCCGTTGCTTTTGTTCTGATCGTTAGTTCTATTACATTTTGTACCTTAATAGTACTAAATGACACTAAATAACATGAAAAAAGTACAACTGTTGCTAAACGATAGCATTTCAGCTGTATTTTGTTGATATTGTTGGTTTCGTTGGGTTCGTTGGTTTCGTTGCTTTTGTTTTGATCGTTAGTTCTGTTACATTTTGTATTTTAATAGCACTAAATGACACTAAATAACAAGGAAAAAAGTACAACTGTTGCTAAACCATAGCATTTCAGCTGTATTTTGTTGATATTCTTGGTTTTGTTGGGTTCGTTGGGTTCGTTGGTTCCGTTGCTTTTGTTCTGATCGTTAGTTCTGTTACATTTTGTACTTTAATAGTACTAAATGACACTAAATAACAAGCATAAAGTACAACTGTTGCTAAACCATAGCATTTCAGCTGTATTTTGTTGATATTGTTGGTTTTGTTGGGTTCGTTGGTTTCGTTGCTTTTGTTCTGATCGTTAGTTCTGTTACATTTTGTACTTTAATAGTACTAAATGACACTAAACAACATGAAAAAAGTACAACTGTTGCTAAACCATAGCATTTCAGCTGTATTTTGTTGATATTGTTGGTTTCGTTGGGTTCGTTGGGTTCGTTGGTTTCGTTGCTTTTGTTCTGATCGTTAGTTCTGTTACATTTTGTACTTTAATAGTACTAAATGACACTAAATAACATGAAAAAAGTACAACTGTTGTTAAACCATAGCATTTCAGCTGTATTTTGTTGATATTGTTGGTTTCGTTGGGTTCGTTGGTTTCGTTGCTTTTGTTCTGATCGTTAGTTCTTGTTGCTAAACCATAGCATTTCAGCTGTATTTTGTTGATATTGTTGGTTTCGTTGGGTTCGTTGGGTTCGTTGGTTTCGTTGCTTTTGTTCTGATCGTTAGTTCTGTTACATTTTGTACTTTAATAGTACTAAATGACACTAAATAACATAAAAAAAAGTACAACTGTTGCTAAACGATAGCATTTCAGCTGTATTTTGTTGATATTGTTGGTTTTGTTGGGTTCGTTGGGTTCGTTGGTTTCGTTGCTTTTGTTCTGATCGTTAGTTCTGTTACATTTTGTACTTTGATAGTACTAAATGATATTAAATAACATGAAAAAAGTACAACTGTTGCTAAACCATAGCATTTCAGCTGTATTTTGTTGATATTGTTGCTTTCGTTGGGTTCGTTGGTTTCGTTGCTTTTGTTCTGATTGTTAGTTCTGTTACATTTTGTACTTCAATAGTACTAAATGGCACTAAATAACATGAAAAAAGTACAACTGTTGCTAAACCATAGCATTTCAGCTGTATTTTGTTGATATTGTTGGTTTCGTTGGGTTCGTTAGGTCCGTTGCTTTTGTTCTGATCGTTAGTTCTGTTACATTTTGTACTTTAATAGTACTAAATGACACTAAACAACATGAAAAAAGTACAACTGTTGCTAAACCATAGCATTTCAGCTGTATTTTGTTGATATTGTTGGTTTCGTTTGGTTCGTTGGTTTCGTTGCTTTTGTTCTGATCGTTAGTTCTTGTTGCTAAACCATAGCATTTCAGCTGTATTTTGTTGATATTCTTGGTTTTGTTGGGTTCGTTGGGTTCGTTGGTTCCGTTGCTTTTGTTCTGGTCGTTAATTCTGTTACATTTTGTACTTTAATAGTACTAAATGACACTAAATAACATAAAAAAAGTACAACTGTTGCTAAACCATAGCATTTCAGCTGTATTTTGTTGATATTGTTGGTTTCGTTGGGTTCGTTGGGTCCGTTGCTTTTGTTCTGACCGTTAGTTCTAATACATTTTGTACCTTGATAGTACTAAATGACACTAAATAACATGAAAAAAGTACAACTGTTGCTAAACCATAGCATTTCAGCTGTATTTTGTTGATATTCTTGGTTTTGTTGGGTTCGTTGGTTTCGTTGCTTTTGTTCTGGTCGTTAGTTCTGTTACATTTGGTACTTTAATAGTACTAAATGACACTAAATAACAAGCATAAAGTACAACTGTTGCTAAACCATACCATTTCAGGAATATTTTGTTGATATTGTTGGTTTTATTGGGTTCGTTGGTTTCGTTGCTTTTGTTCTGATCGTTAGTTCTGTTACATTTTGTACTTTAATAGTACTAAATGACACTAAACAACATGAAAAAAGTACAACTGTTGC